CAACGCGGGAGGGGGCACTCCAGGAGCCTACAGAGCCAGGAAAACGGGTTTGTTTTCCTGGCACAATAGAATCCCTTTAATTCTCCTCGCTCTGTCTCAGTAACAGTAAATTTGTGATGCAATACTACCTGCTAACCAGCAGAGGGCCTTTTACAACCATGCTACCTTACGGCTTGCAATTAAGACAAGGAGGCTCATATCGGTTAACGGTTTCTTTACTGAACCTCCAATAGCAGCAAAGAAAGTACATTAGAAAAAACTTCACATGGGTAAAAGCCCCAAACAATCCTGGCACAGAGCCCAGCACATGACCACCCACAGCATTTCCTCGTACTTTGCTGTTCCACATGTCAGATAAGAACTTGTGCGGTTTTGTTTCATTTGAAATGATATCACTTTGTGACTTTAATTGTTTTCCTGTGCTTATTGGATGCATGTGTGTATCCTTGATATGCCGATTGATGCAGTTTTACCTGGATATGTGTACGAACGGTTGGGTTCCTGTTTTTCTTCTCTACAGCTGGGGCATTTGGTTTCACTTACTTGTTCTGGAGGGGCAACTGAATCACGTTTTGGCAACTTATTCCTCCTGGTTCCTGAATGGCACTGCCCCTGTTTTCTTCTACGCTGTCAGCTGATGGCTTCAGAGTTAACTGTACTGATCTGATTTTACTTCATCACGATACTGGACTCTGTACCAGGATTGGTTTATCTACATTAAGTTTTTTTTCTAATGTTTTCAACTTTGCTGCTGTTGGTGGTTCAGTAAAGAAAGGTCACCTGTGTCTTTTTATTAGAAAATAATGACTTTTCTTTGTGAAATAGCAAAATCATGTAATTATCACAAACAAGAAAATGAGATCACTCAGTATATCACTATAATATAATAACTATTTCCCCATTTATTTCAATAAAATCTGTGCTTTAAGCCTTTTGAAATCTGAATTCGATCTTTAATGACAGACTGCAATTGGGCTCCCAAGTTGTATTGCTCTTCAATCGGCTTAAAACAAATAGAGGATAGCTCTATACAAAGCAGTTATAAGAAGCTGGTCTTGTGCAATTGCATATTCCATCAATATGAGATTATGCAAGGACTTAATGGAGACCTTTATATAAAGTGAATGAAGGTAGGTGGTTACAAGAATGGTGGTTGGACAAACATTCTTGAAGGTAAATGGGTTCCATCAGACTTAAGAATATATGATGGACACAATTGTAAAAGTATGCGGAGCATTCAGGAAAAGAAGACTGAATTCTCAGTCTATCACTGCCACCAAGGTGGGAGACAATCGGTACTGGCAATGGCAAGTGGATATTCCGTTCTATCAAGTGGGCTGAAGAGCATGCAATCACTGCGTTCAGATAGATTTCTGGTTTCTATCAATCAACTTACAAACAATTTGACAAAGAACCTGGTGAAGGTGTTCAGAGATTACTGGAACATAAAAGCTATGGTGTAGTGGTTAGGTTCTCGCTTTGTGGAGTACATTTTCCACTATTCACTGAAACAAGGCAAACTGAATAAATTAACAGCCACATGACTACATCTTCAGAAACAAATCAGGTGAAACTGTGAGATAAAGTAACAAATGAAGGATATATAAAGAACGTGTTGCAGGAAATAAATGATTGAAGCCTTAACTATGCCATTATAAACATAAAGATGCTTTTCAAATGAAAATGTGCAAGGCTTTATCAAGGCTTCACATTCTTACGTTTTCAGGGAGACAGATGTGAAATTGTAAAAATGTATAAATAAATGATTTCTTAAATACATTTTCATAAATATCAGACGATGACTTACCGTCACATCAAATAAATAGCAGCCACAGATTGACGTACTTGATATATTTACTGTATTAATAGTTAAGTTTATCAAGTGATTTGAAATGTAAAACTGGTTATGAGGCGTCTCTGCCGTCTCATTAATATCATAGAGTTTGTGGATGCAATAGGAAAAAAACTTAAAAAGTGGCATCTTTAAACTCACAACAGATTATGAGAAGAAACAGCCATTAATCCGGATGCGGTCATAAATTTAAGCTTGTAAATAAGGGTCGGGGCATAATTTACCTTACTACTAACAAGGAATTGTATTTGAATATGGCAAAATATTGCACAAGTTAAATTAACAGTCTGAACAGCAATGAGACTATAGATCAGCAACACAATGGATAAGGACAAACAATGCTAAAATTGGAGTATCGCAAATGCTCTGAACATTACATAAGTTAATTTCTATTCATCTTACCAATCTTATATGAAATTGCAAGGTTTATTTGTTATAAAAATGGTAACCGATTTTTAATATCTTAATGTAAAAGCGACTATTGCCTCTGTGATTGCAGTAGTTTCGGAACAAACACCCTTGGCTGCCTACAACCATAGCAGCCAATCTCTCCATCCCAAATCCAATCTGGTTTATAGAAATGCTGCAAATTAAAGAACTTTTTGATGGAATTGGGATTTGCAGCAATGAGATGTGTCTATAAAGGACAGGAACCAAGAAAAGGACTAGAAATGTGTACGGCTGGATGACAGCTGTGAAGCAGGCAAGGCCTAGCATCGTCAGTCATAGCAAAAATCTCCTATTGTTCTAATGACAAACATTTGCTTGCCCCTTTATAATGTAGTGCTTAAAATTAGTTAATATGGGATTAATTTGTTAAAACAATCATTGGGTGTACTGGATAGAGAAGACACCATGTTTTATACCCCATCTTCAAGGCTGTGGATGGGTACCAGCTGTGGGGAAGCAGGTATAGGATTGGGGATGGAGGGTACAAGCTGTGGAGGAGCAGGTAATGGAAGGTACCAGCTATGGAGGAGCAGGTAATGGATTGGGGATGGAGGGTACAAGCCGTGGAGTAGCAGGTAATGGATTGGTGGAAGGCGGGTACCAGCTGCGGGGAAGCAGGTAATGGATTGGGGATGGAGGGTACCAGCTGTGTGGAAGCAGGAGAGCAGGTAATGGATTGGGGATGGAGGGTACAAGCTATGGGGTAGCAGGAGAGCAGGTAATGGATTGGGGATGGACGGTACCAGCTGTGGGGTAGCAGGAGAGCAGGTAATGGATTGGGGATGGATGGTACCAGCTGTGGGGCAGCAGGAGAGCAGGTAATGGATTGGGGATGGATGGTACCAGCTGTGGGGCAGCAGGAGAGCAGGTAATGGATTGGGGATGGACGGTACCAGCTGTGGGGAAGCAAGAGACCAGGTAATGGATTGGGAATGGAGGGTACCAGCTATGGGGTAGCAGGAGAGCAGGTAATGGATTGGGGATGGAGGGTACCAGCTGTGGGGAAGCAGGAGAGCAGGTAATGGATTGTCGGTGGAGGGTACCAGCTGTGGGGAAGCAGGAGAGCAGGTAATGGATTGGGGATGGAGGGTACCAGCTGTGGGGAAGCAGGAGAGCAGGTAATGGATTGGGGATGGAGGGTACCAGCTATGGTGAAGCTGGAGAGCAGGTAATGGATTGGGGATGGAGGGTACCAGCTGTGGGGTAGCAGGAGAGCAGGTAATAGATTGGGGATGGAGGGTACCAGCTATGGGGTAGCAGGAGAGCAGGTAATGGATTGGGGATGGAGGGTACCAGCCGTGGGGTAGCAGGAGAGCAGGTAATGGATTGGGGATGGAGGGTACCAGCCATGGGGTAGCAGGAGAGCAGGTAATGGATTGGGGATGGACGGTACCAGCCGTGGGGTAGCAGGAGAGCAGGTAATGGATTGGGGATGGACGGTACCAGCTGTGGGGAAGCAGGAGAGCAGGTGATGGATTGGGGATGGACGGTACCAGCTGTGGGGTAGCAGGAGAGCAGGTAATAGATTGGGGATGGAGGGTACCAGCCGTGGGGTAGCAGGAGAGCAGGTAATGGATTGGGGATGGAGGGTACCACTTGTGGGGTAGCAGGAGAGCAGGTAATGGATTGGGGATGGACGGTACCAGATGTGGGGAAGCAGGAGAGCAGGTAATGGATTGGGGATGGAGGTTACCAGCTATGGTGAAGCTGGAGAGCAGGTAATGGATTGGCGGTGGAGGGTACCAGCTGTGGGGAAGCAGGTAATGGATTGGGGAAGGAGTGCAAAGAGATAGCAAACGTGGGGGCATCAGAGAAAGGAAAGTTTTAGAAATGGGTGTTGCTTCACGGGTTGGGATTTTGGTGGAAGACACAGTGAGAGGCATTATTTGGTTCATGCTGGTATAGAGCACCTCAGGACCAATCAGATAAGGGGACACTTTAAACTGCCATCTCATCCTAAAGATCATTCTTAAACAAGAGGCTCTCTTTCTGAAGGTTTTTAATTTTCCAATAGATTAAATAAAATAAACTAAATAGATATATTTCCAAACTGAGGATTAAATATAATGAAGGCAAGCTTTATTTTCTCCTTATAACTGATCAGAACATATCTTCCCATTGTGTTATAACTGCCATTATGAGGACTCTTTACATTCTATCTGCAGATTGCACCGATGTGTTTTATATTAACGCTCCTCCTTGGATATTAACATTATAGCAGACAATCTGCAGGTAGGTATAAGCTGATAAAAGCCCAGCCGTGGCTGCCATCAGTTTTCACACAGTTTTGGAACCCTGGCTATATGTAGCAGTTCCCGAGGCACTGATTATGAATGTGCGTGGCTGACTGAGACTCTCACCAGGGGAGGAGATCGGTCCATTTTCATTGTCTTTGGAAGGGTTTGATGAATCGGCTCCTGGGGCTGGTATATAGCTGTGTGAAGTTTATAAATCACTACCGTTATACACTGCCACAGGAGGGATGCCTGGGTGCAAGGCACCATGACCTGTGGGATGATTCAAGCTTGTTAGTTTGTTCAGAGAGGCCATTTAAACAGGTTCTTTCAATCAGAATGTCACAAATCCTCCAGACTCCGCTCACTTCTGGAGAATAACACAAGCCCAGGCATATCCATTCTATTAAAAAAGGTGGCTGTATAATAATGCCAATGATGTCTATATATTTGGGTTTATAGGTGAAATTATAGCCTGACATGATACTTGTCACATGTTTAAGTTTTATACAAGATAATGCTGTGTTGCAAGGATTTTAGTTTTAATATGTTTTATGAAATAACAAGTAATATTATTCAACAAATCAAAGCCTCGCATAGGGGAGAGATTCTGAAAAGACAGGGGGACCCATGTTACAGACTCTGTGCTCTGTCCAAATCAGTATATCACAGGGGTGGCAAACACTTAGAACCTGTCAGTTTGAACTACAATTACCATGATGCCTTTTGTCTGAAAGATTTATTGGAACAGCTTCCTTTAACATGTGAAACCACAAAGACAGACATATCTTATTTTACATTTAACAGACTATTGAAGTCTGATGCATCAAAAATGAATGGCAGGAAAATGTACACAGACAACAAAAAATGATTATAAATCTTAATATGAAGGTAAGAATTTCTTATGCTTTTGGGTTCATTTGCAAAAATTTACATGTACATACTTTGCTCATAAGTGCAGAACTTCATCTTAGTTTGCACCTACTGAACGGAAATCTATTTGCCTCTAGAGCAAAGTGTTTGATAGTAAATCTGGCTGCACAACGTACAGTCACTATAGAAACATATCCACCATTTACTACATCTAACCTCCTACTAGATCCACAGACAGGAAGCTTCTAACTTCTCCAAAACAATGGAATACAACTAGTTGGATCAGAAGATGAGAGGTCCTGGGTCACGTAACACTCTATAGATGTGCAGGAGCTTCTGCAGAATTGGAGCAGAGTTCAGTCCCTTCAGCACACAAAGTCTGTCCCGCGTGGCTTGCACTTCTTTTAAGGAAGACTGAGCAGCAAGAAAAGCAATGTTAGCATTAACACATACAAATCGTTACAAAGAAAATACGTTAACTGGATTGGAATTCTACTTAAAAAGAGAATTGTAAATCTTCTTTTAAAATCACTAAATGAAAAAAAAAAAATCAAATACTATATGCAATAAAAAAAAAATATGTCCTGAGACACAAAAAGGACAGGGAAAACAAAAACAAAAAAAACAGGACTATACATAGGATACAAGGTCGTTTAGACTGGAAGAAAGGAGATTTAGTCAACGGCAATGGAAAAGTTTAAAGAACTAGTTTTAAGTGTTTGGAGTCTGTACAGATATTCAAACGGCTACTAGATGCATACTTGCAAAAACATAATATTCAAGGATATCATTTTTCAATGTAGGGTAATAGCTTCTTGATCCAAGGATAAATCTGACTGCCATTCTGGGGTCAAGAAGGATCTTATTTTCTTAGTTTCTTGCTAAATTAAGTACTTCAAATTGGGCTTTTTGCCTTCATTTGGACCATGTCTCTTTTCAGCCTATGTAACAAGATCTTGGAACTAGAAGTGGTCCATTACAGGCAAAAGCAGTGATATAGTGAACAGCACATTGGTGAAGCAAACTACAGAACTGCAGATATCTTTTCTTTCCTTTAACTACCTTAGGAATAAGGTAATAAGACCAAAAAACACCTTGCAGACCTTTTGGAAGAAATACCAAAACGTAAGACTAGATAACCGTATTAACGTTAATTTCCAAATTACTGGTACAACTTTATAAACTACAGTTGTAGCGGTGCTGAATAGCAAGGTTTCAAACTGAATCCCAATATTGCTGCGTGTATTATCTCATGCTTAGAGATACTAACCTAAGGGCACTGGTGTGGGTGTAGTGGGAAACTAAACAAACCTTCATTCACTAGCCCAATCCGTATCTGGGAAATGATATACAAACAGCCAAACCTGTCACAAGGGAAAACTATACTACACCACAGTAAATGAGGATTTAAAGAATACTCGAGAAGAAAGATATGGACAGACAGACCAGAATTGGCAATTCACCTACTTCTTTCACGAGGAATTGCTGCTGAATATTTCTCAATTTTAAGTCAGGGGTGTGACATCCATTGCTTTTATTTCTTTGGACCAGAGTCTGTAAGAAATGATTAACGGTTAGAAGAACCCTATTCTTAAACCATTAGATTTGCAAGGCTGTGGACTTTTAAAATACCCCGAAGCGGCTGATCACGGCCATATGCATACAGGCCAAAGCGTCTAGATGAGGACTCCCAATTTCAACCTCAATGGCTGGAATAGCTGTTGAAGACTCTCCCACTGACACCTGCAAAAACAAAAACAAAAACACACAAACATAAATATTTAATAGTTAACCCCTTAAGGACACAGCTTCAGAAGCTTGTCTTACCCTTAATGACAAGCAATTTTCTTGCTGTATGCGTTCAACTGCAATTTGCATCTCTCTCGTTTATTGCACCGACACATATTATATACTGTTTTTTTAAAGGACAGAAAGGGCTTTAATTTGATGTAACATAATATAACTATATACACACACACATTAAACAAAAACAAAAAAAAACAAACATTTTGTACAGTTTTTGCAATAATAATGTGTGCCTAATTAGTGCAGGTTAAAGAAAGTAAAAATAAATTCATTAAGTTGTTCTGATTTACAGAATATATAATGTGTCTGGGATTTTAAGTTTTTATGGGTAGTTACAGGTCACAAAGCACAAGGAGTAAAAAAAAATAAAAAAAAAAATAAATAAATAAACTTTTAATGTGGAGCGATTTTAGAATTTGGTATGTTTGTCTTGTAAGCTTAATAGCCATAAAAGAAAACAAAATTGTCACACAAAAGTATATATTTATATAAAGTAGACATCACAGGCTATTGTCCTAAGGTTGTTTTGACACTTTCTACGTAGCCATTTCACCGCCAATCTCTGCTAAATATTGGAGTAAAATTTTGTGTTTTGGCACACAAACTTATAACAAAGAACTTCTCATGTGTATTTTGTAAAGTTCGTGTGTGCTATTCCTGTACAAAGTTTTATTTTGTGTTACATATGGATTACATTTTTGCTGGGCATTTTGTACATTTCATATGTGCCACTAAGTTCAAACCCCCCAAATTATGCTCAGCTAAGTCTTCTGAGTAAAACAATATGCCCAATGTATGACCTAGACACTATTTTGTGAAGTTACACGGCTGTAAAAGAGACGTGACAAGTTAAGGTTTTTAAGTGTGAATTTCCATGGAGGGTTTTGATACGTCCGTGTCCCACTTTGGAGCACTTGAGCAGGCTACATATTACAACTACACCATAAAGGCCTACTATTTCTTAAAGAACACATCCCAGGGTATTTCAAAAGGCAAATTTTGAACCTTAGCGTGGGATCATTTTTTCCGCTAGCTTGTACCAAGTGTAGTGGTAATAAGCATTTTTTTCTGCCTTTTTGACACACAAAGTGAGTTTGCGCAGTATATTTTGCAAACCTTATGTGTACTACGACTGTATACTACTTCATATGTTGCTCAGCTATGTCGGCTGAGTACAGCAATACCCCCGTATGTACCTTTGCCAGGTATATGTGGACATTGAAGGGGCACATTTGAGACACAGCCATTCCAGTTTTTTTCTCAAATTTTGAATTTTTACGCTGTGTCCATGTCCCATTTTAGAGTATTTTACAAGGCTATATAATCCAATTACACCATAAAGGCATACCATTTCTTAAAGAAGACATCCCAGGGTAATTCAAAAGGCATATTTTGAACCTTAGCGTAGGATCATTTTTCCGCTAGCTTGTACCAAGTGTAGTGGTAATGAGCATTTTTTAATGTGTTTTTTTACTTTGTAAAACTTTTTTTACTTTGTAAAACCCGTTTTTAAACTTTTTTTACTTATTAAATGTTTTACACTTTCTTAACTTTTTTTACACTTTTACATTTTTTTCTAAACTTTTCTTTTACCGTTAACCCCTAACTAGCAGTAAGCAGCACTAACAGTAAATTCCCCCTTTCCCATAACTCCCACCCACTCCAGCTAGCAAAATATATATAATTATAAAATATTTAAATTAATTAATTAAATAAATTGAACCCCTGAGGGTTAAAAAATAAATAAAAGTTAATCCTCAAGGGTTAAAAGAAATTAGATTACAGTATAATACTGTGATCTGTATTTTGATCACTGTAGGCAGTGATCAGCTGGCAGGGAAGGGGTTAATTTTTATTTAGACTGGGTAAAGGGGGTGGTATTTAAACGTTACTAAAACTTTTTTTAAACCTTTTTAAAGCTTATTTTAAAACTTTTAACATTAACCCCTAGTTAGCCTAACACCAAATTCCCCAATTCCCCACTAACGTCAACCCATCCCAGCTAGCTAAATATATAAAAATTTTAAATATTTAAATTAATAAAAATAAATTGAACCCCTGAGGAAAAAAAAAAAAAATAAAAAAAAAATAATATCAGACGACATTAAAATGTATACCCTGTCAATTGATCACTGTAGTCAGTGATCAATTGGCAGGGAAGGGGTTAATTTTATTAAAGCAGGGGAAAGGGGGGGGTGAGATTTAACTTTATTTTATTTACACAGGGAGAAGAGGATCAGCTCTGATCCGTCTCCCTGCACTTCACACAGAACCCGGAAGTGCAGGGAGGCGGAAGTTAAGTACACTGAGCACATGTGCTCGCTCTGACAGCCTGTCAGAGCGAGCACCGGTGCTGGGGCAGCCCGATCTGCCTCTAATACAGAGGCAGACCAGAGCACCGTTAACCCCGCGATCGCTGCGATCTGGGGTTAACTTTAGTAAATGACGAAAATTTTCCGTCAACGGTCCTTAACTGAAGGACATGGCTGACGGAAAATTTCCGTCTGCGGTCGGGAAGGGGTTAAAGGAGTCATTTATGTTTATAATGCAAGATATAAATGTTAAAGTATATCATTAGTGTGTGCTTTGGACTTAACCCCTTAAGACCAGAGGGCGTACTACTCCCAGGGAGCCCCCCCCGCAGCACGTCCGACCCCCTGGCAGCCCCGCGGCCATGTGAGAGTGAGTTCCTTGCGAGGACCTCACAATCACATGGCCGGGATAGCTGGCTGCTGCATTGCCAGCAGGGGGGCTGCCTGTAATGACAAGTGGTCCCCCTGCTGGCTGGAAATCAAATTAATAAAAGTTAAAAAAAAAAAATATATATATACATATACACACATATATATATATATATATATATATATATATATATATATATATATATATATATATATATATATATATATATATATATATATATATATATATATATATATGCTAATCACAATATATATATATACACATTTATCTAGGTGTATTTTACTAATTATATATATATTATATATATATATATATAAAAATACAATCGTGTGTGTGTGTGTGTATATATATATATATATATATATATATATATATATATATATATATATATATATATATATATAACTAATTAATTAAGATACCTAATTATGTAAAAATATTATATAACAATTTAATATACTTAATTAGTAGACTGATACTAATGAAATATATTAAATTATTGTTATATATATTTATATATAATATAAAAAATGTAATATGTAAATACGTTAAAAAATAATATATAGATGTGTGTTATTTCGTTCTAACTGTATTGTGATAATATATATACGTATATATCACTATACACACACATATTAATTCTACATATATTTATGTAATATTTTTACATAATTAGGTATCTTAATTAATTACAGTTAGCAGGACCTGCCTGACAACCCATGCCGAAAGTAAAGGGAATTTAATTTGCTAGCACTATATTTAACCCTATAACTTTCCAAGACACCATAAAACCTGTACATGGGGGGTACTGCTCTACTCGGGAGACTTCGCTGAACACAAATATTAGTGTTTCAAAACAGTAAAATGTATTACAATGATGATATCACCAGTAAAAGTTAAGTTTTTTTGCATTTTTCACGCACAAACAGCACTTACACGGACAATATTTGTCCAGCGAAGTCTCCCAAGTACAACAGTACCCCTCATGTACAGGTTTTATGGTGTTTTCAAAAGTTACAGCGTCAAATATAAAGCTTGTGTTTCATTTTTTTTTTTTACATTAAAATTCGCCAGATTGGGTACGTTGCCTTTGAGACCCTATAGTAGCCCAAAAATGAAAATTACCCCTATGATGGCATACCATTTGCAATAATAGACAACCCAAGGTATTGCAAACGGGGTATGTCCAGTCTTTTATAGTAGCCACTTAGTCACAAACACTGGCCAAAATTGGCGTTTTTTGCATTTTTTTTTTCACCCACAAACAAATACTAACGCTAACTTTGGCCAATGTTTGTGACCAAATGGCTACTAAAAAAGACTGGACATACCCCATTTGCAATACCTTGGGTTGTCTACTATTGCAAATGGTATGCCATTATGGGTGTAAATTTCATTCCTGGGCAACGTAACCAATCTGGCGAATTTCAATTTCAAATGTAACGCGCTATATTTGACCCTGTAACTTCCCAAAATGCCATAAAACCTGTACATAGGGGGTACTGTTTTACACGTGAGACTTTGCTGAATACAAATATGTGTATTTTATTGCAGTAAAAGCAAACAGTATTATGACATTGACCGTTAAAATGTCATGTAGAACTAAAAAAATCCAAAAAAAACGTATTTTCTCCCATTTTTTTCATATTAAATTATGTTTCATAGCTAAATATTTGATATTAAATGAAAGCACTGTTTCCCCTGAATAAAATGATATATAATAAGGGTGGGTGCATTTAATATGAAAGAGGTGAATTACGGTTGGACAGCCATGTAGCGCAAATGTCAGGTTTTGTTTACATTTTGTTTCATTCACAACGTGTACATTTTGCTCCGTCCTTAAGGGGTTAAAATAAATGATCCCAACGGGTAAACACAAGATAATAATAACCCAATGTAATGTGGTTTATCTTATTGAACTCAGCAGGATGAAATGCCAAGTTGACCCTGCTGGGACTAGAACATGCAACTCTGAGGTTTGAAACGCTTTTACAGCCCAACTTATCACAGTTGTTAAAGCTTGCAAATGCCATAAATATGTATCATAACTCGAAGCTCTGGATTTGCTTTGGAAGCTAAAAGTTAGAATGATGACTGCTCTCACCGTGGCAAGTATTGTGTATAGCCCAATTAGATCTGCAAAGGGACAAGCCATTTGTTTGGTATGTGCCATCCTACTGTGCAACCCTTTCACTCCCTTACAGGAAAGGGGAAATTTGCAGACTAGCAGAATTCCAATTTCACAGGCTTGTTGACAGTGAATTTCCCATCCCTGTATCTGGTATTTAGGCTAGCTGCATGTAGCATGGTAAAGTTTCAAAGCCCATTGATTTGGTGATAACTCACTTCGCGAACACGTAGAAAAAGCTCTCGTCCACTCGGGGTGACAGCATGAACTTCCTCCTTATTCTCTGCACTTGTTAGCTTGTCTGGGAAAAGCCATCGCAGCACAGAGCTACAGACAGACTCTCCTACAGGGAAAAAAAATGGAGGGAAACATACTTCAAACGAGGAGAGGCTGCAGCTAGGACTGCTTATAACATGTCATGAGGGATGCAAGCACTAACCAGCTTAATAAAACCAATGCAAAATACAGAGTAACCATATCCTGGGGCAGTCGTTAACCAGGGTCCAAATGTAAAAATAAAAAGAAGGGAGAGGGGGTTATAAAATAGTTTTTTCTGTCTGCTTTCTTCTTAACTACATGTGAAATAATCAATGAATCTCAAGCTAGACAGTAGCAGCTTTCTGCATGGAGATCAGATGAAAAAAAAAAAAAAAAAAAGTGAGGGATTTTCAACTAAAACACGTAGCAAATAGCTGCAGTTATAAAACGTATCAAACTACTGTCGTCACTATACACTGCACCCTGCCAACAGCCGTAATTGGTGTGTCCCGTGCAAGTAGTGGCTGCCTTTTGGATATTCTGTGTGCCTAAGGTTTCTGCGTTCATGTCCACCTGTAGGGGCTCTCAATAGGATAGCCACTAGCAACTCCCCCGCAGCAATGACCGAGTAAAACTCAGTCACGTGATGTGGAAGCCACATAGGAAAGCAGATATTTTCAAAATGTATATCATAGATCTAAAGGCTTGCTGAGTCTATTAAATTTGTATGTGAAACGATGAATAAAATTAAGTTACAAAAATAATAAAACGGTTACCTGATTTTCTGTTCTGTAAGACTTGGCTGAACAGATGGGCAGACACACGTACTGTGACTTTTAATGACACTGTGACATTAACTCTCGGATTACCAACATCCTCAGTTATATGGCTCAATTCTCCCATGTTCCTTTTAATTCTGTTTGACATCTTTAAAAATGATTCAACTACATCCCAGGGTGAGGTAACAGGAGAGAAAGGATGGCCAGCTCGGGGGTTTAACCTAAGGCACTGCAGAATATCGATGGAGAGATCCTGTAGAGGTACACAGATTCCTTGTTTGTGGATGTTAAACAAATCTGTAGGGCTAACAGAAGGTTCATTATCTGTGGATATATCCTTAAAACTGTAAAATAATGTGCATGCCATATTGATAGGGAACTCAAAATCGCGACTGCTCTGTATGGACAGAGGGAAACACAGTTCCGTGTATTCTCCTGGTAGTAATTTTGGAAGAGGGAAAGAGTATGAAGTCCTATTGTCACAGGAATCTCTCCACAAGGAAACGCACAGTGTCCATCCTTTCTCCAATACGCAATCTGTGTTGTTCTTTAATTTACAGGCCGCAACAAAACAGTTCGTCCCCACAATGTTGGTCCAGGACACCTTGACCTGGCAGTGTACGGGACATTCCGCTGGTGACGCAGTCAGAATTAATCGGATCAGTGAAGACACCTGGTTGAGGGCCATCAGACATCTTGTCTTCTGATCAAGAATGGATCTCAGTTTTGAAACCCTGAAGGTGGAAATAAAAATCCTGCATGGTTAATAAAGTAACTGTGTCACTATGACTCCTAAGCAAACTACCCTATAAGCACATTTCAAGGATGACTTAATTTCTCATTAAAAAAAAAAAAAAAAAAAAAAAATTTTATCAGTCTTCAGAAAAAAAAAAAGTGTAACCATACATCACAGTAAAGTAAACTGTAAACCGAATGTTCCAATACTTATGTTGTCTACTTTGTGTGACAAGTAGTTGCCTCCATTATAGAATGATTGAGAAAAAAAAAAAAAAAACTGAATTAATACAAATAAAGTAAACTTACAAATTTCCACTACCAAGAAATACAATAATAAAAAGACTTTTGGTATATCTGTGATGTAAGATAAAGAGGAAGGCGGCCTTAAAAACATAAACTAGAAAAATATCGGTCAAGAGGAAGGAACTACATATCTAGATCACTAGCTGTGTGCAAGGTTTTGTTTCTGTAAGTAGCAGAGACTGGCTGCGTTTCATAGAAATTATCTGTGTTGCAGCCATTTCTGTCCTGTGTAGGAGACGACAGTACACTGGTGTTTGTCTAGTGCATCTCAAGCCATTTAAGTTTTACTCTTTTAAATTCAGTGGCATTAACAGAAGTTGATGTTTAGCTCGGTACACCATATCCCTTTATGTAGATGGCTTTACACAATCAGTTGTCAGCACAATACACTACGTGCAATGCAGGGTCACAAATGTCACTAAGGAAGGGATGTCTCAAATAGTAAAAGAACTCGGAATGCAAGGCCGCATTTCGTAACCAGATTCTCCAACTTTACTGTATCACAGTTCAGATTTATAACCTGCATTGCGCAATTCTAAAGCAATGTTTGCAAAAGTTTAAGCATAGTTTAAAAAAAACCAAGGCAGCATGGTGAACTTTTAACAAAATGTTGAAGTTTAAGAAGCCAAACGAACAGACAAGTAAAGATTAGGATTAGACAGGATGCGTCTTGCTTTGAGTTTTCCGAGACCATTATGAAGCTCAAAGTTAACATGAAATACAACTATTTGAGGCTCTGTAATGACCTTCGATGTACACTGCATTCTGTGCTGCCGCTAGCTCATGTCAACATTTTAATTCACATAAATAGGAGTTTGGAATTTTAGGCGAAAGTGTAAAAACATAGAATGTGACGGCAGATAAGAACCATTCGGCCCATCTAGTCTGCCCAATTTTCTAAATACTTTCATTAGTCCCTGGCCTTATCTTATAGTTAGGATAGCCTTATGCCTATCCCACGCATGCTTAAACTCCTTTACTGTTTTTCACTTTTACCACTTCAGCTGGAAGGCTATTCCATGCATCCACTACCCTCTCAGTAAAGTAATACTTCCTGATATTGTTAAACCTTTGCCCCTCTAATGTAAGACTATGTCCTCTTGTTGTGGTAGTTTTTCCTCTTTTAAATATGGTCTCCTCCTTTACTGTGTTGATTCCCTTTATATATTTAAATGTTTCTATCATATCCCCCCTGTCTCGTCTTTCCTCCAAGCTATACATGTTAAGATCCTTTAACCTTTCCTGGTAAGTTTTATCCCGCAATCCATGAACCAGTTTAGTAGCCCTTCTCTGAACCCTCTCTAAGGTATCAATATCCTTCTGAAGATACGGTCTCCAGTACTGTGTACAATACTCCAAGTGAGGTCTCACCAGTGTTCTGTACAATGGCATGAGCACTTCCCTCTTTCTACTGCTAATACCTCTCCCTATACAACCAAGCATTCTGCTAGCATTTCCTGCTGCTCTATTACATTGTCTGCCTACCTTTAAGTCATCAGAAATAATCACCCCTAAATCCCTTTCCTCATATGTTGAGGTTAGGACTCTATCAAATATTCTGTACTCTGCCCTTGGGTTTTTATGTGCAAGCTGCATTATCTTTCACTTATCCACATTAAATGTCAGTTGCCACATTTCTGACCATTTTTCTAGTTTACCTAAATCATTTGCCAAATGATCAGAAACAGCAATGTTTTCTGTTTGTCCAGTGTGGCCAAAAATAAAATAAAAAATGAAATTCAGTTTAAATTGCCAAAATAAGTCTGTTTGAATATATGTGTCTGTATGTATGAACGTACGTACAGTGGCGTACATACAGGGGTTGCCGCTGCCAGTCACTCTAGGGGACTCGGCCGCCCAGCGACTGAGTGCCCGCCGCCACGTGTTTGCGGCCCCAGCCTGTGCGGTTTTAACGCCGAGGAAGGGGGTAGGGAGACACACACCCGCGGATCAGTTTTCGCACCGGGGCCCCATAGATCGTGTCTATGCCACTGTCAGGTAGAGTGGGAGCTTCCCAGTAAAGCTCTTAAACACAAAGCTGGAAAGATGAAGGGTGCGTCTGGATTCCAGCGGTAGCCAGTTTAGCTCTTTTAACATGTCACAATGGTGGGTCATGTAATTACATTAGAATACAAACTGACAGAGTTATGCAGTGTAATAAGTTTATGATGGCAAATTTGCGTTGCTGATCTGTGCTTAGTTAATCAAACCCTGAGTGCAGGAACAGCAACCTCAGAAGACAACATATCATTACAAACAATCTCACCTGTCTGACACCGTACCTATCCCTGAGAGGAGGGCTTTGATCTGCTTGCCTGATCTGGAACCCAACAGCCCAACCTGTGCCTTACTCTGTTTTCGATTCAGTTTACAAAGCAAAAGTTTCCCTCTGTTAGAAACCGCTACAAGCTCCACGTCACCTGCAAGGAAACACAAAACAAATTAACTAGTAAATGCATGCATGTTTTCGTTGGAAAAAATAAAAATTTTAAAAATTCTATTGATATGTTCCTTTAAGTGACCCCACTCCCCCTCCTTGTCATTTCCTAGATCACTTTTGATATTTCCTGTCTCATAACAGGGAATTCTGGGGGCTGATCAGCTCAAATTGGTCATTTTAAGACTGATTAGCTACTGAAGTGCCCTATCCATTTGTTACAGGTAGCAGAGCGTGGTTAGAGTAGAAATATGCAGTAAATATATATTTTTTATGCTGATTTTAACATGTAATATAATTGTTTGACAGAACCAAGCTGTGTGTTTAACGTACCATCTGGGGAACAGGATGTCAGAGCAATAGCCACGACCATAGTTACACTATGGCTAACAGAAGGCATTATGGGATTATGTTGAGTCCTTGTAGAGTCCATTTTAGCTAATGGAGGAATAGTGACAGAGAGGAGGTCGGAACACGTACTGTAATATACGTTGGAGCCACAGCAGAGAGCACAGGAGACAGGGGCTTGCAAACGGTATTCTCTAAACTCACAGGTTGTCCCTTGTGTATTGTTCAGCTGTGTCAAGGTCACTAATAGGCCTCCACAGCCAATGAATAATAAGCAATCCGAGGCCAAGGTCCCATTGCTCATCGATGAGTGAGCGCTCTCGCTGCTCTGCAATTCTAGCCTTGTGGCTCCAATGAAGACAACAGGTTGCTCCAGGTGATAGAGGACTCTCACGCATTCTAGAGGTGTGCCAGAGTTTCCAGATCTTGGAAGACCAGCAGCATTTAAAGGAAAGCAAACTACCTGTCCATCTGGGAAACCACAGAGAATCACTGGAGACTCAAGCAGAGCGCAATCAAGTCCCAGCACCGCTGTGAACAGGGAAGGCTGTAATTTAAGACTACAATTATCACTCGATTCATTCTCTTTCCAGAGAGTAACACACTGCAGTAGCGGATGGACACCAGAGTCTTTCAGTTCTTTAATGGCTCCAGGAGGTGGTTTAATTGAGAATTTCATCTCTCGAAATGGAGTCACAGAAGCAGGTTTGTCACTGCAGTGAAATAGTTTGATCCCCCAGTTTTCTGGATGTTTTGAAGCAGTAACTACAATCCCATGAGCCACGGTGAATGCACAAATGGAGGGATCACACAAGCAGCAGGATTCCATGCCTACAGAGAGGATTTTCACATTTCCTACACTTGTGGGATGGTCATGTTCCTTCAAGCACCTTAGCGAAAAAGAAAATATATTTGTACGTACAAAACAGACAAAAACCAAAAGCAGGGTTTTAAAACCTCACTCTTTTACATCACATCACAAAACCATGTTACACATATAGTAGAATATGAATTTACAAATGTGGTAAAGACATGGCTAATCTATGGCTAACAATGGCATATACTGTCAGAGCTGCATGTACATGGACCTATACACTCCCTCAATGAAGGTCTCAGAGAGGACGGTGTGTGAACCGATCATGGAATTGCTAACGTCAACGGTGGTATCTCCATGGCAATTAAGGTAGCAAAACATCAATTGTCTACATTTAATACAATGTTATTTAGATAGTGGCTAGAGCAATATATTGATTATATATTATCTTATATTCACTGCCATGATTTCTCCATGAGAGGTATAGCAATGTATTATAAGGATGTGCAATTTATTTCAGAACTAATCAAATTTCCAAATCAGTGCAACACAGAAACGAAATCATACGGATCCGTAGCAAATCCAATTCATTTTAATACGGCTGGTTGAAACAATAGGAGTAAAGGCGAGATAAATAGGGAAGGTAACAATAATGTAATAAATGATTAAATCAAGAATAAAAGCGGCAGAATTTCGGAAACTAACTATGCCAGTTTTGTTTCAAACAAATAGTTTCCAGAATGCGGACGAACAAAAATTAAACAAATCTCATTTTCTCCCTGCACATGTCTAATGTATACTTCCTACCGCTCTGCCCGAGTTTTACTTCGAACAACACATGTAAGAGTGGTTATGAACACATGGCTCAACCCATTTGGTTTCAATGGAGATTCAGCGTCTGCTTCACGATGGCCAACCACTAGCTGTTAAAATGTCACATTTGGTTGTGCCTGCGATCAGCTTTAAGAGTTTGAATAAGGACTATTCGTATTGTGGGAAATGGAGGCAGAGGAGGATTTGAAATTTGGACAATGTGCCGGAGACCTCAGAAACAAACAGATCAATGAACTTTCATTATTTGGCAAGTGGCATAATCCTGATTCTCACCTTCCTTCTTCATCCAAATCAATAAAGTATATTCCATTTTTGGCACAGAGGACATAAATCTGCCTTGTAGATAAGACCAGCTCAATATGCCAAACTTTTGCAGGGAACAAATGCACGGCCTGTAAACGAATAATAAATCAAAATGTGCTCATGACGGACGGACAAACAAACAAACAAACAAAAAAAACCCAAAACAAACAAAACAAAAACACATTTACCTCACGCTTAACATATTTCACACCGACTGGTGCAACGTTTGCAAAAGACAGTCAAGCAATTGATCAGCTAACTAACGGCTTATTTTCTAATTAGTGAAATATGATGAATAGACATGGAAAAATGCTACAATAGGGCCCAAAAAGCAGTAGCGTTGAAATATTAGTGACAGAGAGGGATTTTTATTTATTTTTTTTAAACTTGATGTTGTAACTGCCTTCTGTTTACCACAAAAACACAGAATGAATATTCACTGAAAATATTAAAAATTGTTTGTTAGAGTCTTGCCGAAGACAATTTGACGATTATATTGCCTATACAAAAACATTCTAGAATGGTAAGAAAACCAACATAAGCTAAACATAGAAACAACTGCAAACATAATCCAAACACAGCAATAAAAGGATTAGTGATTCACCGTGAATTGTCAGGAAATGAAAAAAAATTCAAATTTTTGAGGCAACAAAGGGCGATTTTTGCCAAATATTTTAATTTCTACCAATGGAAACTTTAATTAAATCACCCTGAATCGATGAAATATCAATGTCCCTGGCACAGGAAGAGTAGGAACTGCGGATGTCTCACCATTACACGTCTTGTCTTCATGTCATACAGAGAAACAAACCTGGTGCCGTTAGACACATAGACTGCGCGTTCCCAACGTATAACCTGGGCTTGGTCTGACGCTGGGCCATGTGCTGGGCGCTGCAGCGCTGCCAGGTACCGGACAGAAGACATGGTACCTGCTGTCAGGGCGAGCGCTAGTGCTGTATTATTGTCTGCAAAAGAAGAAGTGAAATCCTATCACAGCCAGCCACGCAGTACTTGAAACATGCATTAGCAGTGCCCCAAAGTGTTCTATGGACACGGCAAATCAGTGTGCTACCACATTAGCCATTTCTGCAGCCAGATGGCTGTCCGTTACATTATGTCACTGTTTAGTGAATATAACCCTTCTATTACATAGAACATTGTGAAACCCCCTGCCTCTTATTAGTACACTCCTGCACTTTCTTAACCCATAAAAAACACATTCACCTGCTCTTGATATTCCAATTATCTCCAATTTTTATTTTTCACAGTTTAGCAATGATCTGTTTTCTCCTCCTCTTTATTTCCTCAATCTCCCTCAGTATAAAAATCTCTCCTTACACCCACTTCACTCATCCCCCCCATCCACATATGCCCTTCTCTGCTACACTCCCCCCTTCTCTCATCTCATGCCTTACACTCATTTTTCTACTCTCTCACTCCAACCCACAATCAATCTCATCCTAGACCCCATGCATACAAAACCCATTCACACCTCCTGTCACTTTCTCTCCTCCTACTTCTAGCAGCTGGTGATGTCTCTCCCAATCGAGGGCCCTTCACCTTCTCTACACACACTAAGACAACCAGAAACCCCACAAACCTAATCACAATACCCTTCCCTTTACCCTCACTTACCAAAATTAATTGTGCACTCTGGAATGCCCGCTCCATCTGCAACAACCATACACGACTTTTTCATCTCAAACTCACTCACACTGCTTGCACTTAAAGAGACCTGGCTGTCCCCCTCTGATAGCGCTACTCCTGCCTCTTTATGTTTTGATGGGCTACAATTCTCTCACACTCACAGACTCAACTGTAAAGGAGGCGGCGTAGGCATCCTTCTCTCCCATCAATGTACCTTTCAACCAATCATAACTGCCCCTGCCCTATCCTTTTCTTTTGAAGTTCACACTGTCCGCCTATTTAAACCCACTCCTTTAAGAATTGCTATCATCTACCGCCCTACCGGTTATCCTAGACTATTCATTGAGCACTTTTCTTCCTGGCTTCCCCACTTCCTCTCATCTAGCACTCCTTCCCTTATACTAGGAGATTTCCATATCCCAATCAATAACCCCAATTGCACTGATGCCTCTCGTCTGCTCTCTGTAACCTCCTCCTTTGGCCTTACGCAATGGTCCAATTTAGCAACCCATACAGCAGGAAACACTCTTGATCTTGCCTTCACCAACCTTTGTACTGCCTCTAAAATCTCTCCAATATTCCTTTTCCTCTGACCACCATCTGCTGACTTGACATTGGCATACCTAAGACTAGTGATGTCGCGAACATAAAAGTTTTGGTTCGCAAACGAGAACCTCCGCAAAAGTTCGCAAACGGGTGAACCCGGCGAACCGCGGTGGGGGCCCTAAATACCAAAAAAAAGGGGGGACCTAAGGTCCTCCCCCCTGAGCGGCGGGTGGGGGCCCTAAAAAGGGAAAGTTCTTTGGAATTTTCCCACGCTGTGTAATAATTCCAAAGAACTTTCCCACGCTGTGTAAAATGACACAGAGCACTCTGATTGATTACCTGTCAGTCTCTTCATTTACTTGTCAGAGCACTCTGATTGGATGACTTAAACCCACCAATCAGAGTGCTCTGAGCTTAATTGCAGGGCGGGACAAGGCTTTATAAGCCCCCCCCTGCAGAGCTCAGTCTGTAGACCCCTCCATGGGTGAAGATTTTTTTTTTTTCTCTTTTCTTTAATTGCGTCGGTTATTATGGTTTATTTGGCCTTTTTTGGGACTGAAAAAAAAGAAGATTTTAGAAGAAAGAAAACGAATGGTAAGTTTTTTGTTTTTGTTTTTTTTAAACAGGTACTTAAAGGTACCCCCTCATTATTTAGGTAGGGGGATACTTTTTTTTGGGGGGGGGTGACTAGGGGTTTGGGGACCCCTAGTCACCTGGGGGGGAGAACATTAGGTGTCCCCCCCTATTTTTGTTTAGGGCCCCCTCCCGCCACTCAGGGGTGGGAGCCAGGGGGGAGGACATTAGGTCCTCCCCCCCTTATTTTTGTTTAGGACCCCCACCCGCCGCTCAGGGGTGGGGGCCGGGGTGAGGACATTAGGTTCCCTCCCCCCCCCCCCACTTGTGTTTAGGGGGCGGACCAAACATCGCATATGTTCGCCGTCCGCGGGACATCACTACCTAAGACCCAATTGACATCGTCTGAACATCACTCTCACAGAAACCTCCAATGTCTTGACCTAGAGCATTTCTCCACTAATCTCCAAATCTCACCTGTCCTAGTTCTGCAACCTCCTTCTACAATTCCACCCTCTCCTCTCAACTAGACATCATGGCACCTTGTATATTTAAACGCCGCAGGCCCCCCCAACAACAACCCTGGCACACCAAGCTCACTCGATACCTCCAAAAATGCTCCAGAACTGCTGAATGCTGTTGGAGAAAGTCTCACTGTGCATCGGACTTTCTCCACTATAAATTTATGCTGAGCTCCTACAGCTTGGCTCTTTTCTCTGCAAAAGTTAATTACTTCAATACCCTCATAACCACACTCTCCCGCGAACCCAAACGACTATTTCACACATTTAACTCTCTTCTTCACCCTGCTGTTCCTCCTCCACCTACTATCTTGACCGCCTCAGACTTTGCAACTCACTTCACTAATAAGATCTCTACAATCAGAGAAGAGATCTCTCATCTTTCCTCTTCCCCTTACAATACGTCCCCTAACTTCACTTCCTCTGCTGTTCTATGTTCATTCGCACCCGCTACATTGGAAGAGGTTTCTGCTCTGCTCCAGTCCTCCAGCCCCACCACCTGCTCCCTAGATCCAATTCCCTCGCATCTCATCCGTACTCTGTCTTCTCTTTCTCGCACTAAAATTCTCTCTCTCCCCCCTCCCTCTGGTATATTTCCATTGCCCTTCAAAAATGCAACTGTAACCCCAATTCTAAAGAAGCCAGATCTTGACCCTAACTCCCCATCCAACTACCGTCCTATCTCGCTACTGCCTTTTGCATCCAAAATGCTTGAAAAAAAATTGTGTACGCGAGATTGACAGACTTCCTCGAGTCCATCTCTCTGCTAGACCCGCTTCAGTATGGTTTCCGCGCTAAGCACTCTGTGGAAACGGTACTGACTAAAGTATCCAATGATCTACTCGCTGCAAAATCTTGTGGTCACTACTCTATCCTAATTCTCCTTGACCTGTCTGCGGCATTTGACACTGTTGATCATCAACAGCTTCTTCTCATCCTCCGCAATACCGGTCTACAAGATATTGCTCTCTCCTGGTGCTCCTCCTACCTCTCCCAGCGCTCTTTCAGTGTTTCATTCTCTGGCTCTGCTTCTTCTCCCCAACTCCTCTCAGTTGGTGTCCCCCAAGGTTCAGTCCTTGGTCCCTTACTGTTCTCCATCTATACTGCCTCCCTTGGTATACTCATTAGCTCCTTTGGCTTCCAATATCATTTCTATGAAGAAGACACGCAAATCTACCTGTTCTATCCTGATCTCACCCAGTTCCTCTTGACTAGTGTCTCTGACTGCCTCTCTGCTGTTTCTAACTGGATGGCTGCCAACTTCCTTAAACTAAACTTGACCAAAACTGAAATTCTGGTCTTTCCTCCCTCAAGTGTTGTTACTCCTGTGTGTCTCCCTCCAAGTCAACGGTGCTACCATCAATTCCACCATGCAGGCTCGCTGCCTAGGTGTTCTATTTGACTACGACCTCTCCTTCAAGCCTCATGTCCAATCTATTGCCAAATCCTGTCATTTCCATCTAAAAAACATTGGGCACATCCGCCCCTACTTAACGCGAGGCTCATCTTCCTGTCCGCCCGCACCTCCCATGCCTCACCCTTCTGTCAGTCCCTACATTGCCTTCCTATAAAATATAGAGCTTAATTTAAAATTCTGGTTCTTGCTTTCAAATCTCTACATAATGCTGCTCCCACCTATCTATCCTCCCTTATACACAAGTATGTCCTGTCTAGGCCCTTACGATCTGCTGAAGACATCTATCTTCTATCCGTACTCCCACCTCTGATGCTTGCCTTCAAGATTTCTCGAGGGCTGCACTGTTCCTGTGGCTGCATTGTTCCCTCCTCCGTTAGATGCTCACCCAGTCTCCACTCCTTAAAAAAAACAAAAAAAAAACGTTAAAAACTCACTTCTTCATAAAAGCGTATCAATTAAACTGTTAATAGCTCCTGACTGATTCCTCTTCTGCAACTGTCACTAGTCTAATACTATCCTTACCTTTTTGTGTCACTATACCCCACTCCCTCTAACATGTAAACTCACTGAGCAGGGCCCTCAATCCCTCTGTTACTGTGTCACTATACCCCACTCCCTCTAACATGTAAACTCACTGAGCAGGCCCTCAGTCCCTCTGTTACTGTGTCACTATACCCCACTCCCTCTAACATGTAAACTCACTGAGCAGGGCCCTCAGTCCCTCTGTTACTGTCACTATACCCCACTCCCTCTAACATGTAAACTCACTGAGCAGGCCCTCAATCCCTCTGTTACTGTGTCACTATACCCCACTCCCTCTAACATGTAAACTCACTGAGCAGGACCCTCAATCCCTCTGTTACTGTGTCACTATACCCCACTCCCTCTAACATGTAAGCTCACTGAGCAGGGCCCTCAATCCCTCCGTTACTGTCACTATACCCCACTCCCTCTAACATGTAAGCTCACTGAGCAGAGCCTCAATCCCTCTGTTGCTGTGTCACTATACCCCACTCCCTCTAACATGTAAACTCACTGAGCAGACCCTCAATCCCTCTGTTACTGTGTCACTATACCCCACTCCCTCTAACATGTAAACTCACTGAGCGGGCCCTCAATCCCTCTGTTACTGTGTCACTATACCCCACTCCCTCTAATATGAAAACTCACTGAGCAGGCCCTCAACCCCTCTGTTCCTGTGTGTCCAACTTGTCTGGTTACAACTACATGTCTGTTCGTCCACCCATTGTTAAGCGCTGCGGAATTTGACGGTGCACTATAAATATCATAATAATATTATTATTATTATTAATATCCATGTGTGTATGGTATGCTGTATTATTTTGTAATAAATAATATAAAAGGAACTCTTACTAATTAGAACCCCTGTTAAACAGTACATGTGATAAACAAGTTCCAGTTCAGTAAATATCCCTATTTGACCCATACGTTATAATAACCGTATAATACCTGATCCATACATTATTATAACAGTACAATATACAATATTTGACCCATACATTAAAACACAGTATAATGCACAATATTCGGTCTATTCGATCCATACATTATAACAGTATAATACACAATATCCATTCATTATTACAACACACACTATATTTGATCCATACATTATTACAACACTGTATATTTGATCCATACATTATTATAACACACACCCTGTGTAATATTTGATCCATACATTATTATAACACCCTGTGTAATATTTGATCCACACATTAACACACACCCTGTGTAATATTTGATCCATACATTATTATAACACACACCCTGTGTAATATTTGATCCATACATTATTATAACACACACACACACACACACACACACACACCGTGTAATATTTGATCCATACACTGGGAGGCCCGGTAGGTAACTATACCGGCTGAGAGGTCACCTACCGTCTCACCTGCCCCATTATTATAACACACACACTGTGTAATATTTGTTCCATACATTATTATAACGCACACACACAGTGTGTAATATTTGATCCATACATTATTATAACGCACACACACAGTGTGTAATATTTGATCCATACATTATTATAACGCACACACACACACTGTGTAATATTTGATCCATACATTATTATAACGCACACACACACTGTGTAATATTTGATCCATACATTATTATAACGCACACACACACTGTGTAATATTTGATCCATACATTATTATAACGCACACACACACTGTGTAATATTTGATCCATACATTATTATAACGCACACACACTGTGTAATATTTGATCCATACATTATTATAACGCACACACACTGTGTAATATTTGATCCATACATTATTATAACGCACACACACTGTGTAATATTTGATCCATACATTATTATAACACACACCCTGTGTAATATTTGATCCATACATTATTATAACGCACAGACAGTGTGTAATATTTGATCCATACATTATTATAACACACAGACCCTGTGTAATATTTGATCCATACATTATTATAACACACACTGTGTAATATTTGATCCATACATTATTATAACACACACACACACTGTGTAATATTTGATCCATACATTATTATAACACACACTGTGTAATATTTGATCCATACATTATTATAACACACACCCTGTGTAATATTTGATCCATACATTATTATAACACACACACTGTGTAATATTTGATCCATACATTATTATAACACACACACTGTGTAATATTTGATCCATACATTATTATAACACACACACTGTGTAATATTTGATCCATACATTATAACACACACCCTGTGTAATATTTGATCCATACATTATTATAACACACACACACTGTGTAATATTTGATCCATACATTATTATAACACCCACCCTGTGTAATATTTGATCCATACGTTATTATAACACACACTGTGTAATATTTGATCCATACATTATTATAACACACACACACTGTGTAATATTTGATCCATACATTATTATAACACACACACACTGTGTAATATTTGATCCATACATTATTATAACACACACTGTGTAATATTTGATCCATACATTATTATAACACACACTGTGTAATATTTGATCCATACATTATTATAACACACACTGTGTAATATTTGATCCATACATTATTATAACACACACCTTGTGTAATATTTGATCCATACATTATTATAACGCACACACTGTGTAATATTTGATCCATACATTATTATAACACACACTGTGTAATATTTGATCCATACATTATTATAACACACACTGTGTAATATTTGATCCATACATTATTATAACACACACTGTGTAATATTTGATCCATACATTATTATAACACACACTGTGTAATATTTGATCCATACATTATTATAACACACACTGTGTAATATTTGATCCATACATTATTATAACACACACTCTGTGTAATATTTGATCCATACATTATTATAACACACACTGTGTAATATTTGATCCATACATTATTATAACACACACTGTGTAATATTTGATCCATACATTATTATAACACACACTGTGTAATATTTGATCCATACATTATTATAACACACACACTGTGTAATATTTGATCCATACATTATTATAACACACACCCTGTGTAATATTTGATCCATACACTGGGAGGCCCGGTAGGTACCGATACCGGCTGAGAGGTCACCTACCGTCTCGCCTTCCCCATTAACCCCCGCGGTTCCCCTGCCGCCGTGTTTCCCCTGCCGCCGTGTTTCCCGCCCTTTCCGTTGCCATGGCAGCAGCTCTGGCTCTCGGTCCTCGAATGCGCTCAGGAACTGCGCTCCGCCCACCACGTGACCGCTCTGTCCAATCCCGGCGCACTCTCCATACTGAGCGCTGATTGGCCGGCAGCTCTCAGCGAATATGCGGAAACTGCAAGTCACAGCCCCGCCCACCGAGTGGCTGCCTGGCTGAGCCATACCTGCCAAGTGTCCCTGTGTCAGAGGGGCAGTCCCTATCTTGGCTCCAAAGCCCTCTCTCCATCTGTTCCAGGAGCTCCTTATTGTTGGAGTCTGAGAATAACAGAGCTCCATATTGTGGAATTACAGTGAAATCACAATATAGGTCAATCAGTCTGATTGGAAACACAGCTAAGTTGTCAAACTGTTCCTAGAGGGTTACTGCAAGCCTTAAATAAAGGCCCCCCCTTAAAATGTAACCTGACATCGGCTGGCCGGGCACCGCTCCCATACCTGACATCATCCCGGCCCTCCCATGGTCCAATCACAGGCTTCCCCGGGGATGTGGAGGGATATTTTAATTACAATAAAAGCCCTGTCTATACAATAGAGGGAGCGTCCGCAGGGTGGCAGGGGAAAGATATCTTGGAAGCGAACTAGCCGTAAGGAGGAAATATATTTTGCGTCTGTTACCAGCACATTGTGCGCATTGGCGACAGATGCAAATTATGCACCAAATTGACATTAGGCAGCCTGTTCTGAGCTCCCTACGTCACGTGTTCTGGTGGTGCAACTAGACTCTGGCCCACAATTAAAAATAACTGGATGTGCAGTGTTTCAAGCAGTTAATGTGTGTGTGTGTGTGTCTGTCAGTGAATGTGTATGTTTGACTGTCAGTGAATGCGTATGCCAGTGTGTATGTACGTGTGTCTGTTAGTGAATGTGTATTCCTGTGTGTGTGCTGTCAGTGAGTGTGTATGTGTGTCTGTTAGTGAATGTGCGTCAGTGATTGATTTTGTATATCAGTGTGTGTGTGTGTCTGCCAGTGAGTGTGTATATGTGTGTCAATGAATGTGTTTGTCAGTGTGTATGTGTGTGTCTCTCCATGAATGTATATGCCAGTGTGAGTGTGTCTGTCAGTGAATTTGTATATCAGTGTGTGTGTATGTGTCTGTCTGTTAATGTGTGTGTGTGTGTGTGTGAGACTGTCAGTGAGTGTGTATGTCAGTGAATGTGTGGCCTGCAGCGGTAATACCAGTGCAGTGTGGGAGAAAAGGTGAATAAAATCCGGTCACCTAAACAGCCGCTGTTACATGTTTGTGTGCCTGACACTATAGTTTTCCTTTCATCTTCCCTCTGTGACACCATTATAAATGTTAAATGAAAAGCTGCCAACAAAAACGTGCTTTATTGGGTGAAGAAAATGCAGTAAATATATTGTAAGATGCGTTACACATTCACATAGAGTAATACAATGTACAGATCTCTATAACAGTAAATAAATGGCTTATACTTTAACTGATATATAATATAAACGAGGAAGCTCCACTCATGGGTTGCAAACAGTCCTTCAGATAATATAATACATGGGTTTTATCACTAAAGTGTTAATTGTCAGATGTTCAAAGTGAATTTCACATTTTAGAACAAAACAGCCCAAAATGGTTTTCCATTGTTATCTAATTTGGCCTAAAATGTAAAATGAAAACAGAATTCCCAACAAATCATACTTTAGTGATAACCATGCAGATTTTCACCCAGAATCGAGCGGAGGATAAATCTGAGACGTGTTAGAGACCTTTGATTCATAATTTGTTAACCAATATTTTTAATGAATGGTACCGTGATAATAATAGTGAATAATGATTACTTTGCAATGTAAGGAAGTCCTACAACGCTCTCCTATCCGTGTTATTCACTCTCGTCAGGAATTCACAGAGAATTTGATGCTAGGCCGAAATTGCCGATTTGAAAAATTCTCCAAGACTGCTATGTTTGGCCTAACATTTGACATATTCTATGGGTTTCGTTTGCACCACTCACCCCGATGTCGTCTCTGCTCCTCGTCCCCCGACGTCAGCCGGCGTTGGTGACCTAACAAGCATGCGCGGTGAGTGCCGCACTCGCATGAGGACTACCCCATAGTAAAACATTAAATCAATGATTTCCTATGGGGTTTTTGCTGACGCTGGATGTCCTCATGCAAAGCGTGAGGACGTCCAGCATCAGTTAGGCGACCAAAAATCGCCCAACGACCCTGAAGTGCCTCCAGTGGCTGTCTGGTAGAATGCCACTAGAGATGGAGTTAATTAAGAGGTGTAATTATTGCGGCTTATCAATAATAACTGCAGTATGTCCGCTTGCAGAGCTAAACTGACAGGGGCACTACACCCAGACCACTTCAATGAGCTGAAGTGTGGGAGAAAAGGCAAGAAAAAACAAATTCCCCATTCGATTAGAGAAGGGCCGGGAACCTAAATAGTTAAACACTATAATGTTGTAATAATACGTGTCAGCTTCCGAGCCTTGTGAACCATTGGCATTGTGTGAGAAATACAGAGATATGTCCATTCTCTCCCTTTTGTCTCTCGGTAATGCAATCGGGTAAAAAGATCTCAGTGAACAAATAATCTGGAAGAGGACATTATGTTCATGTGGGTAATATTTGGAATTTGGGACGGTCTGGAAGAGAGGAAAGTCTAAACCTATAGGAGCAGGCTGAAATGTATTATTAACATTTTTTGAAATCACTGGATTAAACAAAATTCAGATTGTATATGAAGGCTTCTCATATTCTACTGGAGAATGAACAATGTTTTTGCAGATGACACAATATGGCCAACTGATGGGACAGGCACATGTCAAGTAAAGAGCATTGATTGGTTTTTGGAATGCTAGTTATACACAGATATTAAGTCGGTGAATATGGGAAAGACGTGCACTCATCGTGTGAGGAAGGAAGCTTTAAGATCTTCTCCTCTGGACTTGAATCTGGGAGAAGGCCACGGTGGCTCATTGATTTTAACACAAACCAGCCCTTAACCTTCCTTTGCCAGGTGAGCACTGCATTTTATCGCCAGGTCAAAAAGTGCTAATTAATAATATATCCTAAACATCTGAGTTCTGTAGTGAGTCCACAAGAGGAGCTTTGGTAATGAGGTTGGGATAGGTCATGAGGACATGTTTGATATGTTGAGCGTTGGGATACAATCGATAAAATGAAAAGTATCTTTTCTCTTTATGACGGGTTAACTGCAACCCTGGTCTTCTTAACCTTCCTCCTTTCATGGCCTGTTAACACTCCTGGATTCAGCTGGAGTGTTGGGACCAGGTATGGCTTTTCCACCGGAGAGGAAGGTCCTGGTGGAGCCTGTCTTCCAGTGTTCATCTGGTCCACAAAAGCTTCTACGCTTTCAAACTTAGTGCTGAGTTCTCCCAGGCGCTCTTTAAGAGCATTAAACTCCTTGTATAAATCATCTAAGGCTTCCGAAAGAGACTTTATCCTGAAAGAAGAACACAAGAAGAGTGAAAGGCAGCATAGGGCACACAACGGTGGCATTTAGACATCTCCGAGGCATGGCTTGCCATGTCTGACTTGGATTTAGGAGGAGGCTTACAATCATGTCTTGCCAGTTAGATATTATCACACAATATGAGCCTACTAGGTCCTACAATAAATGACTAGAATTATTGGGTCCCAAAATAAAGTTAATCTCATGGCCGCCATGCTCCCTCCTCTATGTTTTATCTGAATTAATACTCTCTCTATCCTCAGACTTCTGAGTTGATCTCTTGCTCCCCCACCCCTTCTTTTGGTTTCTTTTTTGCTTCTTGTTCCTCAAATTCTGTTCTTTTATCCTGTCACCCCCCATCCTCTGTGTTTTTTTCTCTCCTCATTTATTATTTTATGCCACCTTTGAATGGTGTGTTTTGTTCTAACTGCTCTTTCAACCCAATAGCCAATACATCAGCATTGTGGTCCAAAGCCACCAAATTGTGGCCTTCAAGTCTGGATTTTTCAGACAGACAGAGACCTACCTTCCATAATCTGGAAGCACTGTGTGATGGTCATACAAAAGTAAGTTTCTGAACTGGGTCAGGATGGCAAATTTCCAGTTGTCCAGGACGTTGGTGAGATTGGCACAGCCGCGCATGTTAACCTTCTCAGCTGCAGGAGTCGAAAAAGAAGACACGTCAAGGAGCCGGCTGGTTCATTGAGTTAATTTATTCCATAACCACTTAACACGTCACATATAGCGATATCTGCTATTTTTGTTTTGATAATTGCTTAGAAGGGAAGATACAGTGAGAGGAGGTCTTCCTAAACAATCAAACATTCATATTTACTAATATACATGTACTTTTTAAAATTTTGTTTTAAGTTGGATGCTTGAAATTCGAGATGTCCATGGGGAGGAAAACTGCTCTGTTTCGTTAATGTTATAATTTAGTTTCGTCCCAAATTTGGAAAATATTTAGAAAATGTTATTTATTTTCTAAATTTAGACACACATTATATCCTATAGGGAACTAATGAGGGTGGCAGCCACAAAACGTACAAATTACCAGTTAGGGATTTATCTGCTACACTGATGAGAGATAAAAATTAAGAAATGCCCTTTTTTCTGGCATTAAAGGGATGCTAGAGTGTTAGGAATGCAAACCTGTATTCCTAACACTATAGTTCTCTCTGACTTCCCCTCCCTTGCGCCCCGGCCAATAAAGGATTAAAACCCCTGATTCCAGCGCCGGTGTCCCTCGGCACTGAGTTGGCACTCTGCGTCCTCCAACGTCATGCAATGGGGGGGCTAAAGCCCTTGTGAGGCAACCAAAAGTCCAGTAAAATCCTGGAAACGCCTCTAGTGGCTGTCTGGTAGATAACCAGTGGAGGCTGTCTTAGTGCTGAAATGTTTTACATTGCAGGGCTAAGGGCAATAGGGACACTGCACCCGGACCACTTCAATGAGCTGAAGTGGTATTGGTGCCTACAGTGTCCCATTAAGCCAGGACAATATTTATTCAGCCCTTCTGCAAAGATATTCAATACACGTTTTAGATTTGCTTTAAATGTGCAGTGTTCAAGATAGCTATATTCACTGATCTCTGTATTGTAGCAAATTGATATCTGAGCGGCAAAATCAAGGCTAAATAGGCGATATGGAAAATTTCTCCAACTCGGCATTAGTCACACCTTTTTATTTTTGTCTAAAATATGCAAATTTGATTTCAATTAGTACAATTCCCTGTTTAGCGAGTATGCTATATTATTATGTTGCATTATTTTCTATAATATATTTCTAGTAAGATAACGTTTTGCAGTTGTGGCCAGTTTAGCGTCTTTCTCCGACGCATATTACCTTCGGACCGGTAGTCCCATTCCATTGGCTCTCGTTTCTGCTTGGCAGCAAAGCCCAGCGCAAAAACAAGCAGCAGACATAACAGTCGTTCCATCATACTGGTACCTGCGAAATCCGAAAGAAAAATGTCACCTTTTGCCAAAGCCGGTATTTTAACATGTTTAATATGTAGGTGCATTACATTTTTCAAGAACTGACCACTCAGCAGGGGATGGCACCCTTCGGGACTCCAGATGTTGTGGACTACATCTCCCCTGATGCTTTGCCGGCTTGACGGCTGTAAGAGCATTATGGGTGATATTGTCTACAACATCTGGAGTGCCAAAGGTTGCCTACCCCTGGACCGGGGAATCTGATATTTTGAGCCAAAATAGACAAATTGGGGAAGAAAGCATTCCGATGCAGGTCATTTTTGTCAGCTAAGTATTTTTGCTTTAGTAATTCCCTGGTGAGTTCAGATTCAGGGTGGATTGTGTCTGTGTATCGCACGCGGTCCACACCTCTCGGAGAATTGGGTTGGGGTAACCACGTCTGCATGATGTCAATAGGTAAGTAGCGTTGGAAGGAGCCTCAGCGAGAGATAAAGGAAGGTGGAAACATGGGGGGCTGTATTATTAGGGGCAGGGGCACTAAATACAGGTTTGTATTCCTAACGCCTTAGTGTTCTTGTCATGGGTGTTTTTTTAAGGAATGTTAGACCCTTTTCAGAATTTGATGGCCAGGATGAAACGGGTAAATTCTAAACATCTTCGAACAGTTCCTTCTAGTGTGGGCATGATAGGAGTGGGATGGACTGGGGTGGTCAGTGTGGGGTTAATGAGTATTACAGGGGCCTGTCTCAGAGCCATTCCCATCCCCATCTGGGCCAGCAAGTCACGTGTTCACCGAGAATCAGCAGGAAAAGTGAGAGTGAATTAAAAAACAAAATCTGTCTTCAGTGTGAGTCACGTGTGAGTGGAATGTTGGATGCAATATTGTAACAACACTTCTCACTAAACAGACACCTCCTCCATATACAGAGACACCCCCTCCATATACAGAGACACCACCCTTCCCTCACCCCCTCCTTATACAGAGACACCACCCTATACAGAGACACCACCCTTCCCTAAACCCCCTCCTTATACAGACACCCCTCCTTATATAGAGATATCACCCTTCCCTCACCCCCTCCATATACAGAGACACCACCTCCTTATACAGAGACACCACCATTCCCTCACCGCCTCCTTATACAGAGACACCACCCTATACAGAGACACCACCCTTCCCTAAACCCCCTCCTTATACAGACACCCCTCCTTATATAGAGATATCACCCTTCCCTCACCCCCTCCATATACAGAGACACCACCTCCTTATACAGAGACACCACCATTCCCTCACCGCCTCCTTATACAGAGACACCACCCTTCCCTCACTCACTCCTTATACACAGACACCACCCTTCCCTCACCCCCTCCATATACAGAGACACCACCTCCTTATACAGAGACACCACCCTTCCCTCACCCCCTCCTTATACAGAGACACCACCCTTCCCTCACCCCCTCCTTATACAGAGATACCACCCTTCCCTCACCGCCTCCTTATACAGAGACACCTCCTCCTTATACAGAGACACCACCATTCCCTCACCGCCTCCTTATACAGAGACACCACCCTTCCCTCACCACCTCCTTATACAGAGACACCACCCTTCCCTCACCGCCTCCTTATACAGAGACACCCCCTCCTTATATAGAGATACCACCCTTCCCTCACCCCCTCCATATACAGAGACACCACCCTTCCCTCACCCCCTCCTTATACAGAGACACCCCCTCCTTATACAGAGATACCACCCTTCCCTCACCGCCTCCTTATACAGAGATACCACCATTCCCTCACCGCCTACTTATACAGAGACACCACCCTTCCCTCACTCTCTCCTTATACACAGACACCACCCTCCTTCACTCCCTCCTTATACAGAGACCCACTTTCCTCACCATCTTTTAATACAGAGATATCACCCCATCCTTACACAGAGATACCACCCTTCCCTCACCGCCTCCTTATACAGAGACATTACACCTCCCTTACCCCCTCCATATACAAAGATACAGCCCCTCTCTCACCTACTCTTTATACAGAGACATCACCCACCCCTCAACTCTGCTAATACAAATACGTAATTCCTCTTACCTCGTCCTTATACAGGGAATTCATTATACAGACCTTTATTCTTCACCTTAAACAGATACAGTATCTGAAACCTCCTCTTTATAAACAGATGTCAGGACACCCTCATCTCACCTACCCCCAAACACAGAGACATCAGGACACCCTCATCTCACCTACCCCCAACACAGACATCAGGACACCCTCATCTCACCTACCCCAAACACAGAGACATCAGGACACCCTCATCTCACTTACCCCCAACACACAGACATCAGGACACCCTCATCTCACCTACCCCTAACACAGAGACATCAGGACACCCTCATCTCACCTACCCCTAACACAGAGACATCAGGACACCCTCATCTCACTTACCCTAAACACAGACATCAGGACACCCTCATCTCACCTACCCCCAACACAGAGACATCAGGACACCTTCATCTCACCTACCCCTAACACAGAGACATCAGGACACCCTCATCTCACCTACCCCAAACACAGAGACATCAGGACACCCTCATCTCACCTACCCCTAACACAGAGACATCAGGACACCCTCATCTCACCTACCCCTAACACAGAGACATCAGGACACCCTCATCTCACCTACCCCTAACACAGAGACATCAGGACACCCTCACTTACCCCCAACACAGAGACATCATGACACCCTCACTTACCCCCAACACAGAGACATCAGGACACCCTCATCTCACCTACCCCTAACACAGAGACATCAGGACACCCTCATCTCACCTACCCCAAACACAGAGACATCAGGACACCCTCATCTCACCTACCCCTAACACAGAGACATCAGGACACCCTCATCTCACCTACCCCTAACACAGAGACATCAGGACACCCTCACTTACCCCCAACACAGAGACATCATGACACCCTCACTTACCCCCAACACAGAGACATCAGGACACCCTCATCTCACCTACCCCTAACACAGAGACATCAGGACACCCTCATCTCACCTACCACCAACACAGAGACATCAGGACACTCTCATCTCACCTACCCCAAACACAGAGACATCAGGACACCCTCATCTCACCTACCCCCAACACAGAGACATCAGGACACCCTCATCTCACCTACCCCCAACACAGAGACATCAGGACACCCTCATCTCACCTACCCCTAACAGAGACATCAGGACACCCTCATCTCTCTACTGTATATATACAGATCTCATTGTATAGTTTGTGACTACAAAGCCTAACATCCTTAACCCCCACATGTTTAATCACTGCAAAGGATACTTCACACGTTAGCCACACACAGTGTGCGCCTTACATTGCCCCTCGAGGAGGGTGAGGGCAAGTCACACTTGATGACATTTTATATCAGGAGCCTCAGGACACCTGTGGTACCCCATACCTGATGCTGCTCGCTTCCTCCTAAATAATCCTCTGTGGTCGTCTGCGCACACGTTGGATGATCTCTGTATTTCAGACAGCTGGCTTCCACACTCCGCATTTGATCCTCTCCACCCTTCCTTCCATGGATCCAGCCCCTTGTCTGATCTCACCGGGATGGCTCACACATTGCTAGCGTGTCTGTAACAGACCCAAGTGGTTACACTCCTCAGTGAGTTAGTGGGGGGTCCTACACTTCGAATCCGAGTAGTGCACCCCTTAAACATCTGAAGTCAATTCCACATTTTGGAAAAAAGAAGACGTGATTCTGTGACGGTGCCTTGCCTATCAGCACTGACCGCATATTGGTCCTCGTTAGTTATTTTTTCGCAATTTCCTATCAATGCCTCTGAGCGGTCAGATTCCTAGTGTTTAAAACCAGGACTTGCTCTGTTTATGTTCTGCATAAAACCATAAGTGGTTGGATCGACATGCGGTGTAATATAAGGAGAGCTTTCAGTACTACTGAAAAATATTTCCCAGTTTCATACTTCCTGACTATTTTGCTTGAGAGTCTTACATCTGGTCATTTGTGTCTGGTTTGTAACATACACAGATTGTGAGATAATACCATGAAATCACCTATAACTTGTTTAACGTTTTTCTCTTGGGATGAGATTTAGGAGATGACATCACAATCCAGTTCAGTCTTGGCACAGTCAGGGCACACACACAGTGCGGAACACTTTTTCATTTGAACTCTTCTCTCTATGATGATTGACAGGTGCAAAGGGCGGAGCTTATAACCATGATTGGCAGGGAGCTAAGATGGAGGCACTTCGCTCCAGAATGACAGTAAATACAGAGGTGTGGATTTCTACGTTTCATTTTTTCAGAGCTCACCTTTAAACATTGCATACTCTGCTTTACTGAAAGAATGCTTCCTCTCCCAGAATCCCATGCAAAATATGCAAATGAGAGCAAACATCACTGTCACAAGATTTCTGATCTGTGTTTTTTGAGGTTGCCATAGTGACAGTCTGATATTTTATATTTAGTTTTCATGAAACAGATTCAAAAGTTATAATCTAAACCTGTGGTGTTTTTACAGAGAGAAGAGAGAAAAAGAGAAAAAGAGAGAGAGAGAGAGATATGTCAGTGCAAATACATCGCACCGCTTGGATGAAATGGAAAGGACAAAAAGAAATGCATGTTTGTGGCTTTCCTGATTGCTATCGGAGACTGGTTAAATTCTGCAGAAAGGTGAGGTTAGCGCACACACCTGTAGGACAGCCTAGGCCCCCTTGTACACAACATTCTGATGAAAATCAAATACAGTTAGGAAATTGGGTTAAAATTTGCAATGTGAGTGCTTGGTTGTTTTTTGCACATATTAAGGCAGCAATTTACATTGCACATTATCAAGATTAGTTTTTTTGGCACTTTGTGTGACTATTGTCTATATATGAGTGTGTTACACTTTGCGTTGCACAGTTTTGTTTTGGCTTTTAAATCATTGAATATATTATATTGCACTTTAATTTTTCAGGCACATATTATAGCCTTAAAGACACAGTGCACTTATTGTTGGTTGTTTCACGTGTTTCACCAGACTGCCTTAGCGTTAGTTAAAACTTGTTTGTGCTAAATTTTAATTTGAATAATAAGTCCAGGACCAGAAATATGGCAGATCGCCTAACACGAGGGTCACACAACCGCTAACAAAACAGCCATTATGCACGCAAAATGGGAGCAATGCAAATAGGATATCAGCAAATAACATATTCCAAAAATACAAAGTAACACACACCATGAACGCAGTGACATGCGCATAGCAATGCAATCACTTCATCAGGTGGATATTCTGAGCGGGTGTCTCGGCTGTAGTCACTTTATTTAACATGTAACAATTTGAATTCTCATGAAACAGGCTCTCTCCTCCTGTGCGGGGTACAGGGACGGAATGCACCTCGCATTAGGAGAAAATACAGCTAAAATAAAGGATGGATCATGGGCTGGAAAAAAGTTATATAACATGAATTTGTGGATTCATGCAGCAATGTGTGTATCTTCTAGTTTGGAAAATACATCTGTTAAAAGATATTTAAAGTCTGAAATCATGCCCCCCCAAAGGGTCTTTAAAAAATTATTTTACACGTGTTCTAGAGATTTGGAATGACGTACATGGAATGCCTTCTTAAGAATGTAAATAACAGCTATTAGTCTTATTGCACAATGCACAGAAGAGGTCTACTGCAGCTATGGGATGGGTAACGGTATGGATTCAGAGAAACCTGTTTACATCTTGCCCATGGGATTGCTGCCAATAATGAGCCATTGGTACATAAAGCAGGCCTGGTTAAAGTGGCTCGAGTGGGCGCTTAGAGAGGTGTTTATGTTCCGATCACAGCAAAGCTCCTGAATTCTACCTCTCTAAATCAATCCAGGGTAATTTTTTTTTTCAAGATGAAAGGCGTATTTAAGCTCAGCTGCGAGGGGCCGGAAGGGATTTTTTATGAAATCCCTCAGGATTTTACTGACGGAGTCTGGAAACCATTCTTTTATGACACGAGAGAAGGAAAACATAAAAATTTATGCTCAAATGTAAGCGTGGTTGCATCCGTTAACACATCCACGAGCAGGGAGCTGTGCAACCACTCACGGAACTGAAAGAATGTGCCCCACATGGTGATGTTTGCCCAGTTTAGAACCAGAGGCCAGAAAGAGTGAATGCTGCTCTTTGTATATATTGCGAACGCCGACTCTGGGCCCAGAATTTCACATAGACCTATAAATGTATTCTACTGCTGATCATTTTAAGATTTTTTTTTATTATCAGCAGTTGGTTATCAGCGTTTAGCATGCTACATATTCAGAATATCTGATTTTACGAGCTGCTCCCATGAGGAGTGATATTCCACAGTCGCGGCGAGCAGTGTGGGAAAAAGTAATCGTATGTTAGAAGAGCCGAGACACACTTACCATGTTTATATATACATAATATTTTTACAAGCCTTGTCTTACATTCAGGATAACTTTGAGTCTATAAAACAGCGTTGAACTCTTTTAATGTATATTATATCAAGATAGGAATAAACTAGATGACTGTTGTATGAGTCAGACATTAGTACCATATGATACATTGCAGATCTTGAAAGATTAAATGTAGATTGAGGAGGGGGGCTATAACTGGGAGAGATCACATTGCTATTTAAATCCGTGACAATAAACCCCCCCTGCAAAAACAAAACAAAAATATAGCATGGCTTGCTGCACCTCAAGTGACCTACAGGTACATGTGTGATGTCTCACTCAAACAGCTACTAGAGGGACTTACTGGTGTGGTACTGCAATATGTTCAACATCTTTATACTCGGCATAAAGACACTGATTCACTCCCCATAAAGATGCATTGAATGATTGCATCTGAGGAGATAGGGATTACCGCGCATGTACACTAACTACCAGTGCTTCCTAATAGGGAACATTGAGGTGCCCGAAATCACAAGTAACAATGATCCCAACCAGTTGTGGAGCTGCGGCAGGACCGGAGTGTCAGATGAATAAAGGTGAGTAAATCTGTTTATTTGCCTACTTCGGAGTGGGGTGGACAATAATCTATTTAGCTAGTATTTAGCTAGTATTACACTCTAACGTTAGGATAACAGGTTTATTTTCCTAAGATTACTGCTCCTTTAACGGGACAATCGTTTCATTGCAGTGGTTATAATGTCTCGAGTCCCCAGGCACGGTCCTTCCCTTCAGTGTTAAAGTATTCTTAAAGTTCTAATGCTAAACGAGAGTCCCCAGCATCTCCATCACCTCTGTGCTGCTTGTTGTAATGAGGAAGTATTAGCCTGATAAGCCGTGGGCGGCTGTGATTGGCTGAGATTGTCAGCTGACTGCTTTCAACCTATCACCGTGCCCATTGCTGGTATGACTCTGTATGGCTAGAAGGAAGTGTGTAATCTCTTCCTTGGCCACACCTCCAATTGAAGCGGAGTTACGAACCCTAAAGCAGTGTTAAAGTGGTCGATAATTTTTTAATACTGAATGTAGGGACAGCACCAGAGGACTCCAGGCACCATAGCCAATGAGATGAAATGGTTATAGTGCCTGCCTTGCCCCTTTAAGTGCATTATAAAGCTCTATTTACGGTTTTCAGTTAATAGAGCCATGTTGATGGCTGCCGCTGAGCAGGCTTTCAGAAATCAGTGATGAGGTCTCAGTAGAGATATGGATGCTAATTTTTGAGAAATGGTTGTTTGTGGCTGAATGGAGGAAGACATGGATTGGTTACTCTAACAGGTTGTTACAATACTCGGAGTGTCCCTTTAATAAACACATGCAGTTCAGTAAAAGAGCCTGTGGAAGTAAGCAGTATGAAAAAATGCCGTGATTCATGATGATGCATTCCCAAAAAAGATGTTTTGGAGGAGGTTTTAGTAGCGATGGTTGGCACAGGGGATATTTCGCCACTGACATTTCCCATGATGCTCGCTGGCAGACCCGCAAGGAAAATACTTTTGCCAACATCTACGGTAAGAAAGATTCCCATCACAGCTTCAGAAGGCGTGGGACAAGAAACGCAGCTATTTGTGAATTACATCAGTGGAGGCTGGTTCGAGGAGTCAGTGGAGGAGCTGGCACCGTGGATATGCTTCCACTTGCCATACCACAGGCCCAGTAGCCGAGCTAATGTAGAGCGAGCACAGTTGCAAGAATTTTTTGGAGCCCCCGTATCTCAAGGATGGCCAAAAGTTAGATCCCCATCTGTTGTACAAATCCCATTGTAGTGCTGGTTTTTAAACAAAATTTATAATGTTGGTGTTTTTATAGAGAGCTGTGTGTGTATGTGGTGTTGGTGTTTGAATGCAGGGATGTATTTGTGTCTAGTGTTAGCGAGATGTATGCACATATATACATAGGCACAGAGATACAAACATCTACACACACTGACAAACATACAGATACACTGACATACACATGCAGATACATAGAAACACAAACATTCAGTGTTATTTTGGAATTCCTTAAGATTGCATTAACCTGCAACTATTTTAAGTTTGAAGATAACTTCTTTCTCCAAATTGCTGGAACAGCGATGGGGGCAGCCATGGCGCCCTCTTATGCCAACGGATACATGTTGTGGTTCAAACAAAAATATATCCTATCCACTTACAAGAAGAACATTGTAAAATATACTAGATTTGTGAATGCGATCTTCCTCATCTGGAAGGACACCAGTGTTGATTTGAACTCAATGGTGGACCAGATTAACTCTTCTTAGTTACCAGTGAAACTAACTGCAACATGGGGCCAGACTATAATAGGCTTTCTGGATGTTACTGTATGTAAAAAGAATCACACCTTGGGGAACACCCTATCCAGGAAGGAGACAGACAGAAACACATTGTTCCAGGCTTTTAGTTTCCATCCAAAACATTTTAAAGAGCCATTGCCGATTTCCCATTTAATGAAAGCTCTCAGATAAAACAGTGAATTGAATAACAGAGAAAGGCAACTTCCGGAAATCTGGTACAGATTTATTGATCGAGGGTAGCAGCCACTGGTCTAGTCCAGAGCTAATGATAAAGCCTTGGAACGCGTTTCCCAAGGAGTGGCAGCGGACAGAATATCATGAAACAGATTATTCTTACCACTTACGTTTCATACAGGTACAATGGTCATCAGATACATAAACACCAGGATATTCTCAAAGTGGACAATACTCTACTAAATTCCAACACAATTAGATTATAAATTACAGAAGAAACCGCAATTTAAGAGACCTGTTGGTACAGAGTGACCCTCGACATTGCTATATGAAGTCATCATCAATCAAGAAGAAAAGGTGCTTTAAATGCCGTGGCTGCGTGACTTGCAGCCACATGACAAGTGGAACAACATTCGCACATCCACACACGGGTAGGAGAAAACCTATCGAACACTATATTACGTGTACTACAGACCACGTAGTAGACATGATTACATGCCCGTGTGGACTTTCCTACGTGGTTAAAGACAAACTTAACCCTGAGTGACCGAATTTCAAGACTCACACACAGAAAAAAAAAAATAGTGGCCAAGCATTTCCTGGCAGCACAACACAGTCTTCCCATGCTACGGCTTATAGCGATTGACCATGTCCCTGTACCGCTCTGTGGACGGGACCGATCTAAACTATTATCCCAGCGTGAAGCCTTTTGGATTCAACATCTGGGAACAGTGGCCCCTAGAGGCCTCAATGAAAACATTATATATTCAATATTCCTGTCATTGACTATGGACCCTTTATTGATTTTGACACACAGTTTAGGCTACTACAGTTAGCGGTGTAGGCAGATTTGAATATAAATCTTGGGTAACCCATAGGGGTTCTATATTATGTTTATAGTTGAGTCTCTTGTAGATAGTATATATCCTTGTTCTTCAGAATAGCCTGTTTAATAGGTTTTGCACACTGGCGGCGTGCCTTGGTTGCTGCATACTATCTCACACTTCATCATAGCTTCGCTTAATGATGTTATATCTTTGTGAATCCAGTTCCTGGCTCCATGATCTGGATTACATTATAGTAGCTATAGTAGCAATATCAATAAGTTGCATAGTGAACTTTGGTCACTTTTAGGTAACACTGAATATATAGAATCTTGCACACTGACCGTCAGTCTATGGTTTAAATTCCTTTTAAATACAATCATTTTTTTCCTTTCCCCTCCTTAGTTCTTTCTACACCTATCACCCTCAGCCATTTCACTGTGTTATGTCTCACAGTCCTCTACATATTGGTCTCCCTTATTCATCTTGTCATTTCTGGATGTCTCCGCACCGGTCTGTCCCCACTTGTGTTCCACCCACCTCCCCCCCTTTTTTTGCCTGTATACAATGAGATATCTCGGATTGTACCGATCCAATACCCTTTTCCACTTACCTTTCACTGTTTATTCACATGAAGATTTGTTGTGTAATCTCCTAGCAACCACATTTAATCACGTGATTACATCACTTGGGATTCAGCCAGTTCCTGGTGCAGTCTTCGAGCTGTCTTCACACACGATTGGTAATTTTTATAGTTTGTTATATAAAGTTGCACCTAAACTGTGATCTTGAAACAGACCCTTAAAGGGTCGATACATTGATAGCTTTGTACACAGGAAAGATGAATATTTGATTGATTTTTTTTTTTTTTTTTTTATAAATACACCAGCCACCTTTAATCTAAAACCTGCGAGTGCATTCTAATTTACTTTTTCTGCTATATATTTCAACGTGGGATATCTGCACCCAGATCATATGTCTATATGTTGGTGGAGTGCAAAGCTGACTTCTATTAGATACACAGACAGATACATACACAGACACAAAAATACAGGACAAAATATAAATATTTTAGCCACCCTCCTGTTTGCTACCTTTTGGGTACAGCAGGATGGCCTCCTTGGGGTGCAGTGCGTTAGATGAGACTGTTGGGATTAGATGCACATCTTTCCAATCCGGATCTGTGACAAATTGCACTTCGCCCCTGCTTGCCAGCCTCTTGCCCTGTGACTATGGCCCCTGGGATGGATTGCCCTTTAAAAACACTATTTGGGCATATTGGATTCTAAAACACTGTTTCTGCCCATTTAAATTCTATTGGAAAGGATCTGCACTTTTGAAGTGGCACTTCGGATACAGCCGAAGTGCCACAGTAGCTGCCATTCGACATATGAACATGTGGCGGCAGGCATTTTAATTCAGTCGAATGAGTTCAGTCGTTGAGTTCATGGAACTCAAATCAGACACGCGACGGCACAAACACCGCTGAACTTTACTTTCTCCAGAACTTCGACGGAAGTCGAACAACGTTCGACAATTCGAATGCCACTTTAACGTTGGCTATTTGCACAAATGGCCCCCGTTCGTGCATTCAAACGGAACTTAGTATGGAAAATAGACCGGTCGCACAGCCTAAATCTGCGGAACTATTTTGGGCATGAAAGTCATGCTTGCAGTCAGTCAAAAGAGACTTCCATAAAACTTTTGAACCCCTACTCTGATCTGGGTGATTTTTGGATCAGAGCTATCAAGGGATGTATAATTTGCGGGGATGTTTGTGTTTTGGGGTGTTTCTGGACTTTGGGTAAAAATTGATATTTTCTGCCTGTGGATAATTAGGTTATTTCATTAGCTATCTTAACGATATCACGGGCAGAGGGGAGGGATTGCTGACTGTATGTGGGAGTGTTACTGTGTTAAATATTTTTCCTATTGGTTTGTGTCCCTTTTGTCCCAGTTTACCATCAGGTCTTTGTGCTCATTAAACCAGACCTTCTTACCCTCAATTCGCAGCCTTGTCTCGTGTTGTAGGGAACAGCTATACCTGATATATCACTGCTAGCTCTTAAACAGCTACAGTAGCTCCTCAGGATATCGGGCTGGGACTCTGCAGCGCTCTCCATCTATGGGAAGAAGGATGTCCAGACGGTAGATACCCTCACACTATAGGGGTAACTGTTACAAGATCCCTTCATCTTTGGACTCTCCTCAGTCTCTCCCGCGCGGCTCGGTGTTTATCTGGAAGGAAGGAACCGATTCTCACTTCCTTCCTGCACTGCCATTATTAAAGGGGCCTGGTCACGGTATTAAATGGCTGCAGAGCATAACTGGGCCACGGAGGACACATTGCCAACGTGTGGGCATAACTGCATGTTATTGGAAGTCTGCAGACCCTCCTCCAATTTGGCCCATCCTGACTGACAAGTTACCAGGTAATGTCACAAGGCTTGTAGGCTCCTACCAGAAATCCCAAGACAACCAAAACCTTATGGAATCAGAACTATTAGAGGACCTCCCCCCTTCACTGTTGTACTTTGTCGACCACAGCGTTTTATGAGATCACATGCCCCCACTTACAGGGATTTTATTGTGGCTGCTCTAGTACCGCTGTACCAGGGAGCTGGCTTCTCCCCATTATCCTTTTATCTTATGGTTGTATGTAAGCACAATTCTCCCATACTGACTAGCTTGTATGTTCTCAGTATGTACAACTCATTGCTTGTTCTCCTGGTTTCTCAATGCTGCTCTGTATTTTGTTGAAAATCTCAGTAAAAACCATACATTAAAAAAAGACAAAATTTGTATCTTTCATACTTAGTTCTTTAGTTTCCACTACTGAGGCTGAACATGCTACAGCGAGGATGAGAAAATAAAACAAGATCTATATGTATACACACACAAACTCCCATTTTCTGGGTACAGGTCCCTCCTCACGCCTGCTCTATAAGAGGGAATGATGTCTTCCTGATTCAGGGTGCAAGTACATGGTGTTGCCCAACAAGTCTAGTGCCCCTCCATCTCTAAACAAGACCAGATAGCACACGCCATTAAATGCAGGTTAGTAGTGTTCACCTTTAAAGTTGTAGTGTTACTTATGTCGTTGCACAACCCAGTAGGTAACTAAAGAAGCGTTAAATTAAGTACCTTGAAAACTACTACACATATTGAAAATCTAAAGGGCTAGGATAGGGAGGCCAACCCAGCAATGTAATGCATAGGGACTCCACCCCAGGGTAAGGAATAAGACACGTATTGCTTTATTCCGTAACCCAAACAGACCCCTGTTTAATTTTGTCTTTAGGCTTGAGTGGAGGATACTTTGTGTTACCCTGTATGGGGGCTTTTAAATATTGCCAAAATATATTACAGAAATCTCCACCTCCCACGGGGCTGACATTTCAAACTGTTACACGTTTTTATAAACATCTGATTGTTCTGAAAAGATGGGAGATGATATCCTTTGACTGTGACAGAAGAATCACCAATACCCTGTCCCAAAGATTTGTGACCCAAGAAAAGGAAAGTGAGTGGGCTCAAAAACAAATAAAAATAAACATGTTCCATTTTTAAAGAGCTTTTATTTCACTTCAATAGTCAGAACATAATGAAACACTACTCTGATCACTCTCTGCCCCACACTCCTAGAAAACACCATGAAAATATTATTAAATTAACAAAAATCTTGCAGCTATACGCCAATCCCTTGCAGGATGAATAAATTAACACTGCAGGAAAATAACCGCCATGTTTAAACCCTGACTATATGGTGTCTTGTGAGTTCTTTAATGTCAGAAATCCCGGAGAACGTAACATTATGTACCTTTTCTGACACACACTGGGCAATAACTACAACAACAACAAAAAAATATATATATTCTACAATCCAAATAATAAAAACAAGTCGTCATTGTAGGACGGGAAGTGAGAGATTGCAACGTGAGGGAGAATTAACACAAGGCCTGAACATTTCTGCCCTCTGTCTGGCTGAGATTGGTGGGAATCAGCAGATTTATGGGTAAAACATCATTGGGGCCCTTGAAAGGATGGGTGGGGAATGTTAGTAATTAGAAGCCAGGGGACATGTAGTATTGTTCAAAGACAATAAGGCACTCTTGACTTTGGTTAATTTCTTTGGGTGCTAAATTGATACTAAATTTAGCCCTGGGGTTCTCAATTGCTGGATTAACACTGAAAATCGGGAGACCAAGCTATTTTCAGTGGGTCTTCACTGCTTAGAACAAGCACATAATAAACATTTTCAATGCAATAGAGATGTCCGATACTGAAAAATATCTACGAAATGAGTTTGTAGATATATCCTTACCTCTAAATTACAAATCAATACATCAATTAGCTACATTTATATTGGGATAAAAAGTTGCCAAGCCAACATCAGGTACATAACTTGGGGTCTGTCAAAAAATATCCCCAGATTTGGCCAATAAGACAATGAACCTTTCTAATAAAGGAAATGCAACAGCACACATATAAAAGCAACAGTGTAAACACCATAACCACTAAAGCTCACAGTTTGATTTTAAAGTAAAAAATAAATTAAGAAAATGTTACGGTTTAATATCTCCAGTTTTTGACTGACCAAATGGCGAGGATCACCAAACAGTCACAGCCTGGGAAAAGTGTAGAGTTGCAAATGTGAATTAGAATGTGTAGAGTTGCAAACACAAAGTAAGCAGGACATTCAATATTAGCAAAATGTCTTTAAAGGGACAATCTAATCACCCAAATCACCTGGTGTTTGATGATGTCAATGGATGCATAGATGCTGTCCCTGCAGCCTTGCTGTTGTAAACTGTGCCGTTACAGAGAAACAGCACTGTTTCTCACCTGTCATTCAGACGACCATGAAAGGCATAAGACTGATTATACATTCAGTTATGGAATCTATTTGACTTCCAACATCAACAAGCAAAGTGCGTCAATCCCAGACACACTGTACGCCTAATGTTATTCCAATAAAAATAACTGGATTCAATGCTTATTATAGAGAAGCACAGGAATCGAGGATAGGCAAGACTGCTGTGGATGCATAATGTCCTCAATGCTTCTCTATGAGAAACATTTGACTGGACAAAGTCATGTTCATTGCGATTTTGTGACTTCCTGTGATATCCCCCACAACATTTAGAGATATCTAAACATCAGCCTCATTTTGGTGTTCGCTCGGCTAGCAGAAATGTTGGGGACCAATATGAACCCAACGTTAAAGGGTTAACTCAACCACCATGACTACTTCAGTGATTTGAAGTGGTCATGGTGGTAGGAATCTGGATGTGCAGCATTTCTGTTTAAACCATTCAGAGATATATGTGCACTTGTATGTTGGGAGTTAAGAACGCTGCTCCAGACTGCCAATTGTCAATTCTGTGTATATTTTAAATCTGTTGTTAGTGTGCACTGCACGCTTGCAGACGTAACAATTTTATCCCTTGCAGGCACTGCACATCCTCTCCCCTCCATCCCTGTGGTTCCTTGTATCTTCTCTTTCCCCCTGTGCTCTGAGCCAGCGAAACAGTCCGTGTGGTTGGACCATGCAAGTACAGGCAAGATGTCAGACGGGACGTGGAAATCAGCGCCGGGAGATTCAGGTAATTACAGGTACGTTTTGGTGCTGGATTACAGGTAAGTTTTAAACTTGTTATTTATGTGGGTTTGTGCCCAATAGAGTGCCAAAATGGTGATAAAAATGGTCAGAGAAGCCCTTTAATAACTCTGGTCTATTCACTAACCTGCAAGTTGCAGAATATTTTTTATAGTACCATTTTTCTGCCTCAGTTTTGTATTTTGCATTACGTGTATACACCCTGCTATGTCACTATTAATTCTGTACACTAGGACATATTATAAATGATAGAGATTACACATCTCCACACCATGGCCGACACTTGTCACCAGGACAATTGGCTACACTTGTCACCAGGACAATTCATTTCATACAAAATTTATTTAACATTGTATTCTGGGTAGGACATCTTACTTGTATTCTGGGTTAATGAAAAAAGAAAAAAAAAAAAATCACAACAGATAGTCACTAGAGAATTGCTAAACCCACCACACCCTCCCAGGGCCTATTACATCTTCAACAACAGTTTCCGTCCACCATCTTTGTTTTTAACCTGCTCTTCATTTTCTGTTTACTTTCCACTTCCTTTTCTGTTAACACACAAAATTAAGCCCTGCACTCAGACTCTCACTACTATGGGCCAGCAGCAATACATCATCAGCCCAAATACATAGACAAAAAAAAAAAGTCACCTGCAAACAATGCCCAATCCTTATGCACATTTAAATAACAGAGGTTTCTAGCATCAAAGTGTTAATAAACAAAAAAAAAAAAACAGTGTTAAACGTGCCTAGGAATTTGGGATAGTGGGCAGTTAATAGGTTTTTTTTTCGGTTAAGTTTTTAATGTTGTTCCTTTTCCCTTTATAGCATTATGTTCTATCTTTTCACACAGTTTGGGATATTATAGGCACCAAAATAACTTTAGCTTAATGAATCAGTGTTGGTGTATAGAACATGCCCCTGCAGTCTCACTGCTCAGTTATCTGCCATTTAGGAGATAAGTCACTTTGTTTATAAGGCTAAAAATGTCTAAAGTTAGTTAACATCGGATGGAAATGAAACCTTAATTTAATGCAGGCTGTGTCAGTCACAGCCAGGGGAGGTGTGGCTAGGGCTGCATAAACAGAAACAAAACTTATTTAACTCCTAGATATATGGCAGATAATTGAGACTGCAGAGGCATGATCTATACACCAAAACTGCTTCATGAAGTTTTTTTTATGCCTATAGTGTCCCTTTAAACAGGACTTATTCGCTCCTGGTGAATATTGCCCTGCCTGGGTGCGCGATTATATGAAATGATCAGATAGTAACTTTTTGAATGCATACTTCCAAATTTAGCACACATGGCCTGTGGCAAACCTCAGCTGACACAACTTAGGTTTCTCTTGTGAGGGAACCAAGTGTACAGCTGGAGCCATAGATCTCTTACCTTTTAACCAAGGGCATATTGTATCTGTTCTGTATTATATGGACAATTAATCCTGGAAACTGCACACTTAATGTATCTATAACACATTGGGAGGGGAGGGCTAGTGACAATTGCTTACTAAAATCTTCATCTCAGCAACAAAACAAAAAAACACAACAAAATTAGAAGTCCCTTGGCCCCCACAACCCAAAAACTAAAATCATCTTTACTAAAACAAGGATCGAGCTTCCATGGGATTGCAGGGATAAGGCACTCGATAAAGCTTTGTCAGCATCCAACTTTATAAATAAATGGATTAGTTAACAAGATAATCTCCTCACTCTCTGTTAAACCGGGGCTCAACAAACCATGTAACTATTGAAATAAAACTCACATTAACCTCAGCCAGAGGCTGTAATCCATCAGCAGGAGGAGCACCATTGACAATTCAGATAGTAAATGAGTGAATGCCAACCTTGGTATTCAGCTGCTTCTAAATACATCTCCCAGCATGCTCAGTTAGGCATAATAAGCTATCACTGCTCCCAACTATATTAGATATTAGTCTGGATAATAAACACAGAAACTACGATTTAGTAAACTGCTTATTTCACTCCAATCTTTTATTCCAATATCTGGATGGGGTAGGTGGAACTATGCCGTATCAGAGAGTTCATGCTACACACTTTTATAAAGTCTGTGAACCAATCTATTCGATTTTATGAGAATTTTAGGATGCCAGGAAAAAGTGAGCAATGCTAACCGATAATGCTTTAAAACACTCAAACCTTTAGTACTTTCATAATAATAATAATATCCATAGAAAGTGCGTGTTCAGTCTTAAATAAAAACATGTTGGTTTCACAGGTGAATGCTTCCACAACAGCCATCCGGAAAGCACCGAGTTGGCATACTAAAATAAATCAGATAAGTCAGAGTTTAATACCTTGTAATAAACTCCAGATATACTGAACAGTTATCTAAAACTGTGGTGGGATTTCACCCCTTTTCACTGGTTAATGTTTCCCCCTTCTTTTTAATAAGGTTCCACGCACATTTAATCCATTCAAAACTAAGGTTTTATGTTTTGGATTTAAATATATAGTGTTATTATAGGTTACAGTTGGCAAACTCCAAATAATACTTGCTGGACACAATAACGATAATCGCCACTGAGCGTTTTTTTTTTGCATGTTTGAATGTTCAAGAGTTTCATGTCAACCACCTTTTTTCCTGCACCACTGGGATGCTTTATGGCTGTATATTTAGAGGGTAGCAATTTATGTTAAAACACATTAAAGGATAAGAGAAAGATTATTTGTGGAATGGGCAAAGTTTAATCCCTAGAATTTTAAAACAAACACATATTTTGTCTTGGGAGTGAGATCCCCCATTAGCCTTTTGAGCACCAGAAATGACTAACACAAACAGTGATTGGCAACAAAAGGGTAAGTGAAACACTTGATGCCAATGGTAACTAGCGCTAACATCATAACCCTTCTAGTGCCAGGATGGCATATATCTCCTGCTTGCAACATGTAGAGTTATGGTCTCCGGGATTGTGGTTTTGCATGAATATTAAATAAAATTCAAAAAATTATGGTTAAACGTTTCAAATCTAGATATATGTATTATATATTTTTGGGGGTTTCTGCAAACTGCAGACCGTGCTTTAATGTTGTGGATTAATACAAGGATGCCAAAATGACAACTCGCACCCAAAAATGATGGCGCTTCCTTTGTCTGTGGATGAGTAAGCTTTGATGCCGTTACTGCTATGGGCAACTCATGGAGAAGTGAATACCTGCAGGACCGGCACATGGGGCTTCTCCCTCACAGAGCCCTAAAAGCAACATAACAGGGTTGGGGACTGGCTGAAATCTTGCTGCAAGGGGCAGCTCCATGAGGGCGATGTTTTTTGCATGCCCCCCAATCAAAAGGACTGCTCTTAGGCCCGGGGAAGCCGGCACATCTCGCACTGGTCTGTACCCGCCTGATTCATGAAGGTGCAGTGCAAACAGGACCACATGGCAGTTGCAGGAACATGCGTAGTTCCTCCAATCGCTCCAAATTCATGAAGTTCAGAGGGCTGAACACCAACGGTGCCTGAGAAATAAAAAGAATAAAATCAGGAGACCGATGAGGTGGATTACATGTTGAAAATTTTGCCGTACACAGACATAATACAAAGAGCCCATTCTTGGCCGAACTTGTTGTAAAGGAAGACCAGGATTGGTTATTATGCCCTTTCAGCACAGCTAGCGGCAGAAAAGATCAGGTGGCAGTGTGATCATTGTAGGCTTTGACTGATTCCCATTATGCATCATTACCTACATGTGGGTTTCACTGATGCCCAGGGGTTTTCAACCCCTTATTCACACATACCACAGTGTAATTAATAAAAGCCCAAATCCAGCTTGTGGACATAACATTTGCCACATATGTTGCGACACTCCCTTATTCTGGATCTACACTCCATTGCAGAAAAGCTCTCCCCATAATGCCTGACCAGCCAGAGATGTTTGACAAGCATTACAGAACAAACAATTTAAGCTGGACATCACTCCCAATAGATGGTATTATGGTGTGAATCATACAGTGCTTTAAAAGGAACTCACTGCACAGCTGTTCGATGGTTGCCCACTGCTCTGATTTCTTCCAGGTTTCGGCAAGTTCTTCATTCCTGGTCCTCACGGCATCCAGGAGTAAACTGATACTATCCTGCAGGTGAACAGAGTAAGAATCAGTCCCACAGAATCACCAACCGCAATTCACAGTGTGATCCACTACAAGGTGAGTGTGTGACCCCTATGTTGAAACTATGAGAAGAGAAGAATTCTTACAGTTTGGTTTATTAAATATATTGGCAGTAAGCCTGGGAACTGAGAAGCCAAATTGTACACGCCAAAAAAGCCACATAATCTCTATTCTACGTTCACTGAACCCATTACCATCAGTGCTATCCAAAACACTGTGCCTGCACCAGTGATCTATTATAAACATCTCTGCTGACTGCACCGTGATATATATTTTTAAACACCTCTGCTGACTGCACTGGTGAATGAGAAACACATCTTCTTATTTATCCTGATTACCAGGCAGACAATCTCAGCCCAGTTCCACACTCCCTCTCACTGTGCAACAGGATCCAGCCAACGGGCAGCTCATAAAAGAAGGATTGCATGGTTTGCCAGCATCAATACCTTCCAAGCCAGCACTGGCAAACAGCGCAGGGAATTTGGCTTGTGACGGACTGCAGCCTCTGATCAATGTTCCAGTAGATTGAACAATACTCAAATATGGGGTTTTCTAGGGCCCAATATGAAACAATTGTGTGTGTTTGTGTGTACTGGAGAATTGCAGTAAAACACTGCAATGAAGGGAGCTCCAGCACAAGATTAACATTTTCGTAAAATTAGTTTTATTTTAACTCACAAAGCCAACCAAAAAAAAAAGTAGGAACAAAAAAATAAACGTATTTTAACCCCTCAAAAGGACTATAAGCACCAACACAGCTTTAGCTTAATGAAGCAGTTTTGGTGTACAGATTATGCCTCTGTAGTTTCACTGCTCAGTTCTCTGCCAGTTAGGAGTTAAATCTCTTTGTTTATGCAGCCCTAGTCGCACCTCCCTGCATGTAAAATGCACAGCCTTCCTAAACACTTCCTGTGAAGAGAGATCTAATGTTTAAACTTCCTTTATTGTACAGTCTGTTTAAAAAAAAAATAAATAAAAAAAAAAGTATATCCTGCTCTGTTACTAAAGTTCAACTAAAACAGCATGGGGGAAAAAATGGAACAGAAGTGGAGAAATTGTGGTAGAATGAACGCATGGTAAAAGTGCAAAAAGGCCTTGATCACACACGTCGCATCTCAAAAGGGCCTTGTGGTCATTAAAGGGCACAAATACTACTTTAATGCATTTGATATGTTTTAACCTCATTAATGTGCTGTATTGTTTGCATTCTTAAATCTTTATAGTTTTTGCTTCTATAGCCATGCCCCCTGACTCCAGAAAAATACGTCCTTATCAATGTATGTACACAGCTCAGCCAATGACAGCACTGAGTGATCTGAACTGCAAAACAACCTGCATTAGAAGCAGAGAACACCCAGGGAGGCATATATGATACCTGTTTGTAGTTTATCAGACTGTCTGCAGCCATGCTTTGAATTAAAAGCTGACCACTCAGTGCTGTTGAGGAGACTGTGTGCATACTTTTCATATGGAAGCCTTTCTGGCACGAGGGGACTTGGCTAAGGGGGCAAGCTTATGATGCAGTATTCTGTAAAATATTTGTTTTTGTGCAAAAAAAGTATAAAGATTTGAGCATACAAAGACACAGTGTATTCACATGTCCAAAAACGAATGCATTAATATTTTTAGTGTCCCTTTAAGGAGTTAAAATACAACCAAAGTATTCTTACACAAGGTTAAATTGCACCACTAGATTCCTGTAATTGAAGGCACATCGCCTTTATTAACAGATCTCTATAATTAAAGACACAGCCCCTTTATTAACAGATCACTATAATTAAAGGCACAACCCCTTTTCCTTTTATCGCAGTAATACAAGGTACAATCCCTTTTATAATAGATCTCTATAATTAAAGACCCAGCAACTTTGTTACTAGATCAGGGGATTTAAAGGAACAGCCCCATTCCATCTAGATTGCTGTAATTGAAGGCACAGCCCCGTTATTAACATATCTGTACTTAAAAGCAAAGCCCCTTTTAATAGATTGTGGTAATTAAAGGCACGACCCCTTTGAAATAGGCAAGGACTATATTTGACCCTGTAACTTTCCACAACCCCATAAAACCTGTACATGGGGTTGGTTTACTGTTGTACTCATGATACATCACTGAACACAAATGAGTGTGCAGAACTTGGAAAATAAAATTTCTTAAATTCACTCACATTTGTAGATTTTATTCATATTAAATTATGTTTCACATATAAATACTTTATTTGAAATGAAAGCCCTATAACTCCTGAACAAAATGATATATAATAAGTATAATAATAATGATATATAATAAGTATAATAATAATGATATATAATAAGTGTGGGTGCACTTTACATGAAAGCACAATTGCCTCTGTCTATCAGTTTTCATTATTTTCTTCACTAAAGCACCTAATTCTTCTGGTTTCCGGTCTTATGGGAACTTCCTGCTCAGCCAGGAGCCTCTCTCACCTGAAAAGCACCGCTTAGCACCGATGTAAATACAGATGTTTTTTGAATCAGATGCGGACAGCACAAAAAGCCTTTAAAAGACCAGCTTATTGTAACTTTACACTCAGCTGTTCAACATATTCTAATCAGAAGCACGACGACCTGGTTCCAGATGCTTACCTGCAGAGGCATAACCTCGTTGGTTACCAGGAAAAGAAGCAAATGAAAGTCAGAGATGATCTCAAGAAAATTGGAGGTTGAATTCTGGGAAAGGTAGTTGGCCAAACTGTGGAAGTCCTTAGGGAGAGAAAACATGAATCCAGGGGTTACGGCAAATCTCTGTTCTGTAGCTTTTTAATGGAGTTTACTTCACTACAGATTGAATAACCGTTCATGCCACCAATAAAACCACGTGTCCAATGTCCATTCCCGTTAACAGCACACAGAGCCCCACTAGACTAAGTAAGGTCACAGATGCCAGAATACTGGTAGTCTAAAGTTATTCCTCAAGCTTGGCTGGCAAAGCATCATGGCAGTTTCAGTTCTACAATAGCCAGTAGGAAAGCTTAGATAGAGATCTTAAAAGACATCTTACATGAAAACCTACGTCCCCCTACAGGTCATCTCATGCAGTTACAAGCAAGGTGCATATAAAACTACATTTGACATCATTCTCACCTGAGTTTCACCCAGGGCATCTCTGTTTTCAATGGCAAACAGATTGGAGGAGGTGCAGAACGTGTAGACAGGATCCTTGGGGAATGTGGTCGTGATCTAGAAGGTGGGAAGGAAAGTTTGTAACAATCACATAGCAGGCTAAATACACCCTTTTGACATACCCCTAAACTGTTAACATTCCTGCGTTAGCACAGGTGAACCAATCAAAAGAGATTGTACTATGTTTAAGACAGGATGCCGAAATTAGGCAAAAAGGCCCTAGGCACATTTCAGGGCTTAAATGCTGTCTGCAATGTTCTAAATAGTGTGGTCACTTTTGTTAATCAGCATTCACACACAATAAATACCTATAATCAGCCTATTTAATACAATTTAATTTTTTGTCACTTTGTTACAAAAAGGAAGTCAAATGTAAAAGACCAACACACCATTTTATTTCGACGAGTAGTAAGGTTTATTTTTTGGCCAGAATGTTATTTTTGTTTCCTCAGTGACAAAATGTAAAGCAAGGAAGGGATACAATATCACACATGGCTTAACTTTGGGAGTGGCTAATGGAGACTGGAATCATATATCCATTTTATATAATATATACACACACACACGCGCGCGCACGATTTAACGGCGACCGGAATCCTGTTTACACACACACAGACACTATATATAATCCATAGATCCAAAGTAATACGGCCACAGATATACTTACGTCAATGATCAAATACTCTACGGGAAGTGGTCGTGCCAGTTGGGTGATTTCATTGCCAAATTTGTCTACGTCCTGCAGTAGTGAAAGAAGAAGCAATGAACTAGCAATAGATTACTATTACAAATTATATTTATTTATTGGCACACATAAAAAATGCTAATATGGCACCTGGCAAACCAGTCCATATTATTACTGGTTCAGGATTTAGGGATTACCCAATTGTGTCTACGGTGTATTTATTACAAAAACCACTGCGTAATCCCTAAATCCTGGACTGTTTTGGGAAGCACTGGGTTCACATGATGTCATATCCCTGAGCCAGCTGCAGGTAATATAGCATGCAAAGGATGGAGAGTGAGGTTTCCTGACTTGATGGATGGACAGGGAATGAATGCTATTCTAGATGAATTACTGCTCATCTTGCAAGTCACATGATTTTAAAAAAGTGTCTGAGTAGTAAAATGTATACAAATATACGTAAATACGTAAATGAATACAAATATGCATGAGAGAAGCATGGGAATTGGATAACTTTTTGATTGTCTCTGAAGATATTCTTGAGTTGGGATACGCATCATATTATTATTATTATTATTATGATGAGGACATATGAACGTATGATCTAAAGTCACATTAACGGAGATATCTAAAGTAAAAACATAGTTTCCGTTTCATTAGAGGTTTTGCCTTTTACCTGAAATCAGCCAGGGGAATTGTGTAGGACTAGCACAAGAGGTTTGCCTTGACGTGGCAAGTGAGCTTACACTTTAATGGCCACTGGAGTGAAACTAAACTCCTGTTATTTAAATGTGTATAGGGATTTGGAATAGTGTGCAGGTAACGTTTTTTTTGCTCTTGTTCTATGTGTATGGGTTAAAGTAGTCTATAGCTATTGCTGCCGCCCAAGAGACGAACAGTATTTTGTGTGTTACCAAGACTGGCCTTTGTTAAAGAAGACTGACCTTATAGAAGACATCAGGCACATACTGTTCACTGCTGGATTCTTTGGCATAGCCTAGTTCTGAAGCATCCCTGCAGGGCAGCAAGCACTCATCCCGAACCAGAGCCATGCACTGATTAGATACCTGGTATCCCTCGAAGTGCACCTGGTTATCTGGTCCCCCTGAAACAAGCAGCAAAGGAACAAAGGTCTTAGAAATAATTACATCGGTCCTCGTGACAATTTATTACCTTCATTTTCTGATTTTTGTCAATCTGCTTTTATTATTAAGTTACTACACCTTGAATAAGCTCAGGGATTTAAGGAAGGAATAAAGTACAGAGTACCAAGTTTGGGAGATAATGGTATGGCCCTAAAAGCATGTATGGCAACAGGATTTACTTCCATTCAAATAAAAGTGATGGAGCAAAACAAGACATAAGAAAACAAAATAAAACCATAGAAAATTAAACAATAAATAAACCAGGGTGATGGCTACGGGGACAGCAAAACCCTAATGTTGAGGTTGTAGGTCACCATATGCGAAGGCTCAGACATTTAACCTACTCCCATAGTTGGCAGATTTAAAGCCGTAAGAGAATATCCGCTGGGTTGAGCATCTTGATATCTCCAGGGAGTGGCGTCCCTCCTGCCCTGAGCTAGTCGATAGGCCAACACCTCAATGCCACAAACTCAGGAGCTCATTGAGGTCAAGACCTTCCCACGTGGGAAAATGCGACAGTTGCAGGTCTGGCGCTGATACCAATCATGTTAATTTTAAATGGAAATTGTCTGGAGTCATAATTCAGGTTTCAGTATTTTGAAAATGAGAAGAAAGCCAAACATTAATCGGTCGTGTAGATACAAAGAGATGCTTAGAGAGGACTATACACTACAGGGGAGTGCAACACAGTATATACTGCTAGAAGAAGAAAAAAAAAAAAAAAAAACAAGCTGGGTTTATTCACTAAACAGGTAAAATTGGTGAGCTGATAACCAACTTGGTCGAGATCAAACCTCCAATCTCTGAAGCCGGATAGTTAATCACCACATCTGCCAATTTAGCGAATGAGCCCCAAGATTTCATGACACAAGTGAAGTGTTGCAGAATGTTTTCTGAAGCAAAGTTCAGGATTCCTAGTTGCTTCCTTCCAACCTATGAGCAAAGGGAGTCAGCATCTACCTGTGGCCACAACAGTGACAAATTTGGAGCCAAAATGTCCATCTGGCGACAAACGGCACAGGTTTGGGTGTTTGTTTTGGAAGTATCCTGCAGTGATGCACTCCTCAGCACTCAGGAAATACGAATCCTGGAAAGGGGCAGAAGGTTTTGTTTGTGACTGGCATATTTTAAGACTTTCAGCTGAGAGTCTGCACGAAACGGACACAACTTACTTTATTTCTACTGTACCGGACAGTGCCTTTCCTTGTGTCTTCTGAAACAAGATCCGTAAAAATCCAGCCAACCTTAACAGAAAATGAACAAACAGTTTGAACCAGTTTACAACAAAACTACATTTGAAGAAAGATATTACAAGACAATTACCATTTAGGGGAGAATACAGACTTTATATCCACATATTATACAAATCTGTACGAAATCTATTCCTGTGCTGAGGTACGACAGTAATAAAGAATGTAAAGTAGCTTTGCGATATTATTCTTCGATGGCAGACCATCCAGCGCACACATTCATGGGACCTATTACATTATGATATTGGGAATCCATGGGACCTATTGCATTAGGATACACTATATTTAATATATAGAAATCGGGATTGGTTCTTGCCTTTCCAAGTCCAAGTTTGGCTGCTATCTCGTCCACCACTTTAGCCTTTGGATCATCAAGCAGCTCCACGCTGTTCTCCGTTCCAATCTACAAAACAAAATAATATACAGTGAGATGCACTCTGGAACTGTGACATTTCTGGACACATTATTGTTTAAAGAAACATTCAATCACACAAATTCACAATGTAAGATTGGAAATCCCTGTGTATTTCCCCTGATAAAATAATTTCTGAATAATGAACATTAGATTTCTTTTCCACGGTTTGCTAGGTTGTGATTGTAGAGAAACAATATTTAGAGCCTTTCCCTTGGTATCAACACCATATGGGCAAGCATAAATGTTAGACATGGTTCCAGAGAATGCAATGTTTTGTTCCAATGTCATCGATACTGCACAAGGATTCCAATCACAAGCTCACATCAAGCCTGGTCAGTGACTTGTGTACTTGGTGTGTGGCCATTTAGGACTAACCTGTGGAGGTTCATAGATAGCAGCTACCTCTGCCCGAAGACCCAGTGGAATATCTTTGTGTTCGGTGTAACGACCATAGAGGTAGCCAATGCGCTGGTTGCCAGTTTTGCGCCAAAAGTCCAGAAAACGATCTGCGATTGTATGGTTCTCAAACATAATATTATCCACGTGTCTGTATTTCTAAGGTGAAATAATGAGAAGAGTTAAAATAACATTAAAAGTAAATGTTAATCAAATTGTCAACTCATAGTTACTAGTGTAGGGTAGTGTTGAAAAGAACATACAGGTCATCCTACTGTATCTCTGCTTCCCAATATTGTTCACACCCACTGCATAAAGTTTCACAGAAATAGCTCACTGGTAATCTAAACAAAAATGTCATACAATGAACCGTACCTGTCTGTTAAGCGTGATGGCACTCGGCTGACATTTGGTACATATCCCTTCGGGCCATGGGGAGTGCCCCTCGCAGCCCGATTTGATTTTACAGCTGATATTTTCCAAGGCCACAAATTTCCCCCTGAAAACAGACAGATTGAGATATTAAAGCTGCGTTACTTAACCTGTGTTAACCCAGGTAATTGGGACATCGATCTAGAACAAGAAGCAGGTTTGGGTTATGAATGCTTTAATCTCTAACAACATGATCTAACTACCTGCTGACATTTTCTGCCTTTGCACCTTAATGGTAAGAATAAAATTTCATGGATTCTGCACACATGAAATAGAGAAGAAAAAAAAAAAAAAAGGAAGAGGTGGGCAAACGTATCACTTTTCACACAATTTAGGTATTGCCAGATACAGAATAAAAAGGTGGTGGGGAATAGTAGAGTATTGCTTGAACAATTATATAAAACCTTTCCATTTTATGTAAGCCGGGGTGCTGGTACCATTTTAACCATAGGTACAGAGGCCAATACAGCTGCTACTGTAAAACACACACACACACATATTATATATATATTACACAAGATCCAGCGCACTCACCTATCCACTAAACAGCAACTTCAATGTTGAAAGATTTTATTAATTTTTTTTTAAAACACCTAATCTAGGCAAAAATAATGGGGGTTTAGCTACATTATATGATCATACAGTGTATAAGCCTGCCACAACGTCAATGTACCCCATCTTTGGCAGGTCCTACACTAACAGCCTAATGTCTGCTCTTATGAGATTAACCTACTTGGGGAAAGAAATTCCATCTGGGCTCTCTGCAGTACAAGGCTAAATAGGGCCCTGGGATGAGGCACCTGTGACAGGGAGGGGTGCAAAACCAAGGAGTTGGCTAGACTCCCAAATATATACATATGAAACAAGGGGGGTTGGCTGCACTCACCTGAACATGCATAAATGGGGGTGCTGCTGGGGGCCAAATAATACAATACACAAGATCCAGCGCACTCACCTATCCACTAAACAGCAACTTCAATGTTGATCATATAATGTAGCTAAACCCCCATTATTTTTGCCTAGATTAGGTGTTTTTAAAAAAAACTAATAAAATCTTTCAACATTGAAGTTGCTGTTTAGTGGATATGTGAGTGCGCTGGATCTTGTGTATTGTATTATTTGGCCCCCAGCAGCACCCCCATTTATGCATGTTCAGGTGAGTGCAGCCAACCCCCCTTGTTTTATATATATATATATAATCCATAATGTCATTAAAGTGAATGATTAATATATCAAACTGGCCTTCAGATGTACTAGGCAAGAAGGAAACGCCATGTTTCAGAAGACAAAACTACATACAATTAATAGCACAGCTCTTACAAGATAAATTTGAGAAAGAGGTTAAGTTAGACCCATGGATGTTCCTACTGGCTAGAACTATGGACAACTGGACAAAACTGGAACAGGCTCTGATACATAAGGTAAATCTGGCCGCTAGAAGAGCTTTGGCACAGGTCTGGCTGCAGAGAGAGGCTCCAAGCTTTTCTGTGGTGATACAAAACATTAACAATACCTGCCTGATGGATCAATTGACAGCAAGGGTTAGAGGAACAACAAAAAAGTTTGAAAGAATATGGGGCCCCTGGATAGCTAGCACAGCGAATACTTGACACCTCCATAGTCAGTACCTATTGTATATCATCCGCCAGATTTAAGGGACTTACAGAGAATTGTACCCCTATGTGAGAAGCCTGCACAATAGACATCGAAGGACACAATAGACCTAGGATAGGCCCACCTCTGACAAATAGAGAATTCTCTGATCGCTCCCCCCCCCTCTACGCCCTTCCTCACATTCTCCTCACTCTCTTCTCTTGCTTTAGTATGTGAGAATCTCTCACATCCATTCTCTTCTTACTCTTATATAATCCTATATACAATGCACTACTATATCGTGTAGACAGACGAAAATGAAAATAACGAGAAAAGAAAATGGATCTGTTTACAAGCTGGACATATAAACATTTGACTTGAGATACATATGAGCAACCAAGAAACAATATGTTGAAACAATATCTGTTAGCATTGTAACTTTAGTTTATCATGTTTATATTTTTATTCAACAAAAAACACCAGGACGAGCAGGGCGTCTGATGCAGGCAGAGAGAAAAAAAAAAAAAAAAAATTAATAAAAAGATTCATTAAAAGATGCAAAGACTTACAAATAGAGGACGGAAATTGACGCTGAATGTCACTAAAGCTACAAAATAATCTGTACTGCTTACAATATTTTGTGTATATTGGATGCCTTGTCTTGCCTTTTTACAAATAAAGAATGTTAAAAAAAACAAAACAAAAAAAAAACGACATACAATTTATGTGCCTGATGAATAAAGCCAACAAAAATAACGATGCTATGTAAACACAGACAACATTAACATTCCACTGGTTTCCGGTGACTGATTCACATTTACAGATTTTCCAATGAATAGCTTTTCATACTTATTACAATACAAATCCCACTTTGTAGAGAATGCTACAATTTCTGGAATGGTCTTCACTTACTTGTCCGCTCCTCCGGTCAGCTTCCTGATGTAGGCATGGAAGGACATGTGTTTGACTGGGGGCTCTAAATGATTTAGATAATCCTCATCGAAGGGCTGTGAGTGATCAAACACAAAATGTAAACATCAATCTAGCCCTCCTCCCCCTTGGAAAAAAATACAAAAGACTACGAGTCGCTATAAAATGATAAAAGGGCCTTACCTCTAGGGGTACGCAGTGTACACATTTACCCTGAGGTCCATGGCGACATCTGGATGGAGACAATAAAAAAAAAAAAAAACATAAAAAGTTAGCAGGTTCAGGTTTATGCTGATTAATTTGCTATCATGAATGCATGTAACAACACGGAAAAGTGTAAATGTGATAAATCCTTTCTGAATATTTGGACATTGCACTTTATTCGTGGAAAATAACACTTTATATTATTATTGCAAATTGCTAACAATGTAATCACAAACAAATAATGAATAACAAATGTTAAGACATCCTACAAGCCAAAAAGTAAAAAAAGAAATATAACATAAAATGTTTACAAAAGCAATGTTACAATAAACTGTTTATCTCCTGCTGTTTTCGAGTGCTGGTCCTTATCAAGCCAAGAAAAAAAACAAAAAACAAGTTCATAGCTCAGGTCTCTTAAAAGGACAAAAGTCACCTGAAAATGATTGTTTAATATAATAATTAATATAATAATCCTATCGGCAAGTTAAGTAAAAAAGAGGAATCCCCTACCATTAGTATATGACACGATAACCTACAGTTAGTCTCTATGGTCTTCCCGGCTTCACTCCATACAAAGAAACAGTGAATACCATAGAGACTAACTGTTGGTTTTCAAACACAGACTGACCCTCGGTGAATGGGTGTATGTATATGTCTGATAGATCCTAAGGTAGAGAAGTTTTTCATTTTTTACATTTCTACATTTTCTTCATTTAAAACCAAATATTTCCTGTCACAACTTGATAAAATAATTATTATATTAAAAACAATTCTGAGCTGACTGTTCTTTAAATCCCCTCATTAATTTATAGGAGCCTGCACAGAGCATCGTGTTAATGAATCCTGAACAGCAAAGAGATAGGACAAGGTATGGAGAGCCCTGCAATAAAATCCCTGTAAAATAGCTTGTATTAGCAAGGCAACTTTATTTACTGGAAGTGGGCCATGTGCACTGCTAGCAGTATTCACAGAAATACCAGCACATCCCGTAAAATACTCAAACAATACGGAGTTGCAGTTTTAGGGTACGGAAAAATCTATATATATATTTTTTGAAAGAAATACCGTTTAATGCAGCCGACATAATGAAATGTAGACATACACCTCACTTTATCTGGTTTTTAAATTCAGTTGGTTGTTGTATTCACTGGATAATCTGACAGTATAGGGGATATGTTTTTCTAAATGCCTAAGCACAGCCATACACATATATAATTCTTTTGTAAATAGATTTTTGTTTAAATATTTTGTAAAAATCTTCTAAATGTTAATGTTGGCCAGGAACATGGAAAGCACCAACTAGTCTTCATTGGCTCATAAAACCTAAAATATATGTATGGATCTGTATGCTTTATCAGCTTCATTAAGCTGTAACAGTGTGTCTGCGTTACAGAGTCTCTGTGCTATGGAATACCTGCTGGTTAATGTATTATTATTTTATTATTTATATAGTGCCATCACATTCCATAGCGCTGTAGCAACAACACTTAGAATTCTGGATGTAGATTACAATTTCCCATGATTCTCTGACAGCCTTTCATTTGACACCTGATCATGGGGAATGTAGTCAAGAGCATTCTAAAAGGCAAAGCCGCCTAACTATTTTTGCACTATCCAATTCCTACCAAAGTCAGCTATGAAGAAGAAATAAAAAAATAAAAAAAAAATTACATGATGTGTGAGGTTGTCCAGGTACACTTGATTATTATTCAAATTAGCCAGGAAGTTGTGCTTGGGGTGCAATAGGGGAACAATTAGGCACACAAGACTAGGGAAAGAATGCCAAAGAATCATGCTCTCAAACACCATAGAGCATCATGGGACGATGGTGGCCCATGCTCCATGAAATGCAATCCTAACTCTAGAAGAGTCCTTATCAGACTGACCTGTTTATTAACCCATATACAACATTTCAGAATGGTTGTTTAGAGACCCATATGGCAGGCTTCCATTTAAAACTTAAATGATCCTCTCTCTTTGGATAGGGAGAGAATTATCTTATCACTAACCCTGTTAATTTATCATTCAAAAGAATCAGAATGCAAAACACATTATGTGAGAAAAACAGAATACTGCACAGGGGCAACTATGGCAAGAAACATGGCACAAGCGCACACATCGACCTCATGTGTGGAGAAGTGCCTCTTAATTAGCTCCACTCTGACACACCCTATCAAACTAAGGCAAGAAACACACGAGTGCCCACACCGACCTCATGTGTGGAGGAGTGCCTCTTACTCCACTCTGAAACACCCTATCAAACTGTGTGGAGGAGTGCCTCTTAATTAGCTCCACTCTGAAACACCCTATCAAACTATGGCAAGAAACATGGCACGAGTGCCCACACCGACCTCATGTGTGGAGGAGTGCCTCTTAATTAACTCCACTCTGAAACACCCTATCAAACTATGGCAAGAAACATGGAACAAGCGCACACACCAACCTCCTGTATGGAGGAGTGCCTCTTAATTAGCTCCACTCTGAAACATCCTGTCAAACCACTTAAACACGAGTTTGATTCATTTTAGTTTCATGTTACATGAAAACATGATAGAGCATAGACATAAAAATAAATATTCTACAGGTGTGTCTGCACAGCTGATGTTTCTGTTATGCAAATTTAAGGAGCTTCTGTGGCAGGGACCAAAGCTGAATTGCTTGCTTCATTATATTTTTGTAATGTCTGAATTGTTGGTTAAGCATTCCTACATACAGCTGGGGGTCTTTATTTCTATAGATCTTTCCATCCTGCTTGTTCAGATATTGGTCAATTTCATCCTCCACAACCTGGGGAGCACTCATTGGTCGACTCTGGGTCAAGGCTGATGTATCCATAACCTCCGTGGAGGGTCCAGCAGCATTCCTTGGAAACAGAAATAGCATGTCCCCATGTCTGTAAGAAAATGAAAATAGAAATTAGGAAAAGACTTGGGAATGAGCCACAAGGAAACAGCATACTCTGCATTCTCTATCGCCACTGCATGTGACTGGCTTCATAAGAGTTCATAACATCACATAACGTGTCTAATCAAAGTGTATTTATCAGAATGTGCCGCATCTTGTTATTTCCCAATACCAATCTTATTGAGTGTGAAGATCTATGAAAGATCCAGAAACACCGGATTTCCCCTTTTGTGCATGCATCGGTGACAAGTATCCTGATGGCTACCTCAGTCTGGAGCTAAAGATAATAGAGAAGGGGTCCAGACACATTTATTGGAACAAAATGTACACTGCAACGTTTCGACCCACAAGTGGGCCTTTGTCAAGCTTGTGGGTTCCCTTTGTTCCAATAAATGTGCCTGAAGCTATTGGAATGTTTGGACCTCTTTTCAATTATCAAGATTTCCGTTTGTGGGGATTGTGCTGGCCGTGGTCTGGTTTAGCACCCTTAGCTTATGTGGATTGAGTGCGGTTCCTATGTGGTATATTGTGAAGCTAAAAAAAAACAAAAACAAAAAAAAACTAAAGATGGAAGCCTCGGACATTCAGAAGAAGTGGAGGAGCTGATTGGGCGCACCTTGCAGACTTTGGGGTTAAAACATTAACAGCTTAACCCATTGAGATAAGAAAGGACCCGGGACCTCTTCACACTACAACATCGTCATTGCGATAAAAGTGTTATGGTGCCCGGAGTGTCCCTTTACTCTCCATTGTTGGAAAATTGATACATTGGAGAATATTTTTGGATATTTTGGACTTAAACGTGCAAATTGCTGGTCAATCCTTCACAATTTTTGTAATGTGAATTAACCCCTGATATGTTCACTCTCTCTAAATATACCACACTTCACCTAAAGGGCACTGAAAAACAGATGTGTAAAACATATTGGCATTATTTACAATGGTATTCAGTAAATTCCGCAGTGCGTTATGATTGTATCAGAGAATGATTACATATATACTAAGCAGTCTGAATGTGTTTTGTTCATGTGAAAACAAAATATAAAGCTTTTTGTTACCCATAAAAGAATTTACTATGTTTTGGCGTCAGACGTCTTAAGCCACAGTCACATTTACTTTGACAAATCTATTGTAAAAAAGAAATCACTTTAGAGACAGGCACAGACGTGTCAGAGCGCTATTTCTGTCAATGTCCTCTTTGACTCTGGGTTTCATTAGAGCTGGCTCTGCAAGCAAACATTTTGGCCCCAAATAGATTATCTGGAAATCCAAAGCATTCCTCTTCCTTCCAGTTAATAATATAAAGTTCCAGATGATGTCGAAGGGGAAAACAAGTAATGATGTTCCAGAGTTGATCTTAACCCTTCAGGAGCCTGTGAGAGGAGATATAAATCCCTTGCCACTCGGACACATTCAGTGCTAAACTACCTCTATATACACTGGAGGCAAATTATACTTGTAACTGGTACCATAAATAAGCAGACACCATTTTCAATAACATCACCATTCACACAACAGCAGTGGGAATAACCAACTTACTTGATTTTGAGAAGGTTCAGCGATTTGTTTTGTGAAGCAGATATTTCTCCCGTACGGTTTCTATTTACATACACAGAGAAACCATTATTTCTAAAGCCAAACTCTTTTGCTACCTGGAGGAATACGAAGAGGAGACAAAAAATAAAAAACCTCTTTAATGTTGGGGCAGTGATGGGTAATAAGCTCCAGGTGAGAAATCAGTTTATTTAGAATCATTATTGAATGAAGTGTGGAACAGAAGGAGGGAAGGAGAGTTACCCAACAGCTTTATTAAGGATTCAGTGGATTCCAAGTCGTAGAATTCTTAAGTTGACAAACGACTGTAACTGGATCCCGCACAGGGCAGGGTTTATATCAATTTACATCCAGGCCTGCGAGACAAGGGGTGACATTCTCATTCCCAATCAATAGTCAAAGTGCGAATGCTATCCTTGGAGTTCTGGTGTCTGCTACAGAATTGATCTCTACTGGAGCACTGGATGTTCTTTCATGGCGATCCGTACTCAAACAGTTGACAGAGCTTGCTTTCCATATAAGTGGGGCTACATAATGACAGCAACCCAGAATTACAAATTAAATTATTATTATGATGATAAACCCCATTTACGTTTGACCCTAGTGGTGTCCACTTAATGGAGAAACAAAGAGATGTCACCGATTCTCCAATTTCTTGCTAAACAGGAGCACTCAGTGATCGCAGTGGAGTGACCCAGTCACCACCATTTCCTCTTCAGCTTCTGTCTGCCAGGAGTCCACGTCAGTGTTGTACTCCCACACCTACCCAACACTGACACTGACAAAATAACTTTTCCCCAATGCTTTAATCAGCCTGTATATACTGCACTATCCCACAATAGGTCTAAAAAGTATGAGCGACTAAATTGAGCATTTTAAATTCTATAAAATATGCATAAATGTATTTTAGGGCATCCCAGAACAGCACTCTACAGACAAAACTGTTGTTTTGTCTTAATTTTGTGTACTATATATATGTACTGCTGGTTTCTAATAAATGTTTATGATAAACAACATATACTCTGCACAGAATGGATTTACAGCCTAGAGTGACTGCACCACAAATGGACAGTGATCTTTACAATTAGTTTTTTAATATCACATGCAAAGCCAACACTCATTCTGTTACTAAACTACTCACAAACGTTGGCTTGGAAAAATAATCCTCTATGGCAGAAATATTGGAATATTTTATAAATGTATTCATCTCAATAAGAAGATTGTCATGCACACATGCGCAGCTGGGCACAACGCCATGAATCTTGTAGAGCAACATTTCATGGCTGCGCTATAATTAACCATTTCCTTCGCTTCCCTGGAAGTTTAGCTGCCTATTAAGCTTCAGCAATGCATCATCTGGCGCCATCATTCATTGAGACATCTGCCAGGGCATAAACACTGTTCCCCTGATGGGTCATTTTTCCTTGCAATGGTTTTTCCAGTTTCTCCTTCCCTATAAGTTGTCAGGTGACCAGCCCCACTCTGCAATGGCTGTGAACCAACATACTTACTCTAAATCTTATCTTGTTGATCCTGAATATTGATTGTGTAACACTGTATCAATGACTGTTTCTCAAAGACTAGCAGACCCGGACTCACCCTCACTATACCATTGTTGGTGAGGAAAGCCAATACGAGGAGAGGTTACCTGAGAACAAGAGGAAAAACTAGAGAGGGGAGCCATTAAAAAGACACTCCAGACCACCAAGCTTTAGGGGCAAGCAGGAGCTCTCCCTTCTCTCAATTCACAAAAGTGCCTATTTCAAGAGCATTTGGCCCTTTTATTAGTTAGGAAAGAGTGCCCCAAGGCAGTCAAGCTGACAGCCAGGGCATCTTACTGATTCACACCGCTTGAACAGTTGCTCGTGTGGAAGTGAGAGCTTAGTTTAATGGTCCACTATGAGAAGCATGATCAGTCACTGCATCCAATTGGCACATGCACCAATTTTATCCAAAGAGGAAGAGAGAGATTGTCGTCACTGGAAGTGCGGAGTGGAGAAAAAGTTAAAGGGAAACTATAGTCACCAGAACAACTACAGTAGTAGAGGAAAAATTACACTTACCGTAATTACAGCTTAATGTATTTGTTCTAGTGAGTATAGTCAGTCCCTGCAGGTTTTTTGCAGTAAACACTGTTGGTATCAGAGAAAATGCAGTGTTTACATTACAGCCTAGATATACCTCCACTGGCCATTCCTCAAATGGCTGTTAGAGATCCTTCCTGAGGCAGTGCTGCACAGTGTGTCTGACATTCAGTGTCTCCACCCTCTGCATTGAGACACTGAACTTTCCTCATAGAGATGCATGAATTCAATGCATATCTATGAGAAGATGCTGATTGGCCACGGCATTGTTTGGCTCTGTCCCCTGACCCGCTTCCTTGGCTGACATCATCAGAATAGAGAATATCAGCCAATCTAATACTTTCCTATAGGAAAGCATTGTAATTGGTTGAGAGAATCACTTCTGATGATGTCAGCCAAGGAGGCAGGTCAGGGACAGAGCCAGCACCAGCAGTCTGGAATAAAGGTAAGATTGTACTATATTTAAAGGTAATCTCTAGTGCCAGGAAAACAAAGCCATTATAATGGCACTATAGTTCCATACAGTGCCCATCTCCCTCACACAGCCCTCCTGCAGCGCTGAAGGGGTTATGACCCCCTAAGTTACTTACCTGAATCCAACACCGATGTCCCTTGGCGCTGGATCAGGCTTCGCCTGGGGAGACCTTATGTGCATGCGCGGCAATGGCCACTCTCACATTAGGATTTCTCCATAGGAAATTTTATTAATGCTTTCCTATAGGGAAAAATCTGACGCTGGAGGTCCTCATGCAGAGCGTGAGGACGTCCAGGGCCAGATACCGGACCAAACGTCCGTTTCAATTTAGGAAGCCCTCTAGTAACCGTCTGGTAGACAGCCATTGCTGCAATGTAAACATTCTAGTTTCTCTGGAACTGCAATGTTTTAAATTGCAGGACTAAGTGCAAAAGTGACAACACCCAGACCACTCCAATTAGCTGAAGTGGTCTGAATGCCTACAGTGTCCCTTTAAGGGGGCAAAGGGGAGGGGGGATTGTTTTCCTGACTTTATAGTTTTCTTTTAAGTCATCTTTGCTTTTTTTTGTGAGGAAAAAGTAGAAACTTAAAGGACAGAAACAATGAACATCTAATATCAGAACCAATTTGTGGATGTTCAGTCCAATACAATTATTTATAACTTTTAGTGCCAGGAGGGATAGGCCAAATAATCGACAGGAATAAATAGCTCTAACTATACCAGTGTAAGGTTTGCCAAACCATATCCAGTGACTGCTACATATGCCAGACGTGTTTGTCATTGTCACTGTACAAACATGGAAATCGCTGTCAGGAAGGAACCTACCTTTTTAAGAAAAGTCGCTGCTGATTCACGTTTGCTTGCATCAATGCGCTTTACTCCTTCTGGAGACTGAACACGAATTGTCTACCGGAAAAATTAAAATTTATTCAGAGTGAAAAAAATACTTGCAAATGATTTATTATGGCATATACCACATTCACCATGAATGTATAGTAAACACAGTTTGGAAAATAATAATGATGTTTAGAGACATGGACAACAGTTGGATGATGTCTGTTCTGGAGCATAAATGAACTGCAGATAGTGATGAGATTAGATGTCCAGGAAATGCTATGTCCACAATATTCCCAACATACAAAACCAGGGATTGTGGGGAAGACAAATTATAGGCAAAAATGCCAAATTGTCCTACTCCACCATTTTTACAGCTTGGCTAAACTGGCCTGTTTCCCAATAGAATTGTCAGCTGTGCATAATTACTGATTTAGACAATAAATCACACAGGGGGCGGAGCACACAGACACATACAGCAGCCCACTTCACTGACACAAGAACAAAAACATAGCAGGACAGCAAGATCGAGAACAGACACACAGTGTCACTCACTACAGGGTAAAATGCAGATAATTCTAAGCCACATTTTCACATCTGAAATTCACTTTAGACTCCAGACAGTTGACATTCCAGAGAATAAACCGGACAATTTTGCATTTAAATATTGTGTGGACCGGAAGTTTCTTTTTATGCAAGGTAACTTGTTTACAAGCCTGATAAACCTACTTAAAACACAGTGATATAAAAATATACAGCTAGGATCTATCACTGTATGTACAAACACAGAATATAATGTGCAAATATTAGAGAATGACAGTGCGTGCTACACAGAGAGTGATAGTGTGTTATGCAGAGTGTGTGTGTGTGTGGTACACAGAGAGAGTGAAAGCTACGGTGAGTGTTGTATAATTATTTATAAAGCACCAACAAGTTCTGTAGCGCTGTACAATGAGGGGACTAACAGACAACTATTTGTAACCAGACAAGTTGGACACACAGGTACAGAGGGATTGAGGGCCCTGCTCAATGAGCTTACATGCTAGAGGGAGTGGGGTAATGTGACACAAAAGGTAAGGGTAGGGTAGAAAAGTAGGTTGCTAGGATAGTGTTCATTCAGGGCTTAGTGTTCTAATTTGATGACAGTTTCAGGAAAGGAATCAGAGTTCGGGGAGGGAAAACTGTTCACAGTTTAATTGATATGATTTCCTAAAGAAGTTTAGACATTGAGTGTTGTGCAGAGAGTGACAGTGAGCATTATACACAGACAGTAGATTAAGTGACACTGAGCGCTGCCCTGGGGCTCTCCCACTCCCCTGAGCGCTGCCCTGGGGCTCTCCCACTCCCCTGAGCGCTGCCCTGGGGCTCTCCCACTCCCCTGAGCGCTGCCCTGGGGCTCTCCCACTCCCCTGAGCGCTGCCCTGGGGCTCTCTCAATCCCCTGAGCGCTGCCCTGGCTCTCTCTCAATCCCCTGAGCGCTGTCCTGGCTCTCTCTCAATCCCCTGAGCGCTGTCCTGGCTCTCTCTCAATCCCCTGAGCGCTGTCCTGGCTCTCTCTCAATCCCCTGAGCGCTGTCCTGGCTCTCTCTCAATCCCCTGAGCGCTGTCCTGGCTCTCTCTCACTCCCCTGAGCGCTGTGCTGGCTCTCTCTCACTCCCCTGAGCGCTGTCCTGGGTCTCTCTCACTCCCCTGAGCGCTGTCCTGGGTCTCTCTCAATCCCCTGAGCGCTGTCCTGGCTCTCTCTCAATCCCCTGAGCGCTGTCCTGGCCCCTGAGTGCTGGGGCTCTCTCACTTCCCCTGAGTGCTGGGGCTCTCTCACTTCCCCTGAGTGCTGGGGCTCTCTCACTTCCCCTGAGTGCTGGGGCTCTCTCACTTCCCCTGAGTGCTGGGGCTCTCTCACTTCCCCTGAGTGCTGGGGCTCTCTCACTTCCCCTGAGTGCTAGGCTCTCTCACTTCCCCTGAGTGCTGGGGCTCTCTCACTCCCCTGAGTGCTAGGCTCTCTCACTTCCCCTGAGTGCTGGGGCTCTCTCACTCCCCTGAGTGCTGGCTCTCTCTCACTCCCCTGAGTGCTGGGGCTCTCACTCCCCTGAGTGCTGGCTCTCTCTCACTCCCCTGAGCGCTGGCTCTCTCTCACTCCCCTGAGTGCTGGCTCTCTCTCACTCCCCTGAGTGCACACTCACCCCCTGCCCCCCGGGTACTCACAATAGTCTCCGCCATGTCCCTCGCTCCCCGGGCCGCTCGCGCTCGGTACCCGCCGGTCTCTCAGGGGATTCCCGGCCAGTGACGTCTCCTGGCTGCCGGTTCGGGTGGACTAGTGCTCCCAGAATTCCTTCCCCCGCTGGAGGTGCTGCGTCAAGGTTCCGGGACCGAGAGTTCCGCCTGGAGAGCGAGTGCAGCAATCAATGTGCTCCGACTGGAAACAAAGACTGAGAGAGAGTATTCTATCTCAATAAATAAATAAAATAAAATAAAATATAAAATATAATACACCGTGTATAATATAGTATACAGTATAATAGGATCCCGTTCACACACACAGACCGTGTATAATATAGTATACGGTATAATAGGATCCCATTCACACACAGACCGTGTATAATACAGTATACGGTATAATAGGATCCCATTCACACACAGACCGTGTATAATACAGTATACGGTATAATAGGATCCCATTCACACACAGACCGTGTATAATACAGTATACGGTATAATAGGATCCCATTCACACACACAGACCGTGTATAATACAGTATACAGTATAATAGGATCCCATTCACACACAGACCGTGTATAATACAGTATACAGTATAACAGGATCCCATTCACACACAGACCGTGTATAATATAGTATACGGTATAATAGGATCCCATTCACACACAGACCGTGTATAATACAGTATACGGTATAATAGGATCCCATTCACACACACAGACCGTGTATAATACAGTATACGGTATAATAGGATCCCATTCACACACAGACCGTGTATAATACAGTATACGGTATAATAGGATCCCATTCACACACACAGACCGTGTATAATACAGTATACGGTATAATAGGATCCCATTCACACACACAGACCGTGTATAATACAGTATACGGTATAATAGGATCCCATTCACACACACAGACCGTGTATAATACAGTATACGGTATAATAGGATCCCATTCACACACACAGACCGTGTATAATACAGTATACGGTATAATAGGATCCCATTCACACACACAGACCGTGTATAATACAGTATACGGTATAATAGGATCCCATTCACACACACAGACCGTGTATAATACAGTATACGGTATAATAGGATCCCATTCACACACACAGACCGTGTATAATACAGTATACGGTATAATAGGATCCCATTCACACACACAGACCGTGTATAATACAGTATACGGTATAATAGGATCCCATTCACACACACAGACCGTGTATAATACAGTATACGGTATAATAGGATCCCATTCACACACACAGACCGTGTATAATACAGTATACGGTATAATAGGATCCCATTCACACACACAGACCGTGTATAATACAGTATACGGTATAATAGGATCCCATTCACACACACAGACCGTGTATAATACAGTATACGGTATAATAGGATCCCATTCACACACACAGACCGTGTATAATACAGTATACGGTATAATAGGATCCCATTCACACACACAGACCGTGTATAATACAGTATACGGTATAATAGGATCCCATTCACACACACAGACCGTGTATAATACAGTATACGGTATAATAGGATCCCATTCACACACACAGTCCGTGTATAATACAGTATACGGTATAATAGGATCCCATTCACACACAGACCGTGTATAATATAGTACACAGTATAATGTGATTACATTCACACACAGTAATATGTAAACTATAAATGTACCCTCACACAGGCGGTGTATAATGTAGTTTACAGCATAATATGTCTGCTTGGTATCAGCCCAGCATGATAATGCACATTCCCAGGTCTCTGCTCACCCGGACAGCCAGCTCTGCATTATTTAATATTAATACTCAGCAGTCCCAAGTGACCTGATTTAACTGGTACAGTCCCTATGTGAGCCCCAATTCTCTCAGTCCCTAAAGGCTCCATATTAATTAATGATGATAAGATTATTCACTTTAGTTTGAATTGCCAGAAATTCACAGTGAAGTCAGAATACATTTTTAATTTTTGGGCTAAAACTGACAATTTGTAAAATAAAATCGGCAGGTCAGATAAACACTAGCCACGTGCCAATCCTGAAGAGGTCGTGCCATCGCGGCTGGCACACATTTAGCACTGTTGAAGCGCTTAAGTATTGGCTTAATAGTCCAAAACTTCATTACAAGAGCAGCGCTTGCACGTTTTAACCTGTGATCCCGGGTGACCAGGAGGCTAATTAAATTGTGTGACCTAACAAGACTCTCGATAGGCTTCCACATCATTTATTTTGCCCTAAAGTTGAAGTTCCCTTTGAATTTCCTACAATTAACATTTTATCGAATAACCTTGCTGGTGTTAAACATAGCTTCCCAACCATAAAATTCACATTAATGCATCAATGGCATTATACATCCCAACATTAGGAGGTATAAAATTGGGCAGGAGGTTCGCAGACCTAAAAGTGTGGGCCATTTGCATCACTGGTAACCCCAAAATGTGCAGTTCCACCCGGAAAAGGGGTCAGACCACACAGAGTGCGCCGCTGAACATGCAGCGCCCTGGTGTCAGTTCCCTGGCGTCGTCAGTGGCAGGATACCAGGGAATGAAATTGGGACAGTGGAAAAACAGTCCGAAATTATGATTGTCCTACCGAATCGGAAAAGTTAGGGGGCATGCATTAACCCCTTACGGACACATGACATGTGTGACATGTCATGATTCCCTTTTATTCCAGAGGTTTGGTCCTTAATGGTTTAAACTGAGATAAATGTCAGTCTACATAAATTAGATACTTTTTCCAACTTATATTTTTAGTTACATAAATGATTATCAATGTTTCATAAACACATTTAAAATGTTCCGAAATAGCTCTTACCGTGGCCATACACCCTAAAATGAGAGCATTGGCAATAGGACAATGATAAGTACACTTTTGGCATTTCTTTGGTAATATTTAATCATTTACTAAATATTGTAAACGTTAACATTAACAAAATGTGTTATTTATTTCTCTAAATTGCACAATAAATGTTCTGTGCTGAAAAATGAATAATTAACTTGTTTTGCATTAATCATTTTTAGAACGTATTTTTCAGGTTCATTGTAAGATTAATAAAATGTTCCTGGAAACACTACCCGGATCCACATTTATCTGGTGATACAATTACTCCTGTACTCCTTTCACATACGGAGACTTTCCAGGACAGAGATAATCTCTTATTTATTAAATACAATATATTCATGATAAAATAAAACACGGGCATTTAATGAATCATAATCATTTTATTTGAATTCTCACATTTGACAAACGGGTGTTTATTGCAAATTCCCAAGAATTACACGTTTTGCAGTGTGAATGGAAGCAGGAAGTGACTCAGCCAATCACTACGTTTCGATAACAATTCTATAGCGCAGCAAGAGTTTTCTGGGACTTGTAGTTTAATTGTTGGTTTTCTAATGTAGGATGTCATCAGCTGAACTACAAATCCCAGAAACCAATACATCATGCAGATCAGGTTTTTTTTTTTGTCAAAAAAAAAAAAAAATATTGCTAGCTGGGAGGGAGGGAGGGGCATAAAATGGGTGATTTTCAAGTAAAATCAGGTCTAGGCACAGTGATTGAACATTACTAGAGTTATTAAAGGAGCAATATGCTTACCTTTATCGTACCACACATCTTACAACAAAAGGCATTTTTAGTTTTAGAAAGAGACATAGATTACCTGTTTAAAGGGAAATTGACAGCAGGTAATGGCATTCTTATAGGCTGGTACAAAGATAATCTATGTAAGAAGATCCCCGGTATTTCAATTTATTGCGTGTTTTATATTTGACCGGGGTATATCTACTAATATATACTACAACTTTCACATTTTATTTTATTTGTGCCGTTGAGTGTCCCTTTAACTGTTGTGAGTGTGTAAACATGGCACCAGGAAATGTAATCGATATTTTGGCGTTGCGCTATGTTTGGAAGCCTACCTAGAGTAAAGCCGTCACCACCTTATCGACTAATTTTAATCCTTTTGCTGAAACACACACTGGCAGTTTTTCGTATAGCGTCTATCTTTAGGAAAATCTCAGAAGTGACAGGTCTCCACAGAACAAATAAACAATATATTTACCTCCAAGATGGTTTAGAATAAATAGGCCGGAGCGCAGAGTTTACACTCACGCTAGCTTTTGGAAAGTGAAGATTTAGCAGTAGTGAGTCTAAAATTCCAGTCTTGCAGTGGCAAGTAACTTTTAAATCCTGGCTAGTGGTGTAGGGTTTGAAATGTTAATTCCTGGATGGGACCAAATGATGCCCGCATATGTACCAAATGTTCTGATTTTGGTAAGACAGTCCCAATTTTGGGCTTCTATCCTGCAGTTGTTTCTGGAGAGAGTACCCCTAAAGCACAGCTGACAATGCTTTTTCCAGTCCATTTGTCATCAGTAGTTCTCTGCGTATGGGCAGCTCTCATTATCCTCTGTGCCGCTTCCTCGTATTCATGCGCACATTCACCATTTAGTGCTGTTCCCAGCATTGCAAAGTGTCTCAATGACATAGCGGCACGCACGCCTGGCTCTAGCTGCCCCTCTCCTGTCCTGGTTTCATACTTGCCACAGTTGGCAGGTACGGCCACACAGCTGTTGACTAGTTTAACTTTAATAACTTTTTTTTTTTTTTTTTTTAAAGCAAAAGGGCTAGTACAATCTACAGAGGACAAATGATTCTCTATACACGGACACTAATATTTTAGATGGCCAATACTTAACAGTTAGAGCATGCAGGGGATATAGCTTTCAGTACAGTTGTATTTTACAAATTTTCAAACTCGTGAGTGGCCATGGAAGGGAGACAAAAACCAGTTCACCTTTGGAAATAAACCAGTTAATATTTCCATATTGAAATCATCTGACTTGGGTCATTTTTCCAGTTCAGTTTTCAGTACAATTTGTAATTCACTTTAGATTCATTATTCACTAACTCTGAATTATGCCAATTGAACCAGAATGATTAGAACATTCTCCAACTCAGCAGCAGGGACACCTGGGTTATGTTTGTCCATACTCCCAGTAATGTGTCTGAGTGTATAACAGAGCTCCACAGTAATAATACTCCCAGTAATGTGTCTGAGTGTATAACAGAGCTCCACAGCAATAATACTCCCAGTAATGTGTCTGAGTCTATAGCAGAGCTCCACAGCAATAATACTCCAAGTAATGTGTCTGAGTGTATAACAGAGCTCCACAGCAATAATACTCCCAGTAATGTGTCTGAGTGTATAACAGAGCTCCACAGCAATAATACTCCCAGTAATGTCTGAGTGTATAACAGAGCTCCACAGCAATAATACTCCCAGTAATGTGTCTGAGTGTATAACAGAGCTCCACAGCAATAATACTCCCAGTAATGTGTCTGAGTGTATAACAGAGCTCCACAGCAATAATACTCCCAGTAATGTGTCTGAGTCTATAACAGAGCTCCACAGCAATAATACTCCCAGTAATGTGTCTGAGTGTATAACAGAGCTCCACAGCAATAATACTCCCAGTAATGTGTCTGAGTGTATAACAGAGCTCCACAGCAATAATACTCCCAGTAATGTGTCTGAGTGTATAACAGAGCTCCACAGCAATAATACTCCCAGTAATGTGTCTGAGTGTATAACAGAGCTCCACAGTAATAATACTCCCATTAATGTGTCTTTAAACTACAATAAATGTGTTTAGAAATCAGTGTGTCATTGTTGTTCTTCTGAATTACATTTTAATAATATAGTTACTAGTAAGTCACAAAAAATTTCTCTGAACAGCCCCATCCCTGGCCACACCCTCACTCACAGCCTTGGCCACACCCCCACTCACACCCCTAAAATTAAAGTCTCTCTCTCTGTATATGTGAAATGTTGGGTGGCATTCATCCCCATTTAATTCTCTGTGCATGATACAATGTGTATAAATGTTATATTTCTAAAATGGGATTTGGTGTAAATTTGATACTTTTTGCACAATTTAGAATTCCATAGAATGTCTTGCTGACCTCAGATTGAAGGGGTTAACGAAGAAGGACTCTCAATGAGTGGAACTGCAGCAGAGACACACCAGCCCCTCACATGATAAGAGGCTGACTGGTCTGATGATCTGCTTCAGATAAAGGTAAACGTTCGTTCCCTTGGAAAATCATACCATTCTCTCTCACAGCTCCGTAGGATGGGTGGAAGACGCTTTTGGCATTTCCAGACTTGGCTGTGTTTCACCAAGAAAAATCCAGAGGAACCTAATGAAAGGTCCAGGTTAATACCCAAGGTGACAGTTTCTGTAATTAACTTCTCTCCCCAGAAAGGGCAAAGCATGGAGTGTATTCATTTCAATATTGCCAGATGCACCGGGATTACCTATATCACTTCTTTGTGTTGATGGGCATAGCATGAAAAGTGCGGCCCTTGAGTGTGCAACATTCAAATGCTGCAGGAGGGAAATCAATTAACTAATCAGGATAGTTCTACTGGGATCCCTTGACAAAGTGATCTCTGTCCTGCAGCATATGAATTCTGCAAAATGCAGATCATTGATATTCAGGGACTGCCGGTCAGTATAAAGAGAAGATATCTATCCAGGACAACATGGCGGCTCTGACTGCTGTAACTAGGTGACTATAATATTGTGCATTTTATTTATTTTCTACAAGAGGGTCCAGGTATTTAAATTGTGACCACAGCCCTAGTTTAAAATTCTAAATAACTGAATGACTTGATACAGTTGCATATTGTCCCTTTAATTTGAGATATTATTATAGCGTGGAGGGTAGCACTGATTCTGCGCCGCCCTTCAATAAGCGATACTGTTACTTTAATATTAACGGATTTTCCTTATCATATTTCAGCACGTTGAAAGGCGATCCCATGCAAAGTGTCACGTTGATCATATCTGATCGTTATTTAAATTGTGTTGCTTTTAAAAATTAAATTATATTTTCTTCCTACGGACTGCTACATTTTTAGATCTGTTTTGCATCAGACATTTCCAATTCCTCCTCTGTTAACGCCTAAGGGGGTGCTTTCATGATGTGTCTGGTTTTAAATGTAACATTTATATTTTCTAGGGTGTAAATGAATGGAGCGTTTGTGTGATAGATTTGCGGCTTAATTTTAAAATAATGCCATGCTTTCTGCTTTAGCAAATTAATGGCAATGGTCTGGCATGACTGCTTTAATAACAGTTTTCAGACACACAACAGTTATGTCCCCCAAGCTAAATGCTAGACTTGTATACCATCTGTTTTTAGCTGCGTACGACTCAAACTCCTGTTCGCTTATATCCAAATGAATGGATCCGTCAGGGATTTACTTGTGGAATCCTATAAGACTCCACAGGTAAATGCTGGACTGATCAATTTGTTTGGGAGTAGATTAACAGAAATTGTATTCGTTCGGTGCACCTGAAATATATTTGTGCACAAGTCTACAAAATGCAGTGTCGAGAGCCCCCTTCTTTATGGGATTATGTAAAACGAGGAATTCTGGGGGACATTTTACATATCAATTATCTACCCAATGACAGCTAAACCACCCCCTGCCCTTAAGATCCATAACTACCTTTGGCTTTGATATTTCCTAATTAACTAAGCTGCAGAAATTGGATGGGGTATAGGTACTGGTAGCATAAACTGCTGCCTATCCGTTTCAAGGTATGGCAGGTATCCATGAAACCCAATGTCACGCTTAAACTATCCTCATTGCTCTTTAACCAAAAATAAACTTTATTTAATGCATAGCTTCCTGTGTCTTCATTCCTTTTTATGTATTTCCCTGAGCATTCTAGTTTTCATTAAATACAGAAATAAACATAAGGACTACTTTTCCCCAACAAGACAATGGGCTGAGCTTAAAGGACCACTCTAGGCACCCAGACCACTTCCCAGTAACGTGTCTGAGTGTATAACGGAGCTCCACAGCAATAATACTCTCAGTAATGTGTCTGAGTGTATAACAGAGCTCCACAGCAATAATGAAGTGGTCTGAGTGCCAGGTCCCTCTAGGATTAACCCCTTTTTTAAAAAAAAAAAAAAAAATGTAAATTTTTTTTTTTTTTTTTTTTTTTTTACTGCTATGTTTATAAATGGGTTAATTCAGCCTCTAGTGGCTGTCTCATTGACAGCCGCTAGAGGCGTTTGCGTGCTTCTCACTGTGAAAATCACAGTGAGAAGACGCCAGCGTCCATAGGAAAGCATTATAAATGCTTTCCTATGAGACTGGCTGAGTGCGTGCGCCCGCGCAGCTCCTGTTGCGCATGCGCATTCAGCTGAAGAGGAGGATCAGAGGAGGAGGAGGAGGGCTCCCCGCCTGGCACTGGAAAAAAGGTAAGTTTAACCCGTTTCTTCTCCCCAGAGCCCGGCGCGAGGGTATCCCTGTTGGTGGGGGCCATTCAGGGCACTATAGTGCCAGGAAAACGAGTATGTTTTCCTGGCACTATAGTGGTCCTTTAACACAAAGTTCTGTTTCTGCTTTTAATCAAATTTAACCACAAACCATCAGCTACACAGTGCTTGTACAGAGCTGCAGGATACACAAACACCTTCTGTGTTAAAGGAGACTCCAAACACCTAAAGCACTTGAGGCCAGAGCAACTGTCTTGCAAAGACTTCTCATTGAGCTGCATTGTGAAGTCTGTGATTGGACAGCCTTAGAAAGTCTGGGCAGGGCTAGAGGGGGAGGGCTCGCAAAGGCTGCAGACAACAGATTTGCAGCTTTAGCAAGCTGTTATTAGATATAACCCAAATGACAAAATGTTCAAAAGTGAACTATATATGAAATGATTAAGTAAAATATCCAAGAAATCTTTCAAAATCTGTCTGGTTTTTGTTTTGTTTTTTTTCTGAGTAATTTTGCAATTTCACTTTTAGTTCACTAAAATTTGGCATTTTGATCAATAAAACTCGTTGTTACAATAATTACAACAATGAATGAACTTTTTGGAGATTAGTGATTCATGTTGGTAAACTTAGCTGGGAAGGTTGAAGCGTACTTTTTAGACAAGAAAATCATATATAATTTTTTGTATCTTCCTCAGGATAATGCTGATTCCCAACAGGTTCCTGATGGAGAGGATTCAGAGGAGGAGCAACATAGTGCTTACAGCTGTCCAGAACTTGTGGTTACTAAGTCCATGTCAACCAAGAACTGGCCCCGACCCATGACCCATCTTCCTACATTATTAGTGTTTATTAAGTATCTCATGTTCATCACCAACTTTGTGTTCTCGGTAGTGGGATTCACTATTTTAGGAATTGGTTTTTGGGGACTTATAGACAAGCAGTCATTGATTAGCGAGAAAATTGGCTCTCTGGGCACAGACCCCATGCTTTTCTTTATACTGGTGGGTCTGGTAATTTGTGCCCTGTCTGTGTCTGGGTGTGTGGGATTCCTAAGAGAAAACATTTGCCTCCTGAAACTATTCTCTGCCGGGATGTGCGTTCTTATAGTCATCCAGAGCGTTTTGGCCATCGCTTTCCTCTCCTTCAGAGAGCAGATCCAGGATTCTGTGAAGCAATCCATGATGGTGGCTTTGACTAGGTACCAGGATGATTCTGACCTGAGGTTTATTATGGATGAGATCCAGCTTGGCATGGAGTGCTGTGGGGTTCAATCTTACCAAGACTGGGGAGTCAACTTGTGAGTACCAATCCTTTCCATTTATGTTCGGTTTTATGGCACTGTAGGTAGCACGATTCTCCGGTATCATCACTCTCGTATGAAAAATATGCAATGTATTAAGTATTTTTTTTTTATTTATAATTAGCGTTGTCCTGCATGTAGGTCACACATTTTGTGTGCTTTAGATGATAACGATGATTGTTGTAAATTACACCCTGTACCTTGAAAACCTAAAAGTCCCTTGGTTTTTGTGGAGGAGGTCTGTAATGTTGGGATACCCTAATGCCAGGGGGAGCCATACAGCTTAAATCCCCCACGTATCAGTCTGTGTTGCTGCAGACTGAGTGTATGTCAAAAAAAATCTAGGAATTCCATTTAGAGTTTTAATCAACGGATACTATATGTGACAGAACCATCTGTCTGCTGGATTTTTACCCCGTTCGTCTGTTTGTCCCCCGTTCGTATGAATGGCTGGTTTCTATAGCCCAGCCATTCGAATGACTCTTTTTCCCGAACAAATCTGCCGAACGAACGGCCACCCAAGTGAGGAGTGTGCTGTGGGTTAACAAAGTGATCCCCATTAGAACGTTGTGGTTAACCGCAGACACTTCTCAATTAAACCGAACTCAGGGTGGTCGTCGTTCGTATGTCGACCACGAGGCAGCGGCCATTTTAAATCATGCGAACGCCCAGCGGTGTTTGGCTCTATTTCTATGGAACTGAAAACGGACACTTTTTCTGCCGAACACCGCTGAAACAAGGGAACGCCTGGCTGCCTCCACGAAAGCATGCGAACACCGGCCGTTCGGGAGATTGAGAGCCTACAAAAGACTTAACCCAGATAGCCTTCCCATGGAGTCATTCGTATACCGAAAGACTGTAAGAACTTTGACTCCATGGCGATTGAACTATGTGTGTGGGATCTGAGCGCTATTCGCTAATAATATGCACTCAGATCTAGGCTATCTGGGGACATGTAATACTAACGGGAAATGTTCAGTTTTCATGTAGTTATGTATTTTTATGTCTTTTATTATTTTATGTCTAAGATGGCGACTGTCCTTGTCCTGGAGTTAATTGAGTTACTTGGTAATTAACTCCAGGGCAGAGGGGAGGGAATCATAATGCACTGTGGGTAAAATATGTGACTGTGTGTCTGAAATGTCCCTCTATCTGTCTGTAGTTTACGTCTCCCATTTGGTCCCCTAGGGGAGTGTCCACCAAGTGGGAGACCTGCATAAATACGGGCAGGTAGCCCACAGTAAAACCAGATTCTGTTTGACCCTCAATGCGGAGCTTCTGTCTCGTTATTGGGGGGGATTTCTTCTTCACGTTAGAGACTGCTGGATGGAATGAAAGCCGCTTTGGGAATATTACTGTTCGACGGTTACCAGCAGTTCGTATATTGCCGTTCGGGAGTTTGGAGCCGTTCGTGGATTTCGATCGGGAGATTGCCGCTTCCCCTGCATTTTGTTCGTGTGTTACGGAATAAGCGAACGGAGACTGTACTGCAGCCGGGGAAGGTTTACTAAACGGCGGTTTGGCTTAAAGACACTGGAGGTGTCTTAACACTATATGACCCTGTAAGTGCTGAGGTGTTGGCGAGATACTTATGGTCTGTACCCAGAGAAGGTCAAGACTGGATACGCAGCCCACTTTACCACCAGTGATTGCCCTCCCCTCCTGGCAAATTGACAGGGAGGGGGTAATTTTACTCATTTTAATAATGAAGTTAATTGTAAGTAAATGTAATGAAGTCCCTATCCCACCCCATTTAAACTCATATACACATTGCACCCCTATAAACACAGTAAACACCTGTCACTCCACTTATACAAGCGATACCTTTATTTTATTTTTTTTATAAATATAATTTTACACACACTATACATCTTGACTTGAACACAAATTTGACAACCCTGCACACCACACATAGTAATCTGAGTGAAAAAGGGCTGAAGTCCATTAAGTTCAACCTTGAGGCCCAATATTTTATGACACTGATCCGAGAGTAGGCAAAAACCCCCCCCCCTCTTTTAGTCATTTCCAATTGGTCCCCAAAAATAAGAAAATAATTCCTTGTTGACTCCATAATGAAACCCCTATTTAAACTACACCCCCAGTAACAGTCACACATACTCTTTCTGCACCGTAAATGTTTTAATGAGACCTTTCCCTGACTGAAGGCTGCTCTGCATACATTACATGAAACCCTCCTGCACAGGTTTCTAACTGGTAATGTCAATCCTAAAGATAATTTTGGAATAATACGGTGATTAATGTTGGATCCGGACATGTTTTAAAAAGATAATTAATTCCCAGTGTTTGTGGCTCGCTCTGCTCATTAACCTCTCTTACTATTCACCCTACAGATATTTTAACTGCAGTTCCGCTGGCGTTCATTCCTGCGGAGTTCCATATTCCTGCTGCATTGACCCGCTAGAAAATGGCACCGTTCCCAATTCACAATGTGGATTCAAGGTACAGGAGATGGGAGAGACCTTGGCTGGGAGCACCGTCTATCTGGGAGGCTGTGTACCCCAACTTTCTCTCTGGCTGAGCCGCAGGTTTTGGGACATTGCTTCAGGATTCTTATTGGTGACGGCCATCGAGCTTATAAATGTTTCCTGTGCCCAGAGAATTCTGGGAGAAATAATGTTTGGCAAGAACACAATGGAAGGCCTTGGTAGACCAAAACACCACGAGTGGACTTTCACTGACCAGAAATAAAACGGGAGATGGGAGCCCAGTAGTTTCACAAAATTAAGAGGGAAACGTTTTACAAGACGTGGCAGTTTTACTGTTCTAAAACTTCCTGAAACCTTTTTCTTTCCCCAGAATATCCTTTAAGTGAGTATATTGTATAATCTACAATTAAAGTGAAATAGAGCGAATACCCCATTACGAAAAGCATAACTTCTCACCTAAAAGAATATATAGGTAGCAATAGGATTCCTTATCGCTGTATAAATACAATCTTGATATCTGTAAAGATACGTCTATGGTCAGTTTCTTGTAGTTGTGTTTGGGGTGGGGGGGTGAGATAACAACAAAATCTTTGGATAGAAATTGGATAATAAATATTTCATGCAGAAAATCAGAGTGAAAACCTGTCCTATGTTTTTGCAGAACATTTAACCTGTGATATAACAGCTATGGAATTGTATCAGCTGTGATTATATTGGGAATCCAAGTATTAACTGCATTGGGTATATGTGCCCTTTTAATGTCGATCTGAGGAATGTATACACCTAAAGGTGGCTTACCCACGACTAATAGGCAAAATTAATAATATATATAATTCACAATGCTCTGGACTGTAATTCCTATTATTATTATTGAACATCTTATATTCATTTTAAAATTAGCATGTTTAAAGTGCGTCTCCTTTAATTGAACACATCGATCCGGCATGTCAGGAATACACGGTGTCTGTCTGTGAATGTACTTACTCCACGCAATACGCTGAACGCACGTCTATAAGAATGACGCAGCTCATGTCTGTGGTTTCAGATATTTCATAGGGTGAACTACGAAGCTGTCCCCTAAATTAACCCTTTTTAATTTTTTTTTTTTTTTTGTGTGTATGTCTCTTTTACTGTTTTGGGTTTATTTATTTTAATCTATAACTTATCAAGTTTAAAACATTTTTTTTTAATGATTCCCCCACTGTGGACACTGAGGCCCAATAAGCAGGGCCTGAGACTGATCCTTCGGTACATCATCCTATCCTCTCCAGCTGACCTGACTGGGCCAAGAACATACAGCAGTTTCTATTCCGTTATACCAGGCTTCCCCAAACGCCGGCCCTCCAGATGTTGCTGAACTACAACTCCCATGATTTTATGAATGAAAGGCTGATGGGAGTTGTAGCTCAGCAACATCCGGAGGGCCGGAGTTTGGGGAAGCCTGCGTTATACAATGTAACACTATCTGTACTGCCCTTCTCGTGAAATGTCACTTTCTTAATACCCAGCCTTGCTCAATTCACATCATACGGAGCGAATGTAAAACTGAAAGGATTCTAGACGGTTTGTACCACAGTGTTTTATTTATCAGCAGTGTTTCTTATCTGCAGGATTTAACCAACACGTGATATTATATCTTATAAAACAGTTGTGCAGCGAGGATTAGATGCAGATTACAGGTGATTTATAATCTGGGAGGGGGAGGAGGCGCACGGACACATGGGAATATGTACAAGGATTAAAATTTGGGTGGGAATGGGGAGCAGAGAATTTATACAGCAATGGGCAAGCAGTGGATAGGGGATATAAAGTATAGATTGTTTAAAACCTCATTGCCCAGCTACTTGTTTATTCACTAACTCTTAATAAAACGCACATTTTAAACTAATCCCAGGTTGAATCATTGTTGACACTTCTAGTGACCCTCGTAGGAGGAGAGAGGGACAGTTGGGGAGACGATGTAGAGGAATACGATGGTAATAGAATTTCCCAGACAATTGCTGAAATTTTAACGAGCAAGTCACTAAAAGTAAAAAGATTGTAAGTATAGTAAACAATATGGTCGCATGATTCCAAAGGTTGCGCAGGTGCCCCTAGGGATGGAGTGCATTCAATCTGTCTGGACCAGAGCAAGGGATTTAAACAGTAAAGGGACACTATGGTCAGCAGAACCACTACTGGATTATGATCTCAGCCATGGAGGCTGGGCCAGTTGCAGCGAGACCGGTACACTGTGAGAGAAAGGGTGAGTAAATGGACCTTTTCTATGCGGGGCCGGAACCTACATAGTTAATGCAACACTATAGTGTCAGGAATACAAGTTTGTGTTATTGACACTTTAGGGTTCCTTTAAGCATCTTTTAGCTAGAGGGGCCCGCAGGCCTGCGTCACAGGAGTGTGTATGTTGGTGAGACAGCTGAGATGTGTGTAGTTGATCTGTCTGGACCAGAGCAGGGGACCCCCATGGACTTCAGAAGAAGAAGAAGAACACAGAGTTGGTTGCTTTTGACTTGCGCGGAGCCTTACACAGACTACATCTCCTTGCATTTATAGAACCAAGAAACAGGCGTGGGTAAGGACAGAACCGGGGATTCTCTAGATAATGCCATACTGGGCCAGCTCGTGCAGCTCCAAATGGTTGAAGGCTTCCCAGGGGCAGATAACGGTGATGTCTAAAGAGAGAAAAATCACAGATGTTACAATGATGTCATTTAATATTCTAATATTGCCGGTCTGACACCAAAATTCTAATCTCTGTAACCCAGTATATCATTCATAACCCAATGATGTGACTATAGGGCTCGATAACATTACAATAACCAATTATTAAAGTAATTGTCTCCTTTAAAAAACTCTGTAGAAGCAAACAATACTTTGACAGAACCTTTGAGTGATTGATTGATTTATAGAAAATGTATCATTGCTTTTTCCACATTTCCTATTCACACCTGATGATCATCGGGTGCGCACATCATAGTTCTCTCACCGGAGACTAAATACTTTGACTTTGTTCAATAAGACGATCAGTGGTGTTCTATGGGTGAGGGAGTGTTGGTTAGTGAAGTTCTTGCAAAGCTATGATAATATAATGACCCTTATGGGATCCTCTCTATTGTTTCCAAAATCCAGTGTGGATACAAAACGTCTGACCGAGGCACCATGCATGCCCTCACTGTGTGGAGGTGCAGCTTTGCATTAAATGACATTATAAAAAAAGTGCACACCATTTATCCATGGCGTGCGGGTTACAAATCCTTCTTTAATAAGTCTTTCTCTCTCGTGCCAGCATTATTTTAAGATTTCAGCGGCTCCTTGTGTAAGTAGGATGTTTAGTTGGAGTAAACCATAATCTCAACATGTATTGGAACGTATAAGAAGTAAATGTACTCTAATTTATTTGTAGGACATTTTAAACTGTGCTGTACAATTAACCACGGAGGCTGCACTAGTCTAACCCCATATAATAATTCTGCTGATGTTCTGACAAAGTATTATTCCAGGCACCATCACCACTTCAAATCACAGTGACTTCAATGATTTGAAGTGGTTATGGTGCCTGGAGTCTGTATGTGTAGCGTTTTGTGATGAAATACAGCACATTCTGCGTTTAACCTCTCTGCCGTAAGCCAGCCTGGAAATGGAGTTTCGGGCTGACTAATATCAAATCTGTGCAACGTTCTTTACACAGAATGTCAGTCCTTGGCTGAGAGTGGTAAGCTGACGCTCTCAGTCAATCAATGATGACTGTGGCTTCTGTAGAAGCTAGACGCATGTCACAACAGTGGCAGGGTGCTTCTGAAACCGGCGGGTCCCAAGTAAGGGGGCAAACCAGCATTAACTGGGACCTGGGCCCGGGGTACTCCTGCCATAAACCATTACCGTGGAATATGGTGGGTACGATCCTTTAATGGATCTCTAGAGTACAATACACTGATCCACCCCCATTTATCCTCCTCTGTATACAGTAAGTTATTGGTGACCTGACGAACAGAAGGCTGGAATTACCTGTTCCTAGACCCTCCATGCCGGGAATATCATCTCCAAACCTGAGGATGAAGAGAGACGTGTTAGATCCTGGTGAAATTTTTCACTAACGTTCCAACTGTCAGGAATTTCAAGATATTGCAACAAAGAAATTCCCCAGGCACTCAAAGTGTTAAAGCTGCAGGCAGTTTTAATGAAACAAAAAAGACCAGCAACGTTTCAACTTCCTAAGAGGTCTTTTTCAATCTAAAAGATGTATTTTTCAAGCTATTAGCTATTAGCTTGAATAAGACCTCTTACGTGGTCAAAACGTTGCTGGTCTTATTTTGTTTCTTTAAATCTGCCTGCGGCTTTAACACTTTGAGTTCCTGGGGAATTTCTTGGTTGCCTTGTCGTTGTGAGATTGCTGGGATTGAGTGTGGCTTCTACAATCATTTTCGAATTTCAAGATAGTCAAATTTTAGGATAAAATAACAGAGTTTGACCCATCTAGACATATCGAAAGAATGTATTCTGTAACCCTGACTACTCTATTGCCATTCCACCTTTCTGTATGTATGCACAGTGTTAATATAGACCGATAATCCACATCTAACCTGTGTGTGCTGTGTATGGGGTCACTTTGACTCCTTAAAACTCTATGAGCAGTGATTAATGGATGATGTCCTGGCACCATCTGGCACTGATTTGAGCTCTACCAATAAAGAAGCAGAGCCTCTCTGATATCTGTGCCACAAGGCCAAAGATTGTAGCTCTGTACTCCCTGCCAGAAGTAATGGGCAAAGTGTAAAATATATAAATGGGTAATCGGAGTACTGGTGGTTCCTTCTGGCTGGTCTGAGAACCATTGACATACAACAAGCATAGCTCATTTCTTACCCTTGTACACCTTTCTTTGGAGGTTTGCTTTTGAACTGCCTAGTTTGCCGTTGTTTGAATTTTGGGGGTCCTTTCCTGGGGGTGGCAGGGCCCCCTGTTACTCGGGTGGCTGATTTGATATCCGCTTTGGCGGGTTCGAGGTTCATGGTGTAGGTGACCTCTGTTTAATCCTCGGTGTCTGGCAGTCACTGGGTGCAGAGCCTGATGGAGCCACCCAACTGGGGAAGTTAAAAAGACACCTGTCAAAATAAAGGAGAGAACCGATTGTATGCAGGCATTCAAGTGAGTATTCTCTATGATGTTTTGTTCAATTCACATTTATCTTTTGTCTAAGGCAGAAATAGCACAGTAAGAATTACCAGGTATTCAAAGTAGATTTCAAATTTAAGGTCAAAGTATGCAAACTGGAAGCAGATCTGAGTCGGAAAATTGTTTCTAGGTCGGCTAGTTTAGCCTTTAAGGATCACTACAGGGTCAGAAACTCAAACATGTATTCCTGACCGTATAGTGTTGAAACCATCTAGCCCCCCTGGGCTCCTCATGCCTCCATAAATATAGCAAAATCTTACTGTATTCAAGCCTGAAGCTGTAACGCTGCATGCTGTTAGACTCAGAAAAACAAGCAGTCTGCGGACATCATCAGAAGTGGTAGCCTGATCCAATCACAATGCTTCCCCATAGGACTGGCTGAGACTGACAAAGAGGCAGGTCAGGGGCGAAGCCAGCAGAATTAAAACACAGCCCTGGCCAATCAGTATCTCCTCATAGAGATGAATTGAATCAATGAATCTCTATGAGGAAAGTTCAGTGTCTGCATGCATAGGGAGGAGATACGAAATGTTTGGATGCATTTTAGGTAGCCATGACCCAGGAAGGATCTCTAACAGCCATCTGAGGAGTGGCCAGTGAAGTTATCACTAGGCTGTAATGTAAACACTGCATTTTCTCTGAAAAGACAGTGTTTACAGCAAAAAGCCTGAAGGTAATGATTCTACTCACCAGAACAAATTCAATAAACTGTAGTTGTTCTGGTGATTATAGTGGCCCTTTAAATTTGAAATTCACTGTGAATTCCTATCAATTCTCGCTTTCCATGAATAACCCTGTCAAGTGTGCATTAACGGAAATTCAAGGTATTTCGAACTCAGTTTGAATTTAATTCACTGTTTCTGGAAATTTTCGATTTTGTAGAATAACAGACAGCCACAAAAATTATAAAGAGAAACGTTCACGAACTTGTAATCTGCAATTTAGACGAATCCCATTACTATTATCGGATACATTACAATGTCGTGTCCTCTGCACAGTGACTAGCTGGTAAGTGAATAATCCCCCGTAATGATACAATATTGCAAATATAACAAATTAATATCAGATGTTACATTTGTATATCTTCAAACATTAAAAATGGAATATAAACAACGTGATGACACGATTTCTATCACTCTGCTTCGCTCCATGTTTTATTTCCATGTAAATAGTTTTTCTGAGAGGTGCTAATTCCTGCTGACCTGGGCATTAACTGGGCTCAGACCTGATCCGCTTAGTCCAAGGACGCGAGAGGCAACGGGTAGCATGTGACTGGCCTGAGAGTGAAACCACTGGAAACGACCCAATTTCTCTCCTTAACAAGAGAAAGTACCTCGCTCCAAAAACCAATCTGTGTATACTAGGGGGAGATTGTAATACAAGTCAATGTTTGCCTAACCATCCTGATTAATCATAATTACCTTCTACATCTGCATGGGGTAGTTCTGTTAATGTGCTGCTGTAAATAAAATACTGTTTGGAATAAATTATATATTCCAATTCTAGAACTAGATATGAATAGGTCATGCAGTTACCAAAATTATTATTAGTTATTGCTAAATCACCACTACCCTCAACACTCCCAGCCATTTCTTCAAATCAGGAGTGTGTCCCCTGCGAATGGTTAAAATAGCCAAGAAGTCGTTTTTCTCTTTACAATGAGCAGGGTATAAATTTAAAGAGACACTGGGGTTTTATTTTAACTAGTAATTCTGTAACCCTACAAAGGGAGCTGTCCCTTCACGCGGCTTTTAATATTATATTGACTTATGACCTATCTTAATATTTAGCAAATAGCTATTGTTGAGGAGTGAACAGTAAAATTAAATGTAGAAATTCACACCTTTTTATCCTGTAACTGGGCGCCTCCATCAATCATTGTTATAAGCTCCGCCCTTTACACATGGCAGTCAGTATAGAGAGAGCCACCTCCATCTTAGCTCCCTGTCAATCATTGTTATAAGCTCCGCCCTTTACACCTGGCAGTCAGTATAGAGAGAGCCACCTCCATCTTAGCTCCCTGTCAATCATTGTTATAAGCTCCGCCCTTTACACCTGGCAGTCAGTATAGAGAGAGCCGCCTCCATCTTAGCTCTGTCATCATTGTTATAAGCTTCCAGTCTAGAGAGAGTCAAGTCATTGTTATAAGCTCCGCCCTTTACACCTGGCAGTCAGTATAGAGAGAGCCGCCTCCATCTTAGCTCCCTGTCAATCATTGTTATAAGCTCCGCCCTTTACACCTGGCAGTCAGTATAGAGAGAGCCACCTCCATCTTAGCTCCCTGTCAGTCATTGTTATAAGCTCCGCCCTTTACACCTGGCAGTCAGCATAGAGAGAGCCACCTCCACTGAATCAATGCATCTCTATAAGGAAAATTTAGCGTCCCCCTCGCCATGCGTGGAGATGCTGATCGGCAGGGCTGCTTGCTGTACAGCACTGACCCAGGAAGCACCTCCAGTGGCCATCTAAGGAGTGGACACTTGGAGATGTCCCTAGAGGCAATATAAACACTACCTTTTCTCTGAAAAGGCAATGATTGTACTCACCAGAACAACTACATTAAGCTGTTGTTGTTCTGGTGACTATAGTATCCCTTTAAAGGACCACTATAGGCACCCAGACCACTTCAGCTCAATGAAGTGGTCTGGGTGCCAGGTCCCTCTAGGGTTAACCCTGCCTGCTGTAAACATAGCAGTTTCATAGAAACTGCTATGTTTACATATGGGTTAATCCAGCCTCTAGTGGCTGTCTCATTGACAGCCGCTAGAGGCGCTTCTCACTGTGATTTTCACAGTGAGAAGACGCCAGCGTCCATAGGAATGCATTGAGAATGATTTCCTATGGACTGACTGAATGCGCGCTCGGCTCTTGCCGCGCATGCGCATTCAGCCGATGACGTCCAAAGGAGGAGAGTCCCCAGCGCCGATGGAGCCTGGCGCTGGAGAAAGGTAAGTGTTTAATCCCTTCCTCCCCCTTCAGCCCGGCTGGAGGGGGGCAATGAGGGTGGGGGCACCCTCAGGGCACTATAGTGCCAGGAAAACAAGTTTGTTTTCCTGGCACTATAGAGATCCTTTAATGTTAGGGGGGATTGATCATGAACGGGGCTGAGAAATTTTAGATTACTTACTAATAACAATTTATACCACTGAAATGTAATTTAGATAAGAGAAACGGACATAGCTCATATAGGACGTACTTATAAAATACGTATAGCGTGAGATCATATAAAGTACTTAAGTCTGATTGACGGCGGACCCTACTCAATTGTTTCTATAAAATTATGTGCCCATGATCCGAACGTTGATAGAAGACATGGAGGGGTGGGTGGATAAGCCGATCTCTTGGATCAGCAGGATACACTCAGTGAAAATGAATATTCTCCCTAGGATTCTGTTCCTATTTCAAGCACTCCCGGTCAGGCTGACTAAGTCTGACTTGGGAGTACTTCAAAAAGCTATAGGAAAATTCATTTGGCAGAATAGGAAGCATAGAGTCTCACGCAATGTTCTTTATAGGGTGAAAGCGAGGGGCTGATTGGGTTTACCTAACCTCTACTTTTACTATCTAGCAGAGATATCTACCCACTTATCTTCGTTAACCCCTTACCTGAGGAATAAAGCGTTTCCCCCGGGGATGGAATCTAGAGACTTTAACCCTGCCTGCACAGGGGTACAGCGTTTATATCAGCTATATGAAGGCGGCTCGCTTATATCATTCAAGGAATTAAAAACCAGGGCCCCTTTACGGCCTTCTGACTTTTTTCGATACCTCCAACTTTGGGATTATGCCCAAAACCCGGCGGCAAAAACGTCCATGCTGACCCCACTCACGTTTTTCGAAAGGATGTGCATGAAAGAATAATTCCCAAAAGGCCTGATCACTATTCTGTATGGACACCTCAGCACAAACACGTTAGAATGGGGGGGAGCTCACTTATATAGCTCAATGGGCCCTGAACGAGAAATTAGAGGGCGTTGAATGGCAGGAGATCTGGGAGGCTGCTGCAACCTCATCTATATGCGTCTCCATGCTGGTTTGATAGCTTATTGCCAGAGCTCCATGCGTAGAGCTCTGTAGGATGATCAAGGGTAGTGGCATTAAATGCTGCGTTCACTAAAGTTAATATTCAAAAAGGATTTAACCACTTTAGCTATTTTAACATATTTAACACTTTACATTCTTGCTTTAGTGAACAACCCTGTAAGTATTTCTTGTGAACAATCCAGAACTTAGTATAATAAAAGGAAAATGGCCATTCATTTTTATTAGTGAAAATGAAAGACTGTGTAATATTACCTCGTAATTTACTATTCCCCACTTGCTAGATCTTGTTTGCCATAAATTAATTTCTGTGCATATTCAACATAGTGCACTAAAATGGACGTGTGCACTGAGACTGCCATGCAAGCCTACACAACGAGCCAGGGGAGACACATAACTATAGGACATATTTCTACAGCTTCCTACAGATTTGTGATATGCATAGACACCGGACCAGAAATATTAATTATGTCCGCATCTTCTCACATCATCATCTTTCCCATAACTTCACATCACTTCCTACCAACTTACCTCATTCAGGTCCAAATCCCATTCTCTCAGATCACTTAGGTCTAAATCCAATCCTCTCAGATCACTGAGGTCCAAATCTCATTCACTCACATCACTAAGGTCCAAATCCCATCCTCTCAGATCACCAAGGTCCATATCCCATCCTCTCAGATCACCAATGTCCAAATCCCATTCACTCAGATCACCAAGGTCCAAATCCCATTCACTCAGATCACAGAGGTCCACATCCCATCCTGTTAGATCATCGAGGTCCAAAACATGACGTCACCTCTCATTACACTTTCTTTCATTCATTCTTTCATTCTCTCTTCCCAGGTCCCATTCTAACAGTTTCCGGTATTGCTGCCCATTCCTGCCTTCTTTTCTCACCAATCATCCCTCCACTTTGTAGTAGCACTACTTCATCCACTCCCTTAAGTAATTTCTTCACCATACCATAACGATACCCCATTCCTGCACCGTTTCCAAATGAAAAATGTATCTCATTCTACCTCCTTAAAAATCTCCATCACATTCCTTTACCTTTAAGGACTCTGTCCCTAAGCTCCCAATCTCCCTGGTTCTTTATCTAAACTCCCACTTTTCCAGACTCTATCCATTACCCCACCGCCATAGACTCTATTCCTAAACTCCTGCGTATCCGGAATCCATCTCTAAACTCCCACTTCTCTGGATAAAATCCAATATCTCCCACTCACCTCGGAGGCCAGTCCTGGGCTAACCTGCACCCATCTAGCTCATCCCCGGTGTTCTTGGCCTACACGTCATTTTTTGCTTTAGCTGTAACTGCAGAGGAGGTTGGAAAATCTCTCCATACTAGTTATACAGAAAACCAGGGGACAACACCACGTAGCACCATGACCACTACACTGAACTGTAATAATACACTGACTAGGCTCATAGGCTGTATCCTGCATAGGTTTTGTGGCTTGCTATTAATTAGTCCTATACGCTAAATACTCTGTTCTCTCTGTCACTTTAAATAAATGGCTCTTGTGCATGTTATTTTTATTAGCCAGGGCTTTTTATCTGGCATTTGCAAATCTCCATGTGCTCCATGTTGGGTTTTAATAATACTTAGTGACTCATCGATTAAACAGTGTATTACAAAGAACTGCAAATGGATCTGTGAAACGTAGGCAGATGAAAAGTTTAATAAATAAATATAAAACCAAAAACGCGCATGGTATCACAATCTGAGCAGTTAACCCTCTCCATCATTAAAGGGTCACTCCAGACCCCTAAAACACTTTAGCTTGCTGAAATGCTTTATGTGTGAAGAAAAAAATATATGCAGAATTCAATAGAAATTGACTCACTAATAAAGTAACATTGTCACGCCCCCTTGGCTGTCAATCAGACAACAGGTCCTGCTACTTCCTGGTTGATTAGCTCAGTGGAGTTAACTTTAAGGGTCAGTTTTGGCACCCAGACCACGTCTTCTCGTTGAAGTGATCTGGGTGCTGTATCCCTCTTCCCTTAGCAAATGCCAATACCTGTTGATACTGCATGTTTATTTCCCAGCAGTATCAACTAATCGAGCCTTCCTTCCAAGGTCAGTAAGGAGAGAGATGTTTAGTACATTGCTGTGACGTGTTATGTAGATTTCTCTTAGAACATTATCGCTTTATGTCTCCCTTGCATTGTGTCTGTTCTAAGCCTCAGATGGATATCACTCTGATGTGCTTGTGGCTGGATGGCTTCTGATGGGATTAAAGAAAAGGTTTTGCTGAAGCAGCAAGGTACTGTCATCTAAAGAGGCTTATTGGTGACACCAATCCCTAAATGCATTGTTTTGGGAATATCTAGATCTTTCTGTCCTGTAGGAGAACATGTGCGCAAGACGTCCCGTGTACACGAGTAAATTATGTCACTATAGGGTCACCACGGCTTGGCCGTCACATGATATGTTTCTCCTTTAGCAATCATTGAAAGTTTTATTCACTCAGCCAAAATGGCAGAGAATTGACGAGGAAATTAACCAAAATTAGAACAAAATGCAGAAACAGAAAAATAACTGCGACAGATTTTTAATTCTTTTTTTCCAGCTCAGGTTTTTTGTCCCAATATTTGAATTCCCCAGTTCCATAACAGAATCTATTACACAGTATTTTACCTGGCGAATAAACCGGTTTGACTTTTGTTAAACAACTTTGTAAGTTGAGGCCAAACCGATTCTGCCCCAACCCTTGCAATCAGCACACAATTAATCACAATATGAATCTATGTACACAATTGTAAACCCCCCATTTCTCTGCGAGAAGAGATCACGAGTTGCTAGTATTGATTGTGTTGGTATGTAGATAATCTATGCCAGTGTTTGGGCCTAGGACATCCAATTAATCTATGCCAGTCTTTGGGCCAGTATCGGGGTTGGCAACCTTCTGCACTCCAGATGTTATGAACTACAATTCCCATTATACTGGCAAAGCATCAGGGGAGATGTAGTCTACAAAATCTGGAGTGTATACCCCTGGTATATCTTGGGATCCATACATTGATTTTTCTTCTCCTTGGTATCACTTACCTTATCCAGGGATTTTACATGTCCAGCCACAATAATGTCTGCCGAGCTGCTGTCGTCCTCTTCATGCACGCTCTCCTCTGGGACAATAATGACACTCTCGAACTGTGAGGCTGAGGATTTATTGGACTCAGGCTTAATAGGATTAGCATCATCTATCTGAAACGGTAATCTGATAGCCCATCTGGGGACAGAGATACTGCGCAGCCGGTGTAGCAGGAGATCCTTGACTCCATAATGCAACAAAGCATTTTGTGAACGGTTAGTGCTTGGAAATAAAAAGCATGGAGGAAAGCAAACAATAACTTGCTTGTCATATTAGGTGCTTATTCACTTGATGCTGAATTAAAAAGTGAAACATATTTGTCAGAATAGCTTACTGGCTGTCTTAGCCCAAATTTGACCACCGGGTTTTAATTTCCATACAAGTCGCTTTTTAGATTGAAACGGAACAATTCCAGCAATGAAGAATCATCAGGCAACTCCGTAGAAGATGCAATTAAAAGGTTGTATTTTATTGGGCCAGAGATTCTGGATAGTCACGAATCAATAGAATGTTTTGGCCGTAGCTATAATGATGTATAACATTGCAGAGAGAGAATCCATTGATTTATACACACTTACATAACTAATTAACTTACGAATAAGGTCACCTGTCTGCAACATCACAAGTACCCATCCCTCAAAAAATTAAATAGAAAACAGATACAAAAACAAAGTACAATACAATCCTTAACCCCTTAATGACCAGACCACTTTTTAATTTTCTTACCGTTTGGGACCAGCGCTGTTTTTACATTTCTGAGGTATTTGTGTTAAGCTGTAATTTTCCTCTTACTCATTTACTGTACCCACACACATATTACATACCGTCTTATCTCGCCATTAAATGGTCTTTCTAAAGATACCATTATTTCATATTATATAATTTACTTTAAAATTTTTTATAAAATATGATGAAAAAAAATAAAAATATTTTTTTTCGAACTTTGACTTCCAAAATCTGTTACGCATCTACAACCGCCAAAAAACACCCGTGCTAAATTGTTTCTAAATTTTGTCCTGAGTTTAGAAATACCCAATGTTAGCATGTTCTTAGCTTTTTTTGCAAAAATAGGGCAATAAGTACAAGTAGCACTTTGCTATTTCCAAACCATTTGATTTCAAAATTAACGAGTTACATTGTAACATTAATATCTGTCGAGAATCCCTGAATAACCCTTCACATGTATATATTTTTTTAAAAGAAGAGAACCTAAGGTATTAAACTTGGGGTATTTTGACTCTTTTCATGCAACCATTTTACCATCAATCTATGCCAAATGAAAAAAAAAAATAATTTGTGATTTTTTTTGGCACACATAGCAATTTAAAAATACATGTACGGAGAACTTTAAGGGTTACTGCCAAAGAAGCAACATCTACAGTGATACCCCCCATGTATAGGTGTGTCAGGTTCTCTGGGGGCTAAAAGACCTTATTTAGAGGGTGCGCATTGCAGTTTTCCAACTTTGGGACATTTTTGAAGCCGGCCAATGTAATTTACCCATATTTTTGAAAAGTAGACACCCTAGGGTATTTCAAATGGTGGTATTATTACACTTTCAATGCACTAATACTACCACCAGTCTCTGTCAAACTTTTGGGTGTATGTGTTCAGCAATATCTCCCGAGTACAACAGTGCTCCAATGTACAGGTTTTATGGGTTTTTGCAAACTTACAGGGGTCAAATGTAGGGCTTTCCCCTTTTCCATGTTTGCACATTGAAATTTGCCAGATTGGTTTGCTGGGCCTATGTTGTGTTTGAGACCGTTTGGCAGCCCAGGGATAAAAATTAACCCCATCATGGCATACCATTTCTAAAAGTAGACAACCCACGGTATTCAAAATGGGGTATGTCCAGTCTTTTTAGTAGCCACTTAGCCACAAACGCTGGCCAAAGTTAGCATTTCTATTTGTGTTTTGCATTTTATTTACACAAAAACTGCACTTTTACTGGCGATTTCATCGTTGTGATAAGTTTTACTGTTTTAAACACTCATATTTGTGTTCAGCGAAGTCTCCCGAGTATAATAATACCCACCTTGTACAGGTTTTATGGTGTACATCTTTTAGAGCCGTCACACGGCCCCTTGGGGTCCTAAATTGGGAGTCAGCCCAGACAGTCCCCCTCAGAAGAAGACCAATCGCTGGTGGGGGAACGGTGGTGATCGGTAAGTACATGGGGAGGGAGGGGGTTAATTTTTTTTTTAATATATTTAAACATTTACTGAGTGCCTTGACCCCTCGAAGCACTCAGTACAGGCAGAGCACCGGAAGCCTGCCTGATGGCTTCCGATGCTCTGCTCTACAAAGCAGGGCGCCACGTGCGGCAACCCGGAAGTGATTGCTCCAGGGGTAGCGATCACTCGGGTGCCCGGCAGTGAGAGGGGGTATTCCACGATGTCTCGATATTGAGGTATTGTGTAATACCTTTAGAGCGGCTGGAAGCGATCACATTCTTAGTATCATGCGCATATGAAATATACCCTGATTAACAATGAGTCACAATGAGCCCCATGTATGTGACTGTCATTCCTCTATGTAGTCTTAGTGCATATAGCATTAGTGATCTGCATTATTAAAATGTCATAAAAACTGACCATCTATATATTAAACTTATTTTGGGATATGAATTGCCTCTTAATTGCTGTATTTTCTCTCTACCACTAGGTGGCAGTCCTTTAGAATCCTTGATTGCATTTCTAGAATGTATTATTTTATTATAAAACAGAGACATATTTTCAGTTTAGACAACAGGTAAACCAAACAACTGATGACAAATTAAGGATTGCAGGAGCACAATGTTTCCATAGTCAATAGCTTACAGTCTATAAATAACAGTGATGTTACAGAAACACTAAAATGAAAGCTATCTATAAGTGAGGATAGTCTACAAGGTGTATCGCCCGTATACAGTATGTCAATAACCATCTATATATATATACTCACACAGTCACGGCTGAGGAAGAGGGTGTAATAAGAATGGTCCAGCAGTGGAAAGGTAAACTACATCAGCTTCCTAAACGGCTCAGAACAGCCTGACAGTAACATTTTAATACACGTGTGTGTGAATATATAAATATATATGCAATAAGGAACACGTACAAGGGGTACAAGGGGAATAGAGCATCATTTTACTTAAAGGAGAACTCCAACTACTATAACCAGAAACGCCCTGATAGCCCCCACTCCCTGATGGACGCTGTCGCTAATTAACTTCTGTTAGCTCTCCTGAGATAAGACTTGCAGTGCAGGGTTTGCACACTGAGGTAAACACCACTGGGCAACAGAGCTTCTGATTCCCCCTGAGCTGTATTGGAGATGGGGAGCGGTGCCTGGCAGACCCCCAGTAAGTTTAAACGTTGTGCTGTGCCAGGAGTGTCCCCATAGGCGTGCGCAGCCTATTGCATTAGGGTGTGCACCCTAAAGCACAAACACACGCCGCGCGTGTGTGTGTGTGTGTGTATATATATATATATATATATATATATATATATATATATATATATATACACACACACTCACACACACACTCACAGACACACACACACTCACAGACACACTCACAGACACACACACACTCACACACACACACACACACACTCACAGACACACACACACACACACACACACTCACAGACACACACCGCACACACACTCCACAGACACACACACATACACACACTCACAGACACACACACACAGAGACACACACACACCACACACTCACAGACACACACACACACTCACACTGACACATACTCACACACTCACAGACACACACACACTCACAGACACACACACACTCAGACACACATACTCACACACTCACAGACACACACACTCACACACTGACAGACACACTCACACACTGACAGACACACTCACACACTCACAGACACACACTGACACATACTCACACACTCACAGACACACACACACTCACACTGACACATACTCACACACTCACAGACACACACACACACTCACACTGACACATACTCACACACTCACAGACACACACACACACTCACACTGACACATACTCACACACTCACAGAAACACACACTGACACACACACACACACACACAAATTATTATATTTCAATTTAAAAAAAAAAATGTCCACCCAGCCTCCTACCTGGAGTGCTGGTGGACTTTTCCCTGGGGTCCAGTGGGGGCGGGCGCCTTTCTGCAGCTCAGCGCGCGGCGAGGGAGCTGTGTGCTCTCTGCTCCCTCTTGCCGCGCGGGCTGTCTGCTGCAGCTGGGAGCCGGAATATGACGTCATATTCCGGCTCCCGGCATCAGCGCGCGGTGAGAGGGAGCAGAGAGCCGACAGCAGAGAGCTCCCTCGCCGCCCGCTGAGCTGCAGGGGGGGGTAATCCATCACCTCTTGCCCCCCATGACAGGGGCAAGAGGTGAGACAGGGGGGCGCTGAGTGCCTGCAGGACTCAAACCATAGGCGTGCCACGGGGATTAGGGTGTGCCCAGGCACACCCGGCACACCCCGTGCGCACGCCTATGAGTGTCCCTTTCATTTTGTGAATGTTAATATGTGTTTGTGCGGGAGCATTGCTGTCTTCTAGAAAAATGTATTTATACAGTCATTGTTCACCGTCTACCTGTGACCACCAGTGGCGTACATAACGGGGGGCTCACCAGGCTGGCCCTGCTGTCACCGGGCGGGCGGGCGCGTGAGGGAGCACTCTCCCCTGAGTGCTCCCTCGCGCACCGCACTGATACCGGAGCCGGAAGATGAGGGAGCTGAACGGGAAGTACTCAGCCAGGGAGAGTGCTCCCTCGCGTGCCCGCGCGCCCGGTGGACCCCAGGGAATCCCCTCAGCACTCCCAAAGGTAGGGAGGCTGGGGGATTAAATTTAAAAAAAAAAAACGTGTGTGTGTGTGTGTTAGAGTGTGTGTATGTTAGAGTGTGTCAGTGAGTGTATTACTGTGTGTGTCTGTTACTGAGTGTTAGTTTGTGTGTTTTGTAAGTGAGTGAGTCTGTCTGTCAGTGAGTGTGTATGTATGTCTGTCAGTGAGTGTGTGTCTGTCAGTAAATGTGTGTGTCTGTTAGCTAGTGTGTATGCGTCTGTTCATGAGAGTGTGTGTGTGTGTCTTAAGCACTTTGCTTTCTCCAGCGCCGGATTCCCTTGGCACTGGGGATCTCTCCGCCCTGATCCGCCTCTCAGCTCCGAATGTGCATGCATGGCAAGAGCCGCGCGCGCGCATTCAAACCGCCCATAGGAAAGCATTACTCAATGCTTTCCTAATGACGTTCAGCGTCTTCTCACTGTGATTTTCACAGTGAGAATCGCAGAAGCTTCTCTAACAGCTGTCAATGAGACAGCCACTAGAGGCTGGATTAACCCTCAGTGAAACTATGTTTTCAGCTACAGTGTTAAAACTAGAGGGACCTGGCACCCAGACCATTTCATTGAGCTGATGTGATCTGGGTGTCTGTAGTGGTCCTTTAAGTGTATGTGTATCTGCATGCACTGGCATACATACCGTGGTCGCAGGGGTCGCAGCCATGCGACCAGGTGCCCGCCGCCATGTGTTGCAGCCCCATTGTTTGTAGGAAAGACGAGACAGGGGGGATATGATAGAAACATTTAAATATATAAAGGGAATCAACACAGTAAAGGAGGAGACTATATTTAAAAGAAGAAAAACTACCACAACAAGAGGACATAGTCTTAAATTAGAGGGACAAAGGTTTAAAAATAATATCAGGAAGTATTACTTTACTGAGAGGGTAGTGGATGCATGGAATAGCCTTCCAGCTGAAGTAGTAGAGGTTAACACAGTAAAGGAGTTTAAGCATGCGTGGGATAGGCATAAGGCTATCCTAACTATAAGATAAGGCTAGGGACTAATGAAAGTATTTAGAACATTGGGCAGACTAGATGGGCCGAATGGTTCTTATCTGCCGTCACATTCTATGTTTCTATGTTTCAATCTCTCTGGGATAGAAGAGAGCAGACTGGAAACAAACAACTCTGATAGAAAATGTAAAGGTCTATTATAAAACACACAACCACAGCCAGGACTGCCTGCACGCGAGGTGAAGAGGAAGATCTCATTATTTTGAGTCAACATGCAGCAAGTTACATTAACAAACAGTAAGTCGTAACACAGTAGGATCGGACCCCAAAATGGGTCTGCAGCCAGAGGAAAAAAAGGAATTCACTCAAAAACTTAATATAGATTATTAATAAATAAAATCAATACATTGTGCAAAATGTAACAGTGTTTGCAGAGAGGGATTCTAGGAGCCGGCACTTGATATTATAATAATAATAATAATATAACAATAAAAGTCGCTCCCTGAAGTCCAGAAAATTAATATTAATAAGAGTTGCTCCGCCAGGTACAAGAAATGTTATATTTTACCATATATTATAGAGGCTAATGTGATTTCAATGCCCGTCCCTTTTAATTCGAAACTTGATTTCCATTTTTATGAACATTTTAAGATTCTCATCCTGAATTTTCTCCTCAAGGGCACGAAGGACCCGCTCTCCTCCATCTTTGTATAGTTCCAGGAGCTCCTCTGCGTAGGCAATCCATACACAGTTATGGCACCCACTCATACAGCAATGCGTGGGTGGGGGTGGCACGGTGGGTTCCTGGGATCCTGAGTCACTCTCATGGGTAGAAGAATAATCTGTCTTGTCTCCATTGATTTCTGTTTTAGAGTCTCCCAATGATTTGCTCAGAGAAATTCTCCGTCCTATAATGTAGAAGAGAGACTGCGGACAGATAGTAGAACGAAGTCCCTTACCAACGGAACAGAGCAGCTACAACAGAAAACCAGAGGTGTGAATGTAGAGGGCGCATGTCTTGTCATTTACTCTTGCACTTGCAAGAGATCTAATAAATCATTGTAAAACTTGTTATTAGATTAGCAGTGAAAGATGTTACATGCTCAAAAAATTATATTTCAAAGCTTTAAATACAGTGATAGCATTCCAATGTCTAACGTTAGCACTTCAGCTAGACATAGAAACTCTAACATTTAGTTTTATCACAATTAAACAAAAACTCCAAGCACCATAACTAAAATAGTGAGCTGTAGTGGTTATGTTTCCAGGGTGTGCCTTGGCACACCGCATTGTTAGAAATCAAACCATTTAAGACTTTTGGTCCCGAGGGAGCGGATGCTTCTGCTTAGAAACGTCCGTCAGCTCTCCTAAGCTAAGCCTTACAATGCAGAGTTAGCGCCCTAACTGAGAGCGTGAGATGATTGCTCTCAGCCAATGAGCTAAGCCCTGCACTGCCTGAAAAAAAGGCCCCCTGGCGGATCCCTGGCAAGAAGTCAAACTGCCCTAAAATGGTCTGCCTACTTACAATGATTAGGCGTCAAGGCGCTTCTGGCACCAGAGACACTACGGCACGCTGTAGTGGTTATGGTTGGCATGTTCTTTTAATACATTTTTACATTATTCTGATTTATTCAACAATATAAAACCAATAAGTTATGGTTTCACGAAATAAACGGCATAGTGTTTTGCGCTGCCTGCCTAAGGCTACACACGGGACACAAAATAGTAACAGAATAAGTTAAAATACTGGCGCACACAATCCGCAAAGAAAATAATTAGGAAAAGCAGTACATAGGCTTCAAGATGTGAAGTTATTAAGAAACAATTTGTTGTCATACGTGCAAAACAACATACAACATTTTGGCTCAATGGCCTCTTAATTCGGTATGTTATTTTTGTCCATATGATCCAATAAACGATGCCTTATTTGCTTTATCTCATGTGCCTGTGTCCGGCTTTTCGTAACTTTTGCCTAAGACTATGATGGCAACTCGCTGACACTCCAACATCCACCCAGCCTGGAGCAGGATTAGAGATCACTGCTAGCTGCACATGGAACCCAACCTGAGAAATGTGAGACAGATAGTGAGAGGGAAGTGGGGCTCTGTATAGGGACTGTCTCTCCTACATCAGGACACTTGGCAGGTATGACCAGGACCCGCCAGTTTATTTACTAAGCACTGTATCCACTTATCCAGTTACCATGGCAACGCTGACTCCTCCCAGGGTCAGAGAGTCTCCCTCAGTGCAGCTGAGCCCTCTGCTTGTCCTCCATGGCGGTAATGATGGCGGTGAGGGAGTCCATGGTTGGGTTTTGCCCACATCCAAGATGGCGACCCGGCAGACAGCCGCACTGACCAATAACAGGGCGCCGGTGGGCGTGGTCACAGCTTGCCTGGCGAATGAGCGGCGCCGCTGGGGGAAACGTCATATTGGGCGGCCGGAAGTAGGTTGTGACGTGCAGCACGTGGGTCCTTGGTGCTGAATCTGGACCATGGGGAAACACCGGGCCAACAGAACGGCGGAGAAACCGGAACGGCCGGGCCGGCCACAGAGGTCGCTACCGGGACCGGGCCAGCCGCACAGGTCGGTACCGGGGCCGGGCATTACAGTTAAAGTTCTGCCCTGTGACAGGCGTTATATAGAATGCAGCTCAGGGGGTCTCCAGACCTGAGTCCCCAAATCCTGTCAGTGAGTCCAGTAATACAGAATATTATTATTATTATTATTTTATTATATAGCGCCAACAAATTCCGTAGCGCTGTACAATGGGTGGACTAACAGACACATAATTGAGATCAGACCACTGACGTACAGGAACAGAGGGGGTTGAGGGCCCTGCTCGATGAGCTTACATGCTAGAGGGAGTGGGGTATATTAACACAAAGGGTTAAAGTAGGGGAATTAAATAGTTTGTTACAGAAGGGTTTATTGAGTGCTTGGTAGGTCATTTTTGACAGGTGAAGGAACGGAGTCATGGATATCCCCTCAACTTCACAGCCACACCCCTCAAGTTCACAGCCACACCCCTCAACTTCACAGCCACACCCCCCTACACCCCTCACCTTCACAGCCACACACCCCCTACACCCCTCACCTTCACAGCCACACACCCCCCTACACCCCTCAACTTCACAGCCACACCCCTAAAATTAAAGTGTCCCTCTCTGTCCACGTGACATGTTGGGGGGCATGGCAGTGACATCACACTGCTCACACTGGGGACAGACGTTATACTGTTACATTATACTAAAAGAATTGCTCACTTGCCAGTGTTTCAGCTGCCACGAGCCCACGTCAGTGCTGTGCTCTCCTTGTACACGAGAATACAGAATTGAGGTCTTTACTGAATCATTAGTCGGTTGGGGGAAAATGACAAGCGACTGAAAAATACGGAGGCAGAGTAGTCCCTACTTTGTCTCAGTATGTCTCTTGACTTTGTTGGAATTTCAAAGAAACATACCCTTTAACAAGCCAGTTTGATGAATGAAGATTCACTCATTGGCTGAGAGCGTTACCTGGTGTCCGATTCTGCAACGACCTTTTGATTTAGAGCTTTTTAAAAAAAAAACAGAAGGGCATGGGAGATTCCGTACTGAAGCAAGGACTTTGGGGCTAAGACACATAAACGGTTTAACCCCTTAAGGTGAGCCAGTGCCAGGGGACTCCTGGCATCATAACAACTTCATTTTGATGAAGTTGTTATAGTGCATGGGGTGTGCCTTTAAAAGTTTTATCCACATGTATTAAAACATTTAAAAAGCTTATCCAAAAATATTAAATTGAGGCCTTGATTCTCTAACATTCAGTGTTTAATGAACGAACCGGTGTAAATGTAAGTCTTCCCTTACCTCTAAAATCTGGATGAATCCTGGGAAACAAAAAAAATATACTGCTAGTGTCTAACAATTTGTAGTGTGTTTTTTAAATTAGCACCTCATCTTGGCATCAAAATTCAGAAATAAAATTAAACGTTGCTCCTTAAAATGTTTGTCTTGTATTCTATGTACAACAATTGCCCAATTCTTCACTTCTGTCTGATGATGACCTCTGGTGTGATTTGACACTAACTCTCTCTATATCACGGTTACATTTAGCAATATGAAGAAAAAGACAAATTCAGCACCCAGAGACCTTGATGTCCAGGAAATCCCTTTCAAGCTGCGTGAAATTATGAAGAGCAAATTGTTAATGGGCAAACCGAAACCAAAGAAAAAGAAAAGGAAAGGTAGGATTTTTCTGCATTGCTAATTTAGCAGACTACATAGAGGGGTGATTTCATTTCCCACAAACTACACAATGGAGTTTATTCACTAAATCAGTCATTGTTGAGCATCGACACGGGAAGTGCACATTTAAGATTATTAGCCACATTTGATCAGAATTGTAGCCCAATAACATTAATGCTCTGTTAATTGTCTGCTTGAGCCCGCAGCAGCCTCCCGTGTGTGGTTAAGGTTTAATTAACTAACCGAGAAGGGGATAGGTACATCTAAAGTAATCTGTAAAGTGCTGTAAAAATGAAACCTTTTGTGGAAGCTGTGTGAGTCAAAGCCAGGGAAAGTGTGGCTAGGGCGGCATAAATAAAGCGATTTAACTTCTGAATTTTAGAGAATTGAGCAATAAGACTGGAGGGACAATATCTATACAACAAAACTACTTAATTAAAGGACCACTCTAGGCACCCAGATTACTTCAGCTTAATGAAGTGGTCTGGGTGCCAGGTCCAGCTAGGGTTAACCCATTGTTTTATAAACATAGCAGTTTCAGAGAAACTGCTGTTTATCAATGGGTTAAGCCTTCCCCCAAAGCCTGTAGCGGCTGTCTCATTGACAGCCGCTAGAGGCGCTTGCGTGCTTCTCACTGTGATTTTCACAGTGAGAGCACGCCAGCGTCCATAGGAAAGCATTGAGAATGCTTTAGTATGCGACCGGCTGAATGCGCGCGCAGCTCTTGCTGCACATGCGCATTCAGCCGACGGGGCGGAGAGGAGGAGGAGAGCTCCCCGCCCAGCGCTGGAAAAAGGTACGTTTTACTCCTTTTCCCCTTTCCAGAGCCGGGTGGGGGCACCCTCAGGGCACTATAGTGCCAGGAAAACGAGTATGTTTTCCTGGCACTATAGTGGTCCTTTAAGCTTAAATTGTTTTGGTTCTTAGAATAATGCTTTAACTTATTAAATGGTGAGGTTTTTAACTTATTTATGAAACCTTTAACATAAGAATATATTAGAGGGATTTATACATTCAACATGTTATATACTGTGGTCCAAGTGTAGAGAATTAAAAGCTTCTTAATCATTTCTCTCCATTGAATGAGCCGAAACGTAATTCATTACAATCGGGCAGTCTGTAGGGTACTCTAAACACCACAAGCACTGCAGCCTGCTGTAAATGTTGTGCTAACAGAGAGTACCTTGGCACTATTGCATAGTAAATAGTCAAATTATTTTGGAATAGTTGGAGATTTACCTGAGCCCTCTGTGTGCTAGCGATTCTTCCTGTCTTCTTCCTATGAATAAAGTGTATGTTTTATTTCCTCTTTAATTATATCAACTTTTACATTACTCACCGGGTGAGACGACTAGATAAGTCAGCTCCTATAGCCACCTACCTGTTTAGTTTTTGTCAAATTGTTTTAATGTTTCTCTGACACCAAAAGTCTACTTCGTCTTCTGCCACCCAGATAATGAGGAATCTGACTTCCACAATTCTGTCCAAATTAAAATGGCAACGGTAAACCAGGGGTAGCTTAGCACAGGAGGAAGAAAACCCCTTTTAAATTTGTGACATTTACACTTTTTTTTTTAAATTCAAATTGTATTTAATTTTTACATCTGCTGCTGTTTTCACCAACACAAACAGTAACTTGTAACACTGTTGTGACTTTATGAATCATTAGTTACATTTAAAGTCCAATAACAGTTTATAAGAAATTGGTCAGAGGGTGATCCCGCAGGGTTTTATAAAGCGTTGTTCTTATTTTCTGTCTTTAGAAAGGCTCTTGCCGCTGAATGACGAGATCCAGACAAAAATCCCGATCCCCAAATTTAAGAGGAGGAAGAGGGAATGTGTGGGTGCATATCTGGATCGCATGGAGAGAGAGGTCCAACACGTGATATTCTTGAGCAAAAACCAGCCTGATGTGATACCTGAGCTCGAGGTGCCCAAAGAAGAAACCGTTCAGCAAGAGTCGCCAAGTGAACCACAAGAGAAATCACAGAAAAAAAAAGCGTATGTACATTCAGGAGTACCTTTTACATTGATCCAGAATATCCAAACATTACTGCAGCAAGCTATTTAAACTGGTTCTAGAGCGGAGTGACAATCTCACATTTAGGGAAAGGGGTTATGGAAAGAGAGATTCTACGTGCTAGTCGGCAGTGTGTGTTTTCTGGAGGCGTCCCCCCCCCCCCCTGTTCATCTCTCATCAACTGTTTATAAACTTTTACAAATATCGGTAAAAATCTTATTACTAAACAAAATATATATTTTTTTTTTTTTATTCTATTCTTTATCAGTAGCCTTTCTCTCCAGGTAATCTTGGTTGTATAATACAGTAACTATTACTAGTTTAAACCTTGTGGTCAAACTCGAGACGTGCGTATAAAATTCTTGAACCTTGGTGCAAAGGACAATAGTGTCCCTCTAGTTAAAAATAATACAAACTTATTTATATATGTGTATATATAGTTTATTTTAAATATATAGTATTATTATTATTATTATTATTACATTACTATACACACACCAGGGAAGCCATAAGACTTGCTTTTACTACAGAAATCTCACTCTAACAGTGCTCTCGCTACTGCAAGGGATTCTGGGTAGGCGTATGCAAATAAGCTCAAATATATATATATAATGTGTGTTGTCTCAATGCATGACATTTTGTAAAGATGCACTTTTTTTTTTTTTATTAGCAGTTTTTTGGTTAGTGCAGAGATACAGCGTATATAACATTGTCATTTACATCATATTATTACATTCTTTGACATTCTTTGACATACATAGTTCGTACAAGTCAATTATTTGTTATACATTTGTGTCAGCCAGGTACACTCCTTAGCCTATGTCCTAGAAATGCCATCACTATTTGAGTTCCGCTGCACTTCGCACATTTTGATTTTGCATAGGAGCTGTGGGTTGGGTGGGTAAAACCTGGATGGTGGGGGTCGGTCGAGGTAGAGAAGACTAAAGATTCAACCTTTATTCCCAGAGATTGTTGGAGTTCCCCTTTGTTCTTCCTAATTTGCAATGTTTGGGGTTGTTCTCCTAGTGTACGCGTCCCACAGTTCCCAAGCTTCTACCCAAAATTTTTGAGTAGGCCTTGTTTTCCTAACCATGGTTTCATATAGTCTAGAGGTTTCTATAATGTGGGTGCATTCCGTTAGAGTTGGTGTGTGTGATGCCAGCCAGTTTCTGCTGATCGTTTGTAGCGCTGCAATGAGTATGTGATAAATCAGATACCTTACAGTTTTCGTGATGTTGTTTGGGAATAGTTGGAATAGGTATTGTTCGGATTGGGGGGGCATCACTGTTCTCGAGGACTCTGTTATTAACTTCGAGATTTGAGTCCAGAATGGTGTTATTCTTGGACACGACAACCATATATGATATACAGTGCCCGGCTGCTCTTCGCATCTCCAGCATTGCCCTGTGTTATGAGGGTTGATGTGTTTCAGTTTGGTCGGAACCAGATGCCAGCGGTATAGTAACTTCCTAGACATTTCTATGTGTGTGGTGCATAGTGTTAGGTTCCTATTTGCCGTAAATATACGGGCCCAATTAGATTCGTCCAATTTCCTTTGGAGGTCTATTTCCCATTTCGAGATAAAGGAGGGCTGTGCAGTGTAAAGTCTTTGGATGATTATATTATACAATTGGGATATTAGTTTAGTAGGAGGCTTGTTTTGTATACATAATTGCTCAAGAGGCGGTAGTTGCCAGTCTTGTCTGAGTGGGGTGTTTGGTGGGTAGTGTGTGCGAAACCATGACCTTATCTGTAAGTACCTGAAATTCATGGTTTGTGGTATTTTATGTTTAATCTGCAGGTGTGCAAACGTTATCAGTTTGTTGTTATCTACTATTTGGTGTAAGGAAGTGATGCCATACTTGGCCCATTCCTTGGCGTTGAATTGTGGTATAAGTATTGTAAGGGCTTGGAGCTTCATAGCTGGGGACGGATGAGGGGAGGACCCTAGTTTGGTCCTAAGCGTGTCCCATATAGACAGGGACAATTTGGTGGTTGGTAGCATTCCCGTATATTTGGGTCTAATGCATCGTGGTATCCAGACCAGTGTAGTCAAGTTATTGCCTTTTGTGTATGCTGCCTCTATGGCAAGCCATTCCGGTGGTTGTTGGAGATGGGATGCTATGATGAGGGGACTAAGGATCGAAGCCGAGTAATACGTTTCAAGGTGTGGTATCCCTGTGCCCCCTTTCTTGAAGGGTTTGTATAATGCTGCTGCTGCCACCCTCGTTTTTTTTGTTGTTCCATATGAATGTGTTAATCATAGCTTGTGTTTCGCGTAGGAAAATCTTTGGGAGGTGTATATGTAGAGTACGGAACAAGTACTGGAGTTTAGGTAAAAGTATCATTTTTGTAGCCGCTATGCGGCCTAGCCAGGAGACATACTTGCCCCTCCACCCTGCAATTTGATTCTTTAATGTATTTACAAGTTTAACATAGTTAGCTGCCATCAAAGCATGTGATGTCGATGTAAAGGCTACTCCTAGGAATGTTAAATGGTCTTTGCGCCATTCATAGTCATAATTTGTTTTCAGGTCTTGTAAGGTTTGTGTCGGTATGTGCATACTCATCGCTTGTGTTTTTGTGATATTTAGTTTATAGTATGAGCATGCACTGTATCTGGTGAGGATGTTATGTAAGTGTGGGAGTGATGTGTTTGGAGATTCAATGGATAGCATGATGTCATCTGCAAACATTGTGAGTTTGTGTTCTGTTTTGCCTATTTTTATACCTTTAACTTCTGCATGACCTCGTATGTGTTGCGCTAGAGGTTCTAGAACTAGGATGTATAACAGAGGGGACAGTGGGCATCCCTGGCGCGATCCATTTGTGATCCTGAATTCTCTTGACGTGAAGCCACTATTGGCTACGCAGGCCGTTGGGATTGAATATAATGCCTTCAGTAGGGACAGGAAACCTGATGGGAAATTTTGTTTTCGTAGCACCGACTCCAGGAACCCCCAGTGCACCCTGTCAAACGCTTTTTCAGCATCTAGTGAAATGAATACACTGGGTTTTCCCGAGCCACGCGCTATTGACATCAGATTTAAGTTTCCGTGTCCCGTCCGAACCCTGCCTACCCTTTACAAATCCTACTTGGTCTGTATGAATCACCGAGGGGATAATGGCGGAGAGTCTATTTGCGTAGATTTTTGCTAGAAGTTTTGTGTCTGTATTCAATAGAGAGATGGGTCGTAGATTTTGTGGTTTGTTTGGCGGTTTTCCCGGTTTGGGTAGTGTGGCTATATGGGCTTTTAACATTTCGGGTGGTATGTGGCCCGTTTTTATGATTGTGTTGTACAATTCTGCTAGGTGAGGTGATAAAGTGGATTTAAAGCATTTGTAGTACCAATTCGTGAAGCCATCTGGGCCTGGCGATTTCCCTTTTGGTAAAGAGTCAATGGCTTTTTCTATTTCTATCCGTGTGATCGGCCTTTGGATCTCCACTTGTTGTGTTGAGCTAATCGTGGGGAGATGTGCTTGGTCCAAGAAATCTTGGATTTCCTGGCTTGTTGGTTGGTGTGTCTTGTCGTCTTTTCCTAGGTTATACAGCTTGGCATAAAAATCTGCCATGGTGTCATTGATGTGTTGAGGGTTTGTTAATTTAGTACCTGCGGAGTTAATCATGTGGTGTATTTTAGACTGAGTCTGATTTTGTCTTAGTAAGGAAGCTAATGCTTTCCCTGCTTTATTACCCTGAGAGTAGTGCGTCATTCTCAGTTTGCTTAGCGTATGTGAGGTCTTTTGAAACAGTAAGTCATTGATGGCTTTAGTGGTTTGATATATTTTGGTCTGTCCTTCCTGGGTTGGGGAGATAAGCTGAGCTTGTGTTTGATCTCGGAGTAATTTGAGTAACGAGGTATAGTCATGCTGTGCTGTTTTCTTCAAATATGCCGCTCGACTAATGAGGAGTCCCCTAATTACTGCTTTATGTGCTACCCATGTGTTCTGGGGTTGTGTTTGGGGTGTGCAGTTCGTTGTAAAGTATAGATTTATTTCCTTTTCTAGTGAGTCTTTAAAAGTGCGGTTATATAAGATAGTGTCATTCAATTTCCAGGGTGAGGCTCCCCGAAACTGGAATTTGTCTTGTAGTGTCAATGAGGTGGGTGCATGGTCTGACCATGTTATATCTCCGATTCTACATTCTGTGATTGCGGTGAGAAGATGTTACTAGAATGAAGTCAATACGTGAACTAGTCTTGTGGACTCTCGAGTGGTGTGTGTATTCGCGATTGTTTGGGTGCATTGTGCGCCATGAGTCATAGAGATGAAATTCCATAATCAGTTTTGTTAGGGCTTTGCAGTACGGCTTCAGGGCAGCATGTCTCCTGGTGTCTCTCAGTACTGTTGTGTCCAGGCTTGGATCCAGAACATGGTTTAGATCTCCACATAGAATTAAATATTGTAATTGTGGGCTCGGAATTTTAGTTAAAACTTTGTGTAAGAAGTTCCTCTGATTGGTGTTTGGACTATATACAGAGACTATTGTGTATTTGATGTCGTTTATGATACAATAAAGTATGATGTATCTGCCTTGGGTGTCCTTTTTGATTTGGAGTAGTTCATATGATAGCGATTTGTGTATTAGTATTGAGGCTCCCCTGGATTTAGTGGAGTATGTAGAGTGATATTGGATGGGATATTCCCTTAGTGCAAACCTGGGTATTTTAGTATGCGTGAAATGTGTTTCCTGAACACAAAGTATATCTATTCTTTCTTTCCTAGCTGTGTCCGTGAGAACACGACGTTTGTGCGGCGTGTTTAAGCCACACGCGTTAATGGTTTGTATCTTCAGGTTGTTATAGCAGTGTGGTTGCTAAAGGGGTATCAATTAGTCTATAGTGTGTAGTGAAGTGTACCTCGACCCGGGATATGGATAACTTGGAAGTAGTGATGGGGATAGGGGTAGAAACTGAGTATATACATGCTCCCCTTGGGGAGCTAGTGCAGTAATGATGCACCATGGGGGTTGGAAACATTCGTCTCCTGTGGTGTGGCGTGTGGGATAAGCTGCTTCCATATGGGTTTGAACAAAACTTTATTTTTTTTAAAATTTATTTATTAATTTTTTTTTTTTTTTGGATATGGTTAAACCCAGTATCAGATTTGGGGTTGGTGTTGTTGGCAGTTCTACACGAGGGCCTATTTTGGTGTTGTTCAGAGGTGGTTCGTAGTATTGCTGCAAAATAACGTAGACCTCTACGGTCTTTTTTGGCACTTTAAAGGGCTGGGTGATATTGTGGGGTTTCCCTTTCTCACCCGACATAATTTGAATTGTCTCTCGCATCTGTGTATACCCCGTGAGCTCCCTCTCCCCCCACCCCCCATGCCCCAGTAGACACCCCTGGGCTCAGTAAATACCATTGTGGATCTTGGGTAACAGTGTGCTATGGTGTCGGTGTTGCCGTGTCCGGTCTCTCCACTCTGCGGGTGTACCCGAGCCTGCGCTGGATGGGAGTTTCGCTTCCCTCGCGCAGGTTGTGCCCCGAGCCCAGGCAGCAAGGCGCCCCGCGCATCCCCCCCGCCCCCCCCCCCAATTGTGGGGGACGGCGGGGAGAAGGCGCGCGGGCCCCCGCCCCCACCACGCCAAGGAAGCAAACGAGGCTCATTGAGGCTTCTCCCATTTCAACTTCCCAGGCCTCAAGTGTCTATGGGCACCCCCCCCCTATCGTTGTGTGCCTTCCCATCGCCAGCGTGGCCTTGAGACCCATACTTGCCGCACCCCTGAGCCCGCACTCCATCAAATAGTGTCCCATACAATATCGCCAACACAAAATTCTAAAAAAATAAAGCAAAAGGGGTAGTATACATTAACAGAGCGGCCCAGCGGTGCAGCGGCACGCATTAAGAGTACTTCATTTGTCCTTAATGTCCTTTGGTTACCCCCACAACAGCATTGTTAGCCTTCCAGAAAGAGTGTAAGGGCCCACTGTGTCCGAACCCTGCGTGCATGGGTAGTGCTGGGGGGAGAGCCGGGGGATCATTAGTTCCATTCTGCCCCTTCAATGTCGCTGTGCCTGAATATAGTATGTTAGTGGTATGCAATACTTGCGGTTTCCCTCATGTGTCCGCCGTTGCTGTTCAGTGGATGCTTGGTGCTGCTTGCCATTCTAGCCGCAATCTATGCCGTGGTGGGGCTTGAGCGGGTTCCAGTTGGGGGTTAATACCCCATGCTTTCAGTTTGGCTGCTCCATCTTCTGGGGTGAAGATTGGTTTCAGCACTCCCTCCTTCACCACCAACAATTTCGTCGGATACCCCCATCTGTATCTTATTCCGTTTCGCGGAGCGTGGTAGTGATGGGCAGAAATTCTTTCAGTTTTCGAAGAGTTGCCGCCGATATATCTGGGAAGATCTGTATTTTGGCATAATCTTCTGGCGGTTGAGGCCTGGTCCTGCTGGCGCGTAGTATATGTTCTTTAACATGAAAATAGTGAGCACGTAGCAGGACGTCTCTGGGTGTGGAGTCGGGAAGATGGCGCGGGCGAGGCACTCGGTGTACCCTATCGAGCAGCAGCATGTCGGTCGGGATTTCTGGAGCATATGCGTGCAGCATGCCTCGCACATATCCTTGTAGGTCATCCGGGAGCACCGATTCGGGTACACCCCGCAGCCGTAGGTTATTCCGCCGCGACCTGTCCTCCATGTCTGCAAGCTTAGCTTCGGTAAGTAGCAGTTTTTCTTCCAGATTTTCAACATGGGACGCTTGGTCGTTATGTGCCGTCGCGACTTCGTCCATTTTGGATTCCATGTGTGAGGTTCTATTGCCTATGTCCTGAACATCTTTGCGTAGGGCCTCTACAGTACTCTGCCATGATCCATTTAGTTTTTGGGAGAGGTTTTCTAAAGCCTGAGCCAGGTAACTTTTTGTCAGGGCTTCTCCCGTTTCGGGCCTGCTTGGCGGCATGCTATCCTCTTCTGAGCAGTCGTCGCCATCTTGAGTGGCGTTTGGTAGGCCCGAGTTCGTCTGCTGCGGTTTTTGGTGAAAGAAATTAATTTTTTCCGCTTTTGGTGCATTCTTTTTCCCTTTGTGGTGTGACATTTTCTGAGATGGGGTCTTGGTGCAGTTCTGTGTGTTAGGATTGATGTGGATTGTCAGCCCATGAGCCGGAGCTAAGGATTATGCATCCATCTTGTCCGGCGGTTGTAAAGATGCACTTTTTATGTTTATAATTTTATCTATAATGGGTAATACGTGTTCATAACCTTAGACTGTATTGGTTTAAAGTGTCACTATCATTTTTCGGATCTCTGCATGTTTTGAAAAGACGCTACAAGTTAACATGTCCACTTTGTGTGGAGGGGGCTCGGTTAGTGGGCTCGGTTAAGTGCGCATGCATAACGTGTTATTGGCATCTATTGCCCATGGCGCGAGATGATGCCTCGCGGCTGATGGGAAATAGTGGCGGAAACGTCACCCTACTTATTTTGGATGTATATCGTTTGATTGAATTGGAATTTTAAATCAAACGTCAAAAAAATCCTATCTTTATGAAAACTTTAAATTCAGCGTTGACAAGAAATTAATAAACAGCATAAAAAAGAAAATTGCACCTAACACAACCTTCAGCTGTTCTTATATTGTTTTCTTGCTTCCTGATCTAACAGTTATAAATCAGCTGTCTGTTAGATTTGCTCCATTTGATACACATCTGAGATCATTTTTAATATGATTTTTACATACACCAAGTGCCACAGTTATTTCTCTATTATTTTTATTTATGTATCAACAGCTTCCACATGAGGAAAGAAAACAAGGCTTCACAGAAAAAGGAAGAAAAAGAAGTAAACCGATTAGAGATGGAAATGTTAAAAGGTGAGGAAATTATTATATAATCGTACCGGACTGTCTAACTCTGTACTTACCTCTTGCCGCCAGCAGAGGCTGCTGGGAAAATCCTCCTCTGTCTGTTGCTTTCCGTCCATGTACCCATACCGCCTGGTTTGGCTGGTGGCTGCTTGCCTTGTGGATCAGGACTCGTTGTCTGGAGAAGGAGTTGGGATCTGGATTCTCCCAATAACACACATCTTTATAGACATTTAGCCAGTTTGTGCTTATTATCTGCGTGCTGACCTGGAGCCTGTTTAAAGGGATAGTGTAAGCACCATAATCACTGTAGTGCACTCTAATGGTTATGGTACCATCCCATGCTTCAGCCAGCTCTTCTAATATATCTTATTCGAAAGATTCTTCTTCCGCTTTAATGACCTCAGTCCTGACTGAGGGTCTGCTAATGTTAGACCTTTTAATAAGTATTTAACACCTTACTGCGGATCGGTTCCATTTATTAATTTGAAGGGCAGTTGGATCAGCTAGTTTAGGGATGGATTCCATTGTAAACATTACCGTGGTAACTGAATATGCGTTGTCCCAGTTCCTATTTGATCTACTTACACAATTTTGTGAGAAGCTAAAAAAATAATACAAACTTATTTATGTGTGTATATATTTCATTTTAAGTGTGTGTGTGTGTGTATATATATTTATTATGTATGTCTCAATGCATGACATATTGTAAAGATTTACTTTTTATGTTTTTATTTTTAATTTTTTTTATCTATAATGGATAATACATGTTCATAACCATTATAGATTCACATCATTCACACCTTTATTTTGGCTACATTTTACCGAGAAAGCTTCTTACCTGGTGCTGTCAGATGGCCGGCAGTGCAATGTGTTTAATGTTCATTTATTTCTATTTTTAATAGATCCAGTAATGTTTGGGGAAGTGGTCATGGAGCCCCCAACACTCACTGCGAAACCAAGAAAGAGCATTACAAATTCCAAGGTAAACAATCCATTGCGTTTGGCCGGGTGAGCACGCTCTGAGTGCACACACTTTCCTGGCAAGGATGCTGCTTTTAACTCATTGAGAGCTTGGAGAGCATACAGTATATTTCACACTACTGCTCCTGCGCTTAAATTTCCGCTTCTCAGTTTTTCTGCTCAAACTAACTCTGCTGCTAAGCCAAATACACACGTAATTTTTTATAAATAAAAACCCTATATATCCTTTAAAAAAAAATAAAAAAAATTACATTTCATATAATGTAATAAACTTTAAAAAAGAAGTGAAAATATGATGAACGTTATCCTTTAAAGGAACACTCTTAGCACCATAACCACTACAGGTTTTTTTTAGAACAGCTTGACTTCTAACCTGGGCACAGCCATTTCTCCCTGTAGTGGTTATGGTGCTTGAATTGTACCATTAAAACGGAATGGTCACTTTAATCTCCACATCATTTCCACATTGCAGATACTTTGCCATTCCATGATTCCTCGGGGGTGTACAAGTATCTCACAGAAAAATGCTGTCCGCATGCAAGCTTGGCTGTTTCTCCGGCAGTGAGGTGTGAACGCATGCGCCGTGTATACAGCAACGCAAAGTTAACTCATTTACATACTTTGCCTGGAAAAACATGTCCATGAAAATAAGATCATTTAAAGAACTGAACAGCCAATCATTAATGTTTTGTTCATTGTAAGGAGATGCTAAAATTGATGAAGTGACAGTTCTTTTTTTAAAGGGCTTAAACCACCAAACCTGAGCACATGCTTTGTGTTCCTCTGCAGAGTATCTCGCTTTATTTATTAATTTTTAACCCTCTAACTATAGAGATAGCTGGAAATTGTGTCTTATTAAGTATTGTAAATAAGAAGTATTCTTAATTTAATGTTTTATGATTTATGTAACAGTGGGATCTGTATTAGAGGTTTGGGAGAGTTTCGAAGCATTCACTGCAAAAACCGTACCATGGGAAAAAATCTATATTTAAAAAGAGCAACATAATCCAAATTGAGAAAACACACAGCCAGTGAACAAGGAGTAAGAAATTAGTACAAATAACATAAAACATAAAGATAAAATGCAATGGTCCGGAGAGTGGAGGGACTGAAAAGTCGTGTCTGCCATCTGTTAACGCATTGCTTTATTCACATTTTATGAACGGCTCCATGCACAGCAATACTGGGAGGAAACATGGGACGTGTTTTCTGATTGTAGACCTAAATTAACGCATCATTTCTTGATTTCTTTTTGCCTGTTAGCCTGGGACAAAGTCACTGCTCCTGAAAAAACTGTTTGCCAAAGAGGGTCCATCAGTCAAGCCGCCACCTGTATCCATGGCGCGGAAGAGAATGATACAGGAAGAACGTGAGAGGGTCATAGACGCTTACAGACAAATGAAAAAGAAAAAACTGCAGCAAAATCCAGCAAAGGACCTTTAAATCTGCCTGGTTTAATCCTATACCGTACGACTGCAACAAGAACCTTCTGATTATAACAGCAGCATTTCTCGTTTTTATGGAATAATCGAAAAGGACATTTCAAAACGTGACGTTAACAGACTGGGACTTTGTGCTTTGGTTTGTGTCTTCCTGAATGAGAGCATGGAAGAGACTCCCCTTGCCAGGTTTACCTCAAAGAAAAAATGCAGCCAACGCAAAATATTTGTTTTCTTCTTTAGTGATACTGACGGAATGGAGAGAAAGTGGTATTTAGAATTAAAAGAACAATCTTTTAAAAACTTTTCCACATTATTCCTGGCTAGGTAAGGTTTACTGGACTCAAAGTAAGTTCTGTAACAAAGTCTGACATAAATGCAGGAGGTGAATCTGGAGGCTTTCAGACTGTGGGGGAGGATGGTGAGGTTTTACGAACTATAAATTGTGCATTAAAATCAGTGAAATCACCTTTCAGTAGTTTTAAAAATCAGACCTGGATTTACAGCTGTTAAAGACGATAGTATAGTCCTTAAGTGGCTGTTTAGGTGATCGTCTCTCTCTCTGTGCAGTAAGAAGGTGATTTTCCTACATTTTTCTCTCACCCCACACAATTTTTTCACAGATGGCTCCGCCTCATGCTTTCACGCATGAGTGGCAAAACGCGCTGCCAATCCACATCTCCTCATAGACATGCATTGAATCAATCTATCTCTATGGGAAACTTTCTGCACCTCAATGCTGAGTGAGGAGACGCTGAATGCCAGTGCTGCATATTGTGCATAACTGAACTAGGAAGCACCTCTAGTGGCCCTCTGAGTAACTGCAACTAGGAGTTACTAGGCACCAGTGGAAACACTGCCTTTTCTCAGAAACTTTACATTAACTCCTTAAGGACGTTGGACGGAATTCTTCCGTTATTGCAGTCCTCCCCTTAAGGATGCAGGGCAGAAAATTTCTGTCCAATACTAAAATGACCCCAGATTGTTAATGTTCCTGTAGTGTGCCTCCATGTCTAAGGCACACTGCTGTAGGCATTTTCTCTGATTCAGCCTATGTGATGGCTCTGACTCCCGGTCTGTCTCCCTGCAGCTCTGTGTGAGCTGTGAAGTGCAGAGAGACAGATGATTGGTGATCTGTCTTTCCCTGTGAAGAAAAGTGTTAGTCAGAAAATCCCACCTCACACCCCTTTCAAATAAAATTTAACCCCTTCCCTGCCTCTTGATTATTGTCTGCAGAGATCAAAATACAGATCACAGTATTTCACTTGATCTGATCTTTTTCTTTTAACCCCTGAGGGTTTACTTTTTGTTTTGTTTTTTTAAACCCTCGGGGGCTAAATTTGTTTAGTTAAATATTTGTAAAATGTGTTTATTTAGCTAGGGTGGGTAGAAGTTAGTGGGGGAATTGGGGGATTTACTGTTAGGCTAGTTAAGGGTTAACAGTAAAAAAAGTTTGAAAAAGTAAAAAAAAAGTTTAAAAAAGGGAACTTTGTACAGGCTAGCGAAAAAATGATCCCATACGAAGGTTTAAAATATGCTTTTTAAAACACCCTGTGGTGTCTTCTTTAGGAAATGATGTGCCTTTGTGAAGTAATTGGAAAACACAACCTGCTAAAAAAATAAATACAATTTTTTTTCCAAAGTGGGGAATTGACCCAGCGTAACAATTCGAACTTAAATGGCTGTGTCTCAAATGTGCACCTTCAACATTCGTATACCTGGTAAAGGTACATACGGGGGTATTGCTGTACTCAGCCGACATAGCTGAGCAACATATGAAGTATTATACAGCCGTAGCACACATAAGGTTTGCAAAATATACTGTGCAAACTCACTTTGTATGTCAAAAAGGCAGAAAATGCTTATTACCACTACACTTGGTACAAGCTAGCGGAAAAAATGATCCCACGTTAAGGTTCAAAATATGCCTTTTGAAATACCTTCGGGTGTCTTCTTTAAGAAATGGTATGGCTTTGTGGGGTAGTTGGAATAATCAACCTACCAAAAAAAAAAACCTTCCAAAGTGGGGTATGGACACAAAAATTCAAAGTTAAAAAAACAAAAACAAACAAAAAACAACTTAAATGGCTGTCTTCAATGTCCAAATATACCTGGTACAAGCTAGTGAAAAAATGATTTCATAGTGTCCGAGAACTCCATTTTGTCTGCCCTGTCTCAATATATTGACTCCAACCATTAGTAAAGACGTGTCCATCTTTTTTACAGGACACTATGAGCCTCCTAAATATATTACAAGGTTTTAAATGGGAGAAAGAGTATTATTTGATAACCTGTAATATTACAAGTTTAAATATGATAATAGATCATGATAAGGGATGTGAAGCTGTAAAATATTTTTTAACAGAATCTTAGTAGTGTTTAGATCCACAGGTTGATTTTATCTTGGAGGGGATCAAGATGATTTTAAATAACAATTATTTTTGGTGTGAGGGAGACTTATCTTCAAGTCAGAGGTACTACTATGGGGACCAAGTTCATGCCAAGTTATGCGAACCTATTCATGGCATATTGGGAAAAGCATTTTATTTACAATGGTCATGTATATGGTATGTACTTGGTCCTCCTATAAGAGATCTATAGACGATATCTTTTTAATTTGGAGGGGATTAATGCAACAATTTGAACATAGTTTTGGCATTTTAAATTCCAGTACATGGGGAATAAAATTGACTAGGGATATTAGCAGAACAAATATTAACTTTTTGGATTTAGAAATATATATTTATAATAACTTGGTAAATACACACATTTATTGTAAACAGCTATATCGAAACTGATAGCTGTCATTATCAACCTTGGCTGAAGAATATCCAAACGCAAGTTTTTAAGAATCTGTAGAAATTGTTCTGACCAGTCAGATTTTATTACTCAAGCAAACGTTTTGAAAGAACAATTTAAACAAGAGGGTTATTCTGAGGAGACCTTACAACAAGAAATTAATCAAGTCTTGAAATCCGACAGACTCCAACTTTTTAAATTATAAAGAGAAAAATATATCTAAAGAGAATAATGAAATTCCTCTCATTTTTAACTTTGCGAGTAACGTTAATTCTTTGAAAGGAATAGTAAACAAAAATTGGCATATTTTAATGCAAGATTATGATATTTTAAAACATATAGGATTGAAACCTAAATTTATTTTCAGGGAAGCTAGAAATTTTAAGCAGATCTTAACGAAAAGTTTTATTGAAAAAGACAAACCAAAGAATTTTTTAACAACTTGGGCTGAAATTCAGAAAGGGTTTTCTCATTGTGGTATTTGCAACACATGCAAGAAGTAATAAAAATGGAAAGTTTTTTTTTTTTTTTATTAAATCAAATGTGACTGGAAAGTCTTTTAATATAAAATTATTACTCCCATTACTTGTCACTCACGCTAGTGGCATCTCCTCCCCCTGCCGACGTTAGCTCAGAATGCGCATGTGCGGCAAGAGCTGCGCACGTATTCAAACTGCCCATGGGAAAGCATCACTCAATGAGACACCAGAACCACTAAATTATGCTGTAACTTTAACCTCCAAATCTCCATTTACTTTGGCCATCAAGCATCCAACCAGAAGAAATAAATGGAATTGTCTGTAAATTTATATCCAGAAATATGTTCATGAAAAATATTTTTTTAACATCTATGAAAGAAATTCAAATATCTAAGAATAACTAATATATCTTATTAATACAGTGTACAAGGTTTTTCTGTTGTCTGTTACACAGAGGATGTAACGTGTGCATGGATTGATCAAGGAGCGTTAGGGGTGCTGACCATACAGACTCCAAAGAGTCATACAGTGCCTTTTGATTTTATGGCCGCACACTCGTTCTTATGTCTCGTTATTCAAAAGCAATATAAATTGACAATCATGTTTCTGGAAACCGTTTGAAATGATGTCTTCTTTATGACATATAGTATTATCTACTTTACAATCACATTAGAGAATGACAATCAATGGTGCTTAATGATCCGAATGATGGTCAAGGAAGGGCCTTCTGCACACCACACCTGTAAAACGCGGCTGTTTGATCTTCTAACCTCTCAATACTGAGGTTTTTCTGAACACAAAACTAGCACGCAATTTAATATTTGGTCAAATAGTTACAAAATCTCTTGATCATGTCTGCATGCTTTGTAAATATGGTGCAAACCATGTGATTCATTGCTGGACTTTTTGCATAAACAGGAAGGTACCCAATAATTAAGACAAAAGTATTTATCCATTAACCCCTTAAGGACCAAACTTCTGGAATAAAAAGGAATCATGACATGTCACACATGTCATGTGTCCTTAAGGGGTTAAACTGCGATCCATGAATTATAGGGAATTGAAAACCTTATTGTAAAATTCAGGCCAAAATAAACTGGTTTGGAAATAAATTCACCTAACTTCTATCGTTACTGTTCGGCCTGTCATTTTAGTGAATAAAACCTTAGAGCAGGACACATCGGAGGTTATGAACTGGGTAAAAGTAATTAATTGACAATCACAATATCTGTCCATTTCAAACAGCAGACCCGGTCAGACCCTGTTATTGGCTGGAGTGGACATTGTGACGCTGATACCTATACACTGATTCATTCATGCTCTTTCAATCAACATTTTAATATTTCTGCTAAACATTGTAAAATCTGTTGAGCAGTTTTTGCATTAAGAAAAAAGACATTTGCGTCTTCACTTTTGCATGTTGGCTTGTGCACATTATCAGAATTCAAAGAAGCATTTCCTGCAGAGTAGAATGCTGGGGGCAACTCTGTAAATCACAGACTCCCTACGGTCTTGTGTCGAGGGTTTTGTATTTTATATATCAGTGACTATCTTTGAGGGTCATACATTTAACATGGCTGCCTCTGTGCTAAAACATTGTTATGAATCCAGAAAAGATAAATAATCTATTTACACTAATGTTTTTAACTGAATTATGTGATTTTCAAGAGACCATTCCCTTTAAAGGAGCACTCAGCACCAAACCTATTGCATTTTAATGGGGTGTTTCTGGTGCACAGACGCCGTCACATTTCTTGGACAATGTAAAACTAGTCTTTTTCTGAGAAACGGCAAAGGTTACATTTGTCTGAAAATCCGCCTCTAGTGGCCGGCGTGGATTCAGTGTTTCTTAATTTATGAAAAGTAATAGATGGGCGGAAAGCCTCCATTAGAAACATTTGATTTGGACAAAAGTGGTCAAAATGTATTACTTCATCAGAGAAGAATCAAGCATAAAAAGGAGCCTTTAAAAAAAAAAAATGTAAATGGCAAGGGAGTAAGAGATTGTGGGGGTCCATAAATAAATAAATAAATGAAATATAAATAGATACATATATATATATTTTACTCATATTTTATTCTGTATTCTTTTCTGTCTGTTGTGGCATGAACAGTCCAGCAGAGGGCAGTAACCTCTTTATAATATCGGCATGTTTCTTAACTTGAGAATATTCAGTTTTAGCAGGTAAATAGAAAAGTGGAATACATGTGATATGGTAAACAAAAATACCGGTAATAAACCGGCTTACAGATAACTGGAATTTTCTCAAAGTTCGTGCCTTAGAAGAGTGATTCAGTGGAATCCCCCTTCATATGAATCTGTCATTTTTTATATTTTCTGTGTTTTATCAGTTTTACAATGTTGTATCTATTTTAGAGCGTGCAATAAAAGGCGCTGTTCCCAAGGTGTGGCGTAGCGCTGCTCGATTTCTAATCTGATTCTATTATTACAAGCTCACACAGAGACAAGGCATTGCGTCAGCAGAGCAGACGCTCTCCTAGTTACGCACAATCCCTGGCGGCCAGGTCTGAGAAATGCTGCTTTATGTGATAACAAACTCCACACACGCCTAGCTCCTTCTTCTATCGATTGTCCATTACGCAAGCTGTTCTGTATCATTATTTTTGTCAGCCATTGCAATGTGATTCATTGTACATGATCTTCCTGATTTTTAACGAATGCGCATGCGTCAAAATGAAATGCAGATTGGCTGAGGGTTGGTGCATATTTATTTTAATCTCATTCCGTCAGCAACTGGTAGCCAGTCCTGAGGCGTCTGATGATGTGAACGCAGCGTGGGATTCTCAGGATGAGCCCCTTTTTGTGTTCTCAATGTATTTACTGAAATGAAAATATACATGTAATAGGGGGTTGTTTCCTGAATTGTCGTAAATTAGTCCGGTACAATGGAGAGCAAAAAATGGGTCGCAAGAGTATTCTGAGAACGGACAGCAGCTAAAATAACCTGCCCTTCGAGAGTCCCCGCTCAGAACTCAAGCTGGTTTTAGCTCATCTTATGCCATTACAGAGAGAACATATCTGAAGCATATCAGACTGGTCCCACCCATACGGGCAGTCCAGATCCGAAATGCCAGCAAGTTCTCTCTGCACGAGAGATACAGCAACCCCAGACGATCGTTTCAGCCTTGTTAGGCATCATCAGTGAGGCATAGCGGATATCTCTCTAGGCACCGTGAGCAAGGGGTCCACGTCTGGATTACCCTTTAAACTAATGGAGAGCAAAAAATGGGTCGCAAGAGTATTCTGAGAACGGACAGCAGCTAAAATAGCCTGCCCTTCGGTGGGTCCCCGCTCAGAACTCAAGCTGGTTTTAGCTCATCTTGTGCCATTACAGTCTGGTACAAATTCCTGTTCATCTAAACCTGAACGAATGAATCCGTCACATTAATCCCGGACGGATTGATTAGTTTGGGCGTAAAATTAACAGGAATTGCATTAGATTGTCGCAGGTGAAAATGATTTCCGCACTAGTCTAGTTTGGATATAGCAACTCCAGATAAAATCAGATTGTGAATGTTATTCACTAAACCGAGAGATGGCAACTGAATTGTAAAATGTTGGCCAAAATACCCCCTTTTTTTTCAGCGTTGCAATATCTGCCTATATTTTGCTGTTTGGCTGCCATTTGTGACCGTACAGCCCCTCTCTGGCATTACCACTGCAGTGATTTGAATAATTTAAAGGTTCCTGTCACGTTTCTGCTCCAGTACTGCTGAGTTCCTGCGTTTTTTTTTTGTCCAGTGTTGCATGATTCTTGCAGCATTCTCAGTCTAGCTCTGCCAAGCATCTCATGCATTCCTAGTTTATTACCGCCAATGCCCTGCCTTGTTCCTGGCGCAGTGCTACCAATCCCCTGCAGGGTTCACTGCAGAGCACTGCTGGGTTCCTGGTTTATTACTGCCAATGCCCTGCCTTGTTCCTGGCGCAGTGCTACCAATCCCCTGCAGGGTTCATTTCCGAGCACTCCTGGGTTCCTGGTTTATTACCGCCAATGCCCTGCCTTGTTTCTGGCCCAGTGCTACCAATCCCCTGCAGGGTTAATGCTGAGCACTGCTGGGTTCCTGTGCTTTATTACTTTCCTGCCAATGCCCTGCCTTGTTCCTGGCGCAGTGCTACCAATCCCCTGCAGCGGTTACCAACTGCCGAGCACTGCTGGGTTCCTGGTTTATTACCGCCAATGCCCTGCCTTGTTCCTGGCGCAGTGCTACCAATCCCCTGCAGGGTTCACTGCCCAGCACTGCTGGGTTCCTGGTTTATTATCGCCAATGCCCTGCCTTGTTCCTGGCGCAGTGCTACCAATCCCCTGCAGGGTTCACTGCTGAGCACTGCTGGGTTCCTGGTTTATTACCGCCAATTCACCTGAGAGTTCTCTTCCGAGCACTGCTTTGTTCCTGGTTTATTACTGCCAATGCCCTGCCTTGTTCCCAACCCAGTGCTACCAATCCCCTGCAGAGTTCACTGCCGAGCACTGCTGGGTTCCTGGTTTATTACTGCCACTGCCCTGCCTTGTGCCTGACCCAGTGCTACCAATCTCCTGCAGGGTTCACTGCTGAGCACTGCTGGGTTCCTGGTTTATTACTGCCAGTGCCCTGCCTTGTGCCTGACCCAGTGCTACCAATCCCCTGCCTGCCGAGCACTGCTGGGTTCCTGGTTTATTAGCCAATGCCCTGCCTTGTTCCTCAGTGCCGAGCACTGCTGGGTTCCTGGTTTATTACTGCCAATGCCCTGCCTTGTTCCAGCCAGCTGCCTCGCCAATGTGCCTGACCCAGTGCTACCAATCCCCTGCAGAGTTCAGGCCGAGCACTGCTGGGTTCCTGGTTTATTACTGCCAATGCCCTGCCTTGTTCCTGACCCAGTGCTCCCAATCCCCTGCAGGGTTTACTGCTGAGCACTGCTGGGTTCCTGGTTTATTATCGCCAATGCCCTGCCTTGTTCCTGGCCCAGTGCTACCAATCTCCTGCAGGGTTCATGCTGCCGAGCACTGCTGGGTTCCTAGTTTATTACTGCCAATGCCCTGCCTTGTTCCTGGCTCAGTGCTACCAATCCCCTGCAGGGTTCACTGCCAAGCACTGCTGGGTTCCTGGTTTATTACTGCCAATGCCCTGCCTTGTTCCTGGCGCAGTGCTACCAATCCCCTGCAGAGTTCACTTCCGAGCACTGCTGGGTTCCTGGTTTATTACTGCCAATGCCCTGCCTTGTTCCTGGCGCAGTGCTCCCAATCCCCTGCAGGGTTTACTGCTGAGCACTGCTGGGTTCCTGGTTTATTACTGCCAATGCCCTGCCTTGTTCCTGGCGCAGTGCTACCAATCCCCTGCAGGGTTCACTGCTAAGCACTACTGGGTTCCTAGTGTATTACCGCCAATGCCCTGCCTTGTTCCTGGCGCAGTGCTACCAATCCCCTGCAGAGTTCACTGCCGAGCACTGCTGGGTTCCTGGTTTATTACCACCAATGCCCTGCCTTGTTCCTGGCGCAGTGCTACCAATCCCCTGCAGCGTTCACTTCCGAGCACTGCTGGGTTCCTGGTTTATTATCGCCAATGCCCTGCCTTGTTCCTGGCGCAGTGCTACCAATCCCCTGCAGGGTTAATGCTGAGCAATGCTGGGTTCCTGGTTTATTACTGCCAATGCCCTGCCTTGTTCCTGGCGCAGTGCTACCAATCCCCTGCAGAGTTCACTGCCGAGCACTGCTGGGTTCCTGGTTTATTATCGCCAATGCCCTGCCTTGTTCCTGGCGCAGTGCTACCAATCCCCTGCAGGGTTCACTGCCGAGCACTGCTGGGTTCCTGGTTTATTATCGCCAATGCCCTGCCTTGTTCCTGGCGCAGTGCTACCAATCCCCTGCAGGGTTCACTGCTGAGCACTGCTGGGTTCCTGGTTTATTACCGCCAATGCCCTGCCTTGTTCCTGGCGCAGTGCTACCAATCACCTGAGAGTTCTCTTCCGAGCACTGCTTTGTTCCTGGTTTATTACTGCCAATGCCCTGCCTTGTTCCCAACCCAGTGCTACCAATCCCCTGCAGAGTTCACTGCCGAGCACTGCTGGGTTCCTGGTTTATTACTGCCACTGCCCTGCCTTGTGCCTGACCCAGTGCTACCAATCTCCTGCAGGGTTCACTGCTGAGCACTGCTGGGTTCCTGGTTTATTACTGCCAGTGCCCTGCCTTGTGCCTGACCCAGTGCTACCAATCCCCTGCAGAGTTCAGTGCCGAGCACTGCTGGGTTCCTGGTTTATTACTGCCAATGCCCTGCCTTGTTCCTGACCCAGTGCTACCAATCTCCTGCAGGGTTCACTGCTAATGCCCTGCCTTGTTCCTGGCGCAGTGCCC